ATATTTTACTAGTTGCTAACTAGTTTTTAACTACTTACAAAGTACTTATAAACTAGTTACTAATACCTACTTAGCTACGTTTCTACGAAGCCCTCAGCTGCAAGACCTCTGTCAAAACTATAATTGTAATAGTTTAACAGAGATTCATCCAAGTTTTGCAAATATGGATCGTTTTTCACTTTTGATTTATAAGGAGCGACTGGCCTTATACCCTCAAGGACAGTACCTAAACGGACTTCAATTTCAAATGGAGCGGAATTCTCAGCTGAAGGTAAGATATCTATATACTAGTTCTTAACTAGTTTTAAAACAGTTACTAACTAATTTTAATTGCTAGGAGTATGTTCACCGTATTCTTAATACAGAAGAAACCACAATAATTATATGTGGACTAAAAGAGCAAATTATGCTTCTTAAGTCACTTACCTCGTTTGAAATTGATATGAGTTATAAAAGAATACGTGCAAACAAGCTAAAGGAAGTAATATTTGCTGCATTTCTTCCTGAGCATGGGAAAAGTAAGTAGTTCTAAAGTAGTTTTAACCAGTTACAAACTAGTTATTAACTACTTTATAGTTATTACCCTGCTTCGTGCTCTTACAAATCGTGAAGATGCTGAAGGCTATAAGCTTTTATTTCAGACTGTTTTTGATGTTATTCAAGATGTTTCTGGATCTGAAGTACAATTTAAGTATCTTCATGGATCTGGGATTGAGAGCCTTGTAGTTGATATGGATGACGGACAGATAAAAGGTAATTTTTTAGTTTAAGCACCTTATAACTAATTAAATACTGCTTGCTAACTGGTTATTAATAAGGACTTGGTCAATATCTTACTTCTGTTGACCCAGATCACCGCCCAGCTGAGTTTCATTTAATGAATATACTAATATTCTGTCGAGTGCACTTTTAAGAGGAATTGATCAAACTATCGGCCGCCAGAAGCGTGGAACAGAGCTTTTAATCGCATGGCATCTTTATTAGATTGTCAAAGTCAATCAGATTACTATGATCTGATTCAGCAACTTTTAAGTATATCTAACTAATTTCCAAGTACTTATAAACTAGTTGCTAACTGATTCATAACCAGTTTACGAAAATAATGATGAGAAGATCCAACAATGGGCAGCTCATAAAGCTGACCCAGTTATTGCAGCTGGTCTTAATAGATTCTGTTCTAGAATGGATTCTAGTATTTTTCAAAAGGCTATACCTCATACCAATGCTGGAGAACAGTCACATCAAAAGGGATATATGTGGGGAAAAACTTTCTTTAGTTAAAGCTGTGGAAAGGTATGTTTTACTAGTTATTAACTGCTTTTTGACTAGTTACTAACTAGTTAAATAGGGCTTACCAACTTGATTCCCGAGATGTGGATCAGTATCTAAGCCGAAATAATTATAATATTCATCATTCCTATCGTACGGACACTATTGCCCAGCGGTATGCAAATAGCCTGATCAGAGAACGTAAGTATTAGTAATTAGTTCCAAACCAGTTTGTAACCAGTTACTAAATAGTTATTTAGAGCGAAAACGCCGTCGACAATCATCGAATTCCTCATTACAGGCCCCGATTGATACCATCGAGGAACCTATACAGCCTTATACCTCTTCAGGTTCTCCATTTTCATCTCATACAAGATCTACATCTAGATCCAGATCTAGATCGAGTTCAAGATCTAGTTCAAGGTCTAGTTCACGGTCTAGTTCAAGGTCAAGAGGTCAAACTCCATCTAGGCAACGAGGCTCAAGGTAAGCTTAAATCAGTTAGAAACTAGCTTGTAACCAGTTACTAACCAGTTACCTAGACGGAGAGGCTCATCGCTTCGCCAGGTTGCTTCTGAAAACAGCATAAATCAGCGCTACCATCAACGACAATTAGATTTAAACATTCGATGGCGGGAAGCTCAGTTAGCAAGATATGAAGCAATTACACAGCTGTCACTTTCTCAGGGTATTATTCCACCTCCAGTGACTAGCATGCCGTCAGGAACTGGGACCGAACTGGTTAATAACCAGTTATTAACTAGTTCTCCCTCTCTACCGCCGCATTTTTTTGAATACGATAGTCCTGATAGTCCTAATTAGACTGAGAATTCTATAGGTTCTTTGAATAACTGCTGAATTATATAATTTAAAGTTATAAATTATCCCTTTCTATTAGTGTTCTGTTCCGAATTGTAGCTTCCTGTGTTAATATATATATATATCTTCCGACCGCTATACACCTTCTTCTTGTTATCTCTGCTTATCTGTCGGGAACCCTATATATTTTACTACAGCCCCGAAGGCTTTTAGTTCTCTCCTTTATAAACACCTTCCTGCTTTCGCTATAAAATAATAACTATAGTATTTGGTGTTGCTGTGAAGTAGCTAGTTAAAGCGGTGTAGGGATATGGTAAGGTAATAAAAATTTAGGTCGCGCAACATGGATTAAATACGGAGCTCTTGGCGGGAGGTCAGCTGACCTCCAAAGGCGGTTAGGCTTGTTGCGCGAGGTTTGCCCCACGTGCGACTGACCTGTGTCCTGTTTTTTTCACCCCCTGAATATGCAACTAACAGAACAACGTGAACTCTGCAAGTTACATAAAATTTCCGAGGCAAAAATAGAATAAGAAAAAATAAATTTATAGCTGTGGTGTTTTGCCTAACGGCCAACCAGTCGATAGAGCAGGGACAGAGGCTCTCCTGTCTGTGGTAAATACAGCAAGACTTGACAGCAAAACAGAAAGATGAAGGATGCAGGTCAGAGAAGAGATGTACATAACGTAAATTAGCTTCAGCCCATACTTGCTAGGGGCTGCATGCGGCCTTCGGCCGCGAAATGCCTGAGGAATGACTCAATCATCAATCAATCGGGGATACCCACCAAAAACCCGCGCTAGGTAGCCGTCAGGCGGTTCTTGGAAGTGAAAGCCTGACCCAACCCGCGTTTTGGTGAGAGAGCGTTGATACAATTAATCGTTGGATATTGAAAATTTGGTTGTGTTGTGTGCCGATCAACACGACCTAAGGTGGTCCCGCCAGGAGGGGTTCCCGAACCCCATGCCATAAATACAGTATGGTGAATCGAGGCTGCATCAGGTAAACTATAGAGCTTCGTATACGGAATTTATTCGTATCCGAGTACGATTATTCGTAACACCCATTATTCGTGTGCACCCCTACCTACTTAGTAGTAGATTACACCTAGGCATCCTACGCTGGTAGGACCAAGCTTTGTCTTTTACTATCTTTTTTGGCTCTGACTGCTAGAGCTAGTTCACTTTTACGTTTGATAACCATTGGCCCTTTTATGTGTGGAGGTTGTGCCAAGTGTCAATGGCTGAGCCCATAGAACCTACAAGATAGGTTATGTACAAGAAGGAATCGTTGAAGAAGGGAAGAAAGGAAGAGGAAAATGAGCAGTAAACAAACAAGGTGGTGAGTCACGTGACATGGATCGAGGGCCAATGGGCCAAAAGGGTCAGTAGGGACAGTAGGGACAGTAGGGACAGTAGGGACAATAGGGACAGTAGGGACAATAGGGACAACGGGGACAATAGGGATAACAGGGATAATAGGGACATTGAGCCTAGAGGTCAAACGGGCTCTAGCCCTTTACACCACGTACAGCAGCAGGTAGAGTTCAGTGACACCAAACAATGCCCCACAAATTACTGGTTAAGCATCCCAATGTTAAAATAAGATTTGTCACATACAGAGGGCTATACCCACCTATGGAAGATAAAATCTGGCTACAAGATTCGGCAATTAACTATGCCACATATACTATTAATAATCTATTTTAGTATCTACTAGTTACTCTCGACAGCTAAAATTAAACTGTGCAAATATTTAATAAAAACGAATTTCTATATGAAAAATATTTATTAATATTTGAATAATACATCTTTTTATGTTCAAGAATACTGCAATTACTGCCATTGCTGTGATGCCTGTGCAGGCTGTTACTATAATGCGAGAACTACTACATTTACACACATACTTATGTAGCCTTATTTGCACAATTCCTTCTCTGATTAAACACTTGGTCTTCATAGAATGGAGTGCTTTCTCTTTTGAGTTAGTTTCTCGTTGATAGAAGAGACTATCAGGTGAATTTTTCAGCGGGGCATCACTAGCGCACGTATTCTCGTAACACGTTCATCATTGTAGAACTCTATCAAGTCAATTCAGCCACATCACGGACAAAGAGCTAAAGAAGGTACACCTCTTAATTACAAATTTGTTTAGCCAATGACGCTGGCACAGCCACGTCCAAGTGTAGAATGCCGTGCTGAGATACAGAGTAAAAGCGCTGGAATATGACGCATTACCTTGAGGGAAAGGGCCACAAAGAGGCTTCGCTTCAAGTGTGATAAGCCACAGACGCTTTCCTTACAAGTCAGAGTCAATTGCTATTTTTGGTCCGTACGCGGGGTATACCAAGTTGCCGCAGGTGCATGAGCATGCGATGTGGAGCCAATAAAAACTGAAATATCCCGCTCAGATCTCAGACTAGCAATACTGAAGGAGGGCAGGAATACCACATTACCTGCAATGACATGCAGAGGGAGCCTACCACTGCATCCCAGGATACCTATCAGCTTGTGGTCTGAACCGCTTCGGACCGCATGCGTGATATCCTAATTTTGGCATCAACGAATCATACAATAGGCACATTATAGTGCCCTATCATATGGGATAGATCATCGCTAGTCACAAGTCGAAGCTGAGCCACAGTTGGCGTGCAAGTGGCTCAGCGCAAGAGAACAATCACGCCGGTGTGGTAGCGAATTCAATTGCCAGAATCGAATGGTTTCTATTCTTCTGCCTAGTGGTAAAATATAAGAAGGCCATCTACGACAGACGAAGAATGAAGTCAGTAGCAAGTTTCGTTTACGGCTTCCAGCTTCCCATAATATATTACACACTTGCTGTTCGGTATCCTCATATGCTCTTGGCGTTGTTGCTTCGTCAACTACTTTTACTGACACTTCTCTTGAGTTCTGATTATGTCTCGATATTCCATATCTTCTTCCGCTCCATATTGCCTCTCGGAAATTATAAACCTCTGTCCTGAAGAAGAGAGGCATTGTGCCGGTTATGCACCTTCACAGAAGCGTCGATGCCACAACCCCATCAACGCGGGGAATTGTCGCATGGCCTCTAATCTCCTTAGCCGAGGCACCGAGAGACTTTCTTCACGGAGTTCTATAGATGACTTACTCGAAAACCTAGCCCCTCTGGTCCTTTGTTGGAGACATGGGAATCAGGCCGATGGCTTGGTTGATACTTGGCGCAGGCAGGTCCGCGACTTTCAGACTACCCGGACTACACGACTTGAGTCGTTGGATACAGCTATTTTAAAAGAGGAAATTATACCGAACCTGCGCCGGGAAGTCAACCAGGAAATCGAGGAGCTCAGAGACGGCATCAGAGAAGAGCTCAGACGACTCCAGGCTCATGCGGCTTTCTCGCTTCCATCGCAAGCTGCCGTGCGTGGGGACTCCCCGAGGATACCCGCAAGACTTAGTACCGGCACAAGGATGACAACCGGTGCACCAAGCACGCCATCGAGGAGGTTGGCCGGGGCCCCAGCACCGACGTTACGGAGGTCCACGCCAAATAGAGTGGAATCGGGAAATACCGTTCGTCCTAGTGCGATCGAAGCGTCAACAACAGATTCAACCGGATCAGTTCGCTTTTCCCAGCGCACAACTACTCGTCAGTGTGTGGAAGGCGTCTGCGGCATTTGTATACTGCCACTGTCGGAGTTGTCGGAGCCAGAACATCGGGCGGCTGATCACGACAAATCTGACGCACAGAATAACTCAGAAGAGGAAGAAGAGGAAGGTGAGGCAAATCAAGAACAACCCTCTGGAAGTGGTTCTCGACATGTTAGAGGTGCTAGGGATTTGGTGTGGTGCAAGGCACAATGCGGAATCAACTTTCACAAGACCTGTATGGATAAATGGATTGCAACAACCGGCTCCCTCCGGGCAACATGTCCAAACTGTAGGGCTAGTTGGCGGCCATGAATTATGGATGTGCATAGCATTTCTTTTTTTTTAACTTAGCGCTCTTACTTTGTCATGATGTATTTGCTTGCCTGTGAGCTACTGTTTACTTAGTTTTGTTTTATGTGGTAAAAATCAGAAATTTAACACGGAAAATTTCCTGTGTAGCAATTTTTATACTATTTCCTTCTAACTACGGGAATAGGAAGCCGGGTATGTAAGTTATTATCAAAGAGTATAAACAGAAGCTTAACGCTGGGGTCCTTGACAATGACGTGCTGAAAGTCTTTGCGAGCTGGACGTCCACGAGTGCCCAGGTAAGGATTAGCTTGCTCCAGCTGAAAGAACGACTCTCTCAATATAGCACTTGGCGAAGATGTCTCATTTCGGGGATGTCTGCAGTGAACTCAGCGAAAGAAGGAAAGATTTTGAGTGGGAAATCTCCGCCGCATGACGCTCCATTCTACGTGGGCCCATGCCGTGGCGCATTTTGGGAAGGTAGAGTCTGGGAGAGCGTCGATTCTGTAGTCGTGAAATGCCACGCATTATGGTCCTTAGAGATGAGACTGATGATTTAAAGCTGGATAGATTCCTGGGTACCCTCATCTAGTTCGGCAAAGGTGATGACCGCACTCCTATAGATTTATTGGACACAAAGTAGTGTAGCTGAGGATATTCCGTTCCCATTCTGGAGTTGTATCCACGATATTGGGTGGTGTCAAATTTCAGTACGCTTGCTCTTGGCTCAAGGGCGAGACGAGAAAGAAAAGTACCAAAGGTAATGCCGCTAGGATTCTGTTTAGTTATACCTATGATTTGAACAATCGCTTTGGGCACTTTATTTCCGAAGCTCTAGGCTCCTTGTCGGCATTTGCATAACACCTTGAGAGATGAAAAACAATAATTTCTCTCTTCTTAAATTATTGGAACACACTGTAATTCATGTCAGTGGACAAGTGGTAAGTAGGTGGAGCTTGCTAGTTTACCTACAAGTAATTAGCAATCTAGAAAATTTACTGTATTGGCTCGAAAAATCAATCGTTTTGGCTGAACAGTAGAAGGTTCGATATTAAGTACAGTAATTATTGCTAATCTGATAAGTGCCAGTAAAGATTTCGGACAGAGACTATCATGGATAACCCTGAGCAAGAATCTCAGCGAGCAATGTGAATGAATAGAATAAATGACACGCAAGTATTGCTGTAGCCAAAAGTTTTTTTACGTTTTACCAATTTCATTCCATTCGGAGGAATAAAACACTGGCATAATTTGAATATTTTCTACTTAGCGATGATTATTAGTTTTATTCTTTTTTCCACTCTCCCTTAGCGTTATGTCTCATGCATCTGACTGGCTATTTACTTCGGCCTTTTGTACTGCTTATCTGGAGTAATAGTATCGATTGCTGCATTGCCTTTTTTCGCGAAAGATTGGATTGTCGGCCTTCAAGATGCTGTCGACTGATTTTGCGTTCGTTGCGCTACTTAGTCGACCAGGGTGATACAGAAGCTGTAAGTAATCTAACCCATCGCTTCTTGGTACGTCCGTACAGCTCGATCAATAATTTCCATCGCCAGGAAGAGCTCATGGTCATGTTGTTTTGGTGTCACCACCTGCACGCTTAGTGGCGAGTCCAGGTAGACCCGACGGTCCACCGTTTTTTCATCCCCTGACAGAGTCTCCAGTTAATCACGGACATATCCTACCCACAGGGAGAAGAGAGACACCTACACAGTTCCCGATTTACCCTATCCCAACTCCCTAGAATAGGAGAATTCATATCCCTCCCGCTCTCGAGATCAGACTCCCGGACATGGCGCACCGGGATCGTACCGGCCGGATAGTCAAGAAGAACAAAACTGGACGTGTACCCAATGGAGTTGTACCGATCAATCTCCGGGACAGGATGGGGTGCCAACGGAGCAATAATCGCGTCGATTCGGTTCGTGTAGTCTCCATCAATTGTCCACATTGCGAGCAATTCCTGCTCAACCACCGTTCGCTGGTGTTGTAACTGAGCCAGCTGCTCCAGCGATAACGCCTCCCTGCGCGTCATCCTACGTTCCAGCCACGGGATCAGCGGCTCCATCGTGCTATCCAGAATATCCAACGTAGTCCCACCGCCGTCGACGCCCATGAGACGCCCTGCTAGCCCTTGGCATTTCTTCAAGGCTGGAGGGGTTGGGACTTCGACCACCTGGACACCTGGAGCCCGACGGAGAGACTCGGCGACTTCGTCCATGACTCGCGCAATAGGAGGTAAAGGCGTGACCAGACCATCGGTTCGTAACACCCCAACAGTGAACTCTTTCGACCTGATCTCTGGCAATAATGGAGACTCTCTCTCCCAGCGACTGGGAATGCAATCCCCACTAAACAGTGCCGCTCTCGGGACAATCTCTTTCATGACGGCTCCCAGATCCGCCACGGACCTTGCCAGCGGCCCAGCGACAGCCTGCATTGAAATCCGGTCCTGGCCTGGCAGCCGGCCACTCTCCAGGCCACCGAACGGAATCCGGCCGGCACTCGGCTTGAAGCCGTAAATGTTGTTGCACATCGCAGGCACGCGGATGCTGCCTCCAAAGTCAGTCCCAAAACCAACCATGGCGCCGCGCATTGCGATGAGGGCGCCCTCTCCGCCGGAGCTACCACCAGCGGTGAGCTTGCGGTTGAGCGGATTCAGGGTCCGGCCAAAGAGGTGGTTACAGCTATCTGGGGCACCCATAGCCTGAGAAACATTCGTTTTGGCGATAATCACTGCGCCGAGAGAGAGTAGAAGGTTGACTAGCGGGGCGTTAAGGGTGGAAGGTTTAAATGCTAGCGCTGTTAAGCCGATGCTCGCGTCAACACCTTTTACTCGGAAACAGTCCTTTACTGACACTGGAAGACCGTGGAGAGGGCCGACTGGCTTCCCTGTGCGTTGAAGATGCTCATCCAGTGCTTTGCCGCGCTGTAGGGCGCTTTCAAAAAGAGGCTCGGTTAAGCACCGGGTAACTTGGTGGGCGATGGCGGCTCGCTGTACAGGTTACAGACAAATTCAACAAATGCGTCAGCCCATTCAGGTCGGCGAATAGAGACTCTAAAAGTAAAAGAAACCTATCGAATTAACCTACCTTTGAGAATCCTCTCACGACTTCCTCCGCACTGGATCTTCCTTCAGCCATCTGGGACAGAAGCCTGCGGATGTCGAAATTCTCGGTTATCTCCAGCTCCTTCGGCGTCAAAAGGCCTGAATTGCGGGGGATATCCATCACATTGGCCCTTTGGTATTGTTTGGCATTGGTAATGGAATCCGCCAGGGACAGCATCCCGCCGGGAACCAGATGGGCTGGGAGTCTCCATTCGGCGGGGATGCCAGATTCCAGCTGGGCTTGTTTCCGCCTGACGATGTCGATATATGCGGGCTCTGAAGATTGTGCCATATTAATTAACAAACTGGCCACGGATGACGACGATGGTGAAGGGGAGTGGCTTATATATTTCCAGAGATTCACAGAAGGCAATCTGTCCGCTGATAGCCCATGCCCATTAGCCCAGCCACTTGGAACGTTGAGCCGGTCAAAGTGATGGGCTCTAGGGCGATTTAATATCCTGCCCTGCACCCAAGGATTCTTCTCTGTAATATGGAGCGATCTTGTCGCCTATTCTCGGGCCTTGCTTAGAAATCCGGATCAGTAGTGTTTCCGACACTACGCGACTAGTTTATTACGCTTAGAATGCACACCCTCGAAGCATTGATTCGGTTATGAGAACAGTAGTTTTCATTTAGTGGATGATATAAAAAAACCTATCCAAACGCTATTAATCTCGGGAATTCTTGGTTGTCAACGAAAGACTGGTTAGGTGTAGAATTGGGGCATCTTTCTAAGCCCTCAAGCCTCTTATGATGGAGAGATCATAGATTAAAAGTCCAAGATAATAAACACCTCGACAATTTCATCGTCAATAACGTCTTTGCCCAAGCGATGGTGCCCTCCATGTTGGTCCACGTCGCAACGGACTCATCCACTTTCTTGATCAAACACTGCTGTCGCTCCGACTAGATGCGCATCGTGAAAACTCTTCAGCCCTCAGCCCCTTGTGAAGCGCCTTGATCTTCTCCTCGCCCATCCGTGGACCCGCGACACCGGCTCATTAATGCCGAAGAGGTATTCGGCGACCCGAACCTCGCGAACAGCTGGAGGACGCTGCGGTCGATCGGGAATCCTCGGAGCAACGAGGAGTTACGTTCATGCTCAGCATCTGCATTGTAGATGTCGATTCCTTGGACCAGAGGCCTGCCGCTGGTGTGCTCTAGATTTGTGGGAAAGCACCAGTTATTGGGAATCAGGATAAGTATAGTGTCTTAGAGAAGTGGCCTGTGTACTGCAGGGAGAATAACTCGGGTGCTTGCTAAGGCATGTTGAACGAGATACCGCGTATTTAAAACATGGGCAGGTCACATAGTTGCTGCAACTCTTCATCTGTACGAACATGATCATTAACTCCCGAGTCGGACCGGGATCAGGTATTCCTCTGTTGCCGGCTTCCCTGCATTAGTTTCGGCGGCGACGCTAACAATTCTGGACGTCTGCGCGGCAACGCCATCGCTTTTCCAGAATGCGCGGGGACACTAAAACCCCGGCGACCTATTGTCTTCATACTGTAAGAAGGCTGAATCCCGCGATGATGATGATAAATCGAACTAAGCCGCGTGGAAGTTCTGACGGCAGTCGGGCGCATTGATCACTCATCATAAAAGTCAATGGCGCTTTGTCTCTGCGATTCGAGTTGACGATTCTTCCTGGATGAATTGGGGTCCATAGTTGTTATTTTAATTTTAATTTATTTTTTTCTCCTTTCTCGTTGCTTTTCTCCCTCCATCTGCTTTTCACTGCAGCTCCACTTTCGTTGGAGATAATCATGAGGCCCAACCCCGTACCTCCAGTCGAGCAGGATGTCTCGGAGAAAACAAACACCACCGATCTGGACCGCGAGAAACAGTCGCTAGAGTCGCCTACAGAGATGCAAAGGCCCTACAGAGATGCAAAGGCGCAAGCCCGAGAAATCGCCGGTTGGCAGTGGTTTCTTGTCGTGCTGGCCATCTACAGTTCCCAATTCCTCTTCGCCCTCGACAACCCAATCGTTGCCAACGCGCAACCCGGAAACGAACCACCGCGCCCATGAAGCTATTTGAAACTCAAATATGCAGTCATCTAGAGCTTGTTTAGATACATATATTAGGTGCAAGCCAAGATGCTCTCCATTACTCCTAATATATTAAAAATATATATATATTCAACTTATGTACTGTACTAAATCAACAAGTCTAGTCATTTTTCAGTTAATCATACAAATCATGTAGCTGGAAGGCCAGGGATTAGACATCACACCATAAAACTACTTCAGTCTTCTCACAAACTCATGCAGCGCATTCGCCGTAATATCCGCCACATTATTCTCGTAGTTCTTCCACGCCAACGCGCCGACCCAATTAATCGACCCAACAGCAAATACAGCACCGCCCGCCGCCGTCTTGAAGTACACTAGATCACTCCGCACCTTGTCGCTCGTGGTGCCGGTCGTATTCACCATCGGAAAGAGGATCTCTTCATTAAACAGACCATAGTTATCCGAATGGCCACCCGCCAGCTTCGTCGTCGCCACCATGATGGCATTACTCGGCGTGCCCAGAGAGTAATCCAAACGATCGATCTCATCTCCCGACGCGGCGCCCTGCACCAGACCGAAGTCGCCGATCACGTTGACGCGGGGATCGCCGAGTCGTGGTCCTTGGAACAGGAATGATAGGGTCGGATTGTTTCTCGCCTCAGGTACAATCCCGTATCCGCATCCTTGACCCATCCCGCACGCGTCGGATCCCAGTCCGCAGAAGCGGTTGGGGGTGCGTCCTCGAGACCTCCAGAGACCACCTAGCTCGCCGGTGCTGGATAGATGCCAGTGTCCAGGGGGTAGGTTGAAGGTGCGACAGCCTTGGTCGGCGCGACGGACCTCGATTCGGTGAGGGTTGTCCGCTTGGTGTCCGGTTACCCAGTAGTAGCCGTTGCCTCCTAGGTACATGAAGTAGCCACCTTGCGCCAGGAAGGCGTCGTAGGTGTCGAGCATCGCGTAGGTCGGATACTCCGGGTGGCTGCATGACAGCGCGACAGAGTATCGCAGGAGCAGTGAGTCGCCGTATATTGACAGGTCGTGGTCCGTGATGATGTCGTAGTTGTTGGCGCCCAGTTCGCGGTCCAGGAACCCGACGTACCATAGATCGGCGGGGAATTCTCGAGGACCTCCGAAGCCCCAGTGGAAGTAGCTAGAAGAGCGTTAGAATACAGTTCAAGTGGGATACGGAAGGGAGCGTACTCTGGTCTCATGTTCAACACCACCCGCTTGGTAGATGAATGCGACGTGCCGGACCCGTCATTGTGGCTATCGTACAGTGAAATGCCCAGATCCGGCCGTTCTTCGAGGATCTGGATCTGACGACTTTTCGTCACCGAGTCGGACCCCGGGATGTCGATATGTACATCGCGCGAGACATCGTACATGCGATCGTTGGCGTACGCGGTATACGTGAACGTAGGCATGATCAGCACCACGGGAGGATTCGATGTCTGGGATAGATTCGGTCGCACAAAGACAGGGATCACGTCTTCCGTCTCGCCATCCGACACAACCACCCCGTAGCAACCTGAGTGCAGGTTGGCCGGCAGAGTCAGTGCAAAGTCCGGCTCCCAGAAGGCGTCGTCAACGTCATCGTCGTGGAAGTGAATGGCGCCGTACCCGGTTGAGGCGCGCGTCCAGTCGACCTCACTTGCATCCCAGTCATGGCTGGTAACGGCGCGCGTGGGCGAGTTGATCAGCATGCCATGTGTGCCACTGGGAGATATATCGCGCAGAGTATTGCTGGAGATGTCCTGGGAGAAATCCAGATCCAGAATGCGCTGCGATGCAACCTCGACACGGAACCCGTCGATCCTGCCGTTGAAGCTAGTCGAAGGGATAGGCTGACGAGCGACTCGCTGAGCCCCCGAGTGACTGGCGATAGTCAGGGGCTGCGAGGAGGTCAGATTCATCCCAGGAACCTGGTGAGTCTCCGCGTGTGTGGTGGACGCCAGTCCGACATGGGCGGATTTAGACTGCGCATCCAGGGCGACTATGCGCGAATCCGGATCCCAGGAGAACATCAGCCGATACCAAGTATGTCGCTTCAGGGGAATCTCCAGGGACACGCGCTGCACTCCATCTGGGGAGCCTGTCAACATCACCAGCGATCCCTCGTCGATAAGGGCCCCCAATCCCGCCCCACCGTCTGGATCGAGCGAGGAGAACAGGTATTGGTCGTGACCGGCCTGGAGCAGCGTGGGTTGCATCCAGAAGGAGATCCGGACTCGCCCCTGAGGCAATTGCTCCCCTTTCCATGGCACTGTTGCAAAGGAGCCCGGACGCGAGAACTGAGGACGACCAACGTGCTGGCCGGAGGGAACGGACTCGACTCGGCGACGATCCTCGGGCGGAGCGTCTGGATGCTGTAAAAGGCCGGGTCCTAGACGCACGAGATGGCTGGAATATTGCTCACGGTGGCAGGAGACATGAATGGCGACGGTCTGGCCGGGAGAAGCGACCAAAGGGTCGGCGTATCCGATAATATGAGAGGCAGCCATTGATTTCAGAAATGAAATGGAGTGGAATGGGATACGAGAAATTCAGATTGAACATTATCTCCAGTCGGCCCAAGCTTTAAGTAGTTGCAGGATGAGATCCCTGTGCGTTACATCGATAATGGAGTCGGTTAAAGGATTCGCTAGTGCTCATGCTCATGCCACGAGGGATTTCTTTGTTATTAAGCGGAGTCGATGGGAAGTACATCAGAGGATATTGCCTCGAGGCATTTCTTTCCCATCTCTGTCTTCTTTACATTGCATCATGGCCAGACTCAACAGTCCGTTTGTACAGAACCTGGTGGCCTCCATTGTGGTTGGCCTGGGACCAGGATTATAGTGAGTCTTGTTCCATATCAGAATAATCTGATCCATCTCGACTAACATAATCCAGTGTCGCCGTCACCAACCTCGGAGCAGGCGGGGGGCCTGCCAACGCCACTAAAATGCAGAACATCGTCAACTCAGTTCTTTACGCGTGCGTACAGCAGTCCATATCTTGATAGTTGCTGATTCTCGGCATCTAGGATCTACTTCGTCGCCGGATTCTTCAGCGGGTCGGTGGTGACCACCTTGGGACCCAGATACACCCTGGCATTTGGCACTTTGGGATATCCTATCTATGTAGGGGCACTATGGTATTGTATGTACACATTCACAATAGAGTCTAGTTCCTGACAATCGCAGTCAGCAACACATCAAATCTATGGTTCCCCATCCTCGGCGGTGCTTTCCTAGGAATCACAGCCGTGCATCTCTGGACCGCAGCCGGATTCATCGCCTTCAGCTACGCAACGGAGAACAAAAAAGGCACATATATCTCCATGCAATGGGGCCTTCTCAGTGTTGGTAGCACCATTGCCTCGTTTGTGGCATTCGGAATCAACTTCCACGCGGGGGAACTGAAATGCCCACCGTCCGTCTACATCGTGTTTATCATCCTGATGACGCTGGCGTTGCCCGTCGCGTTGTTTGGCATCATCTCGCCGGCAGACGTGCGACGTGCCGACGGTATGCCCATCGCACACTATCCGCATCGTGGTGTGTGGCAGGAAATCAAGAGCCAGCGACAGATCCTTCTGGACTGGCGCATGTTGGTGTTGTTGCTGCCCATGTTTGGGTCAGAAGTGGCGATTATAGTGTTTTCGTCGGTGAACTGTAGGTTTCTACCCTATGAGTTCATAGGCTATTTTCGTTAATATTGATGAGATAGCGCTCTACTTCAACATTCGCACGCGCAGTCTTAACTCGGTCATCTTCGTGATCCTGCAAGCAGTAGGAGCCATCGGCACCATGGCTATCCTGGATAACCAGCGGATCGGCACACGACGCGCACGAGGGCTCCTTTCGATCGTGACGATGGGCCTCTTGACACTCGGGCTGTGGATCGGACTCACGGTGTGGTTATCGTCCCATCCGGTCGATCTGACCAACCCGCCACTGTGGGACTGGACGGACGGGCCATTTGGTGGATTTATCGTGTTGACTCTGCTGTTTGGAATAAACATGGTGGCAGTATGTAACCCCAAATCCCTCAATCTCGGAGTAAAGTTAAAATAATACTAACGAAAGCAGTATCAAGTGGTGGTGCAGTGGATCGTCGCGGCGTTAAGCAACGATCCTGAAACTCTGGCCCGATTCGCGGGATTCGCCAAAGGATGTCTGGCTGGGGGCCTCTGTGCGACGTTTGGCACCGAAGCAGCCGGGTTGGACCAGATTTATGTCACGGCATGGACGTTTGCCCTACAGGGGGTTGGCCTCATCTGCATGGTGGCGGTGGCCTGGTTCTGCGTGCGGCCGACCAACTATGGCAAGGAGACGGAGTTGGGCGAAGGAAAGAAAATTCGGACCCTGTCAGAGTAGGAAAGTGTCAACGGAGATTGGCTCTAGATTAGCCCCTTGGCGTACGGAGCAGACTAAATTCTGCCTAGAGCCAACAGTATTCCGTGTTCTAGGGCACTCTAAAAAAATGCAACGTGGGGTCAACTCCTTCCGAGAGACCAGGATGGCCCGTCCGGAAGTGAGGATCATCCCCACCAGCAATCCGTTTGTATCCAGTAAAGAGGCCCAGATTTATTGCTGACAGCGTCGATCGACAGTCAGGAGACCCGTGGCGCCGTTCAACGCGCCCTGATTGGCGATGAGGGATTATTCTACCTCAATCTGACACCTTGGGACCCACTGGAGGGTGTTCGCATTTCCCTGTTGGGAGTCGTGCGTCTCGCGTAACGTCGGAGTCTCATCCTGAGGAACGATACCCTGCTGGCTCCATCCTGTGCAGGATTCCGAAAGATGTTCACTAAGAAAAGAACCAGGTCGGAGAACACCTTCTGTTTGCACTAGTTGGGAGCGTTGGTGTCCTAGTTGCTACATCCCTGTCGCTATCCCCTGTCATGCCATGGTAACTCAAGGCTGAGGGCATATCCTCAGCTAAAATGCAGAGATCTGCTCCTCCGGACCCTCTGACACCATGGATATCCACGCCGATAGAGGCCCAGTTCTCATCGGCAGCGTCTTCCCCGTTGCGACGGTGGCGACGCTGGCCGTCGTGGGGAGACTCATCTCGCGACGCATCAAGAATCAACCATGGCGCATGGATGATTATATGGTGATTGTGGGTTTGGTTTTGACCTGGGGATGTGCCGTATGCGCGACTCTCTGTACCTCTCCCACTGTGTCCTTTGTTTATCGTATACCATACTAAGTATACAGGCGTCCAATACGGCATCGGCAAGCACCTCGAAACTATCAACACCACCTTCCCTTATGTTAAATTCTGGAAAACTCTCTACGCATTCAACCAGGTGTATGTGGCCACGGGACCAACGATCAAAATCTCCCTCCTGCTTCTGTACCGTCGTATCTTCGACACAGCGCTTTTCCGTCTCGTCGTCTTCTGGCTGGTCTGCGTCAACATCGCCTGGTATCTGGCTATGAGTCTCTCGGGGGTTTTCACCTGTCTCCCCGTGAAAGGGTACTGGATCACTGACCTTCCAGGACGCAAGTGTATGAGTCTGTTGAATTATGATATCGGATACGCGGTGGTGAATATTGTGCTGGATGTGTTCATTCTCATCTTGCCGGTGCATATGATCTGGCGGTTGACTTTGACGGCGTCGCAGAAAATTGCATTGACATTTATTTTCCTCCTGGGCTCGTTGTACGTCTTCTCATTCATTGACATTTTAATGACGATGATATGCTGATTGATATAGTGCCTGCGTTACAGCCCTCATGCGTCTCCTCGTCTCAATCCTGCACGTCAACGATCCCGATCTTACCTGTACGTCCTCAACATGTCGATGCTCATTAAGATAAAAACTAACAAGAAAGGGGTCTACCTGGACGCACTCATCTGGACCGTTGTTGAACCCTCTGTCGCCGTCATCTGCGCATGTCTACCCACGCTCCGCCCGGTGTTATCCTACCTCCTCCCGCGAAAATTCTCCCTTAGCACAGCCAGTCGCAAATCCAAGACCGCATACGGAGCATCCGGATACCCGAAGGGATCAACAACACATTCGACAGATCCGCAGCTGTTGGCGCGCTTGGACGACTCGGGATCCATGAAGGCGTTGAACCAGACCACCGTACAGGGTGGCACCGGCGGCGATGACCATGATAGCGAGGGAGGCATGGAGGGGATTACAGTGAGACATAGTATTGAGCTGAGGGAGTATCGCTAGTTTATTTCATTTGTTCTGTTCTTTTCTCTTTTCTATATACCTGCTATATGATACCTTCCATTTTATAGATGTACTTTTAATAGCTAAGAGTTGGGTGGAGTTGGAATACTGATTCCGTATCCCTTTCGTCCGTCTTCGCTGAGGAGAATCGAAGCGACTTGTTCGTTCAGATCGAGTGCCCTGGCTTGCTCGACCCATTCATCAATGTCTAGACTCGGTAGGGGGTGGTCTTCGTCCAGGTATGCGCCTAGGGTGTGAAGTGGTATCTGCACCCCTGGATACAGGGTATATTTGGTACTGGGAATATACAAGGACTGTACGATTCCTCTCGCAACCTCACGCACACAAACCATATCTATCATCCCGTCACAGGTGAACCGCGGCACGGCCTTCATCTTCCTCGAATACCGCATCACGGTATCCAATAGATCCGTGTCAGGAACACCATCGCCAACCATCGTCGTCGGACGATGAACAAACCCTCGGAGACCGAGGTCTTCTGCACGGGAAAGGATGCGCTCGCTAGCCCATTTACCTGCGATGTAGCCATCTGAGCCATCCAGAGGCGGAAAGATGTCTGTGTCTGTATCTGGCTGCTCCAAACGCATCACCCCGGCGGAAGAGACATAATGAAGAGGAATCCCCGCCGTGAGAGCCATTCTCCCCAATTCAACTGCCGATTTGACATTTGGGGCGCGTAAACTCCCGTACGTTTTGAGGAAAGACACATCCGCCCCGTTGTGGATAATGGCGTCAACTGTTTCTGCGAGACGGGCGAATGTCGAGGACATAAGACCGAGATACGGACGGGATAAATCCCCAGGCCAGATTTGGATCTTCGATGATAAAACACCTGACAGGGTATTCTTGTACACCAGGTTATGTGGACGCACAGCAAGACAGTGAATTGTTTCCACTGTCGCGTCATTCACTAGTAGATCTAGGATATACCGGCCAAGAAACCCAGTTGCACCGGTCAACAGGACATGGGATCCTGATTTCAAGACTTTCCTTGCCCAGGTTGGTGCGGGAATGGCCGTTTGCAGATCTAGTAGATGTGTCTGGATCTCCTTGTCCCAGTTTATGCTACTGTTGTTCTCATCGCCAGTTGAGGTGATCCTCGCTTGCATCTCGCGCAGTATACTGACCTGGAAGAGCTCACGAATGGTGATTCGAACACCAAACTCGCGATGAATCGCACCCTGCAGTTTCACCAGAAGCAGCGAGTTTCCACCCACCTGAAAGAAATCCGACTCTGGATGGATCTCGAACTGATCTGTTTCCAGAACATCCTCCCAGACAGTCTTCAATCGATCCTCAACCGAGGCTTTCATATCCACAGTATCAATGCCTCGACGAGACTTCACCCCCACAGCGTCCAACGCCTTCCGATCTAACTTCCCATTCACATTCATCGGTAATTCATTCATCGCGACCAACGCAGCGGGTCTCATTGACGGCGCGAGCGGAATCCTCGCCAACAAACCTGCCAAATACGCATCCGTATCCCCGACACGCTGCGAGAACGTTACGAACCCAAGAAGATACTTATTCTCCTCGCCGCGCACCACCACTGCCGCTTGACGGAGTATCCCTGCGGACGCGGAAACAATCACATTAGCGACTTCGTCGAGTTCGATTCTGATCCCGCGCAACTTGATCTGGAAATCGCCATCGATTCGGCCGAGAAAAACCAGTGATCTATCGGGGAGGAGACGGCCCCTGTCTCCTGTTTTGTACATGGTTGTTGGGGTTGCGGAGAAAGGATCAGGGAGGAATCGTTCGTTGGTTCGTGTCGCGTTATTGAGATAGCCGATAGCGACACCGACACCGGAGATGTACACCTCTCCTGGGAAGCCTGTCGGGACGGGATGCATATCCTCGTCGAGGATATAGACGGAGTAATTGGGGAGGGTGAATCCGACCGGACTATTCTCGTCTTCTGCTCCGGAGGAGATATCAGTGTACGAGAGGACTCCGTACGACGAAGCGAGAGATACCTCAGTAGGACCGTAGCAACTGAGGAGCGTGGGACCACTCTCTGCATCGAGGGCCCGGAATGCCCTTTTTAACGAGACGGTCATGCGTTCTCCGCCACAGACGGCGTATCGCCAAGACAGACATTGTTGGAGATGGTGAATGCCGTAACGGAGAAGGATCGCGTATTCGGATGGCACACCGAGAGTGAAAGTGACATTAGTTGTGCGCATTAACTCGGCTAGATGTGTGGGTTCACGTCGAATGGCGTTCGTGGCGATGATGAGGGTCCCGCCGGTGGTGAGGGCCACGAAGATCTGAAACAGAGATACGTCGAAGCCGAGAGAGCTTTGTTGTAGCACGCGTTCGCGATGTAGGTGGAATTCGCGTGATACGGAGGCGATTTGACCGGCGAAGTTCTGGTGGCTGAGGAGAACGCCTTTCGGACGACCGGTTGAGCCGCTTGTGTAGAGGACAAATGCGGCGTCATCACTGCTGCAGGAGATGGGTACGGGAGATGCACTGGACTGAGATGATGAGAGATCGAGGACTGTAGCGGTGGAATGAAGCCCGTGGACCTTATCCGTGGTTTGTGCATGGGCGATGATGACGTGTGGTCTGCTGTCATCCACGATCAGAGCCAGTCTCTCTATGGGATGATTTAAGTCCAGAGGCACATAGACACCCGCAACCCGTGTGATGGCCAGTAAGGCACAGAGCGAGTCGATTCCGGGTTCGCAGAAAACAGCGACTGTAGACCCGCGTCGGATGCCCTCTTGAAGCAGCGAATTGGCGATTAAATGGACTCGATGTGTGACTTCTGAGTACGTCCACATACGTCCGGTATCGTCTTCGACTGCAATGGCATCAGGCTGCGAGTGCACGATCTGGTCGATCTTATGGATCAAGGTCGATGGCCAGACGTGCTCCACGCATGGGCCCTTTCCCACGTCGAGCTGGTTCCAGGCCTCGTTGGGGTCGAATATGGGACATTCTCTCAATGACTGGACAACATTATTTTGCATATTCTGCAGGATGTGGATCAAGCAATTCAGTAACAAACGTGCATCATGTTGTGTGTACAAGGAATTGGCAACGGCAAGTGTTATGGCGATCGACCCATCGTCTACACACCGGGCGACCGCTCCACCGATTTCAACCCCAGGTATTGCTTCAACGTTAACAGTATCCTGAGACAGGTCTCCCTCAGGACCAGAGTCACAATCCAATGCAATCGTAAACAATGGCTCGCGAACATCTGTACTCTCTATCCTTCCATGGCGCAACACTCTCTCCAGCCTCCGCTGCACATCCCCAAGGAGAGATAGGACTGATTGCCCCGGCTTTGGATGCAGTCTGACGGGCATGACACCCTTGGCATGCACACCGACACATAACTCAGCATCGATATTGAGCAATCTGCTAGCCATGGTCCCTAGCGCCGCTAGATAGAACGCCGTCGTCGAGAAACGGTGTTTGCTAGCCATATTGTCCAATTTCAAACCAAACGAGGAATCTAGTCTTCGCACCACCCTATGCCACCCTACCGCGGAGGAGACATTGCGGTTGGAATATAACAATGGCGGCAGTGGGAGCGGAATCTGCTCTATCTCTGCGTTCCAGAAAGCGGCGCGCTGTTCATCAGTGATGGCGTCACCTTCCAGCGTCAACTCATACCGTCTGGCATCGCCCTCAGACACATACATCTGTGTCTGCACAGTTGAAGTTGCGAGAGTCGTCATGTCTATTATTTATTATCGTACAATACTTGGATCATGTCCATCCATACGATTGGGCTATAGTACTTATCTACATATTTAAGCCTCCAAATCAAACTGCACAAGACTGCGGTATTTTTATCATTGGTTCTGTGGGAAGGATTGCGTACCAGGCGATCTGGTGCCGACGGTGCAGGAAACAAAACTACACCTGTTGTTTCCGTTGGAGTCATTGCTGGGTCCACCACACATGTTCGGAATTGGATCGGGCTGATCCTGAATATCACGGGGACGCCGTCTTGTTTCTCGTGCTAATTACCAGGAAAATGCAACGGTGCCAAGCCGCTTGAGCCGACGTTGCAATGCATCAAGCGGCCAAGGATGGCTGATGTGGACAAGGATTAATTAATCTGTGTGCGTTAAGCGAATTTACAGCCTTTACTATTTACTCCGAATTCGAACATCAAGGTGGACTGATTCTCGAGACCAATGTAGACTAACTTGCGCAAATAATCCATCTACCTCCGTTCCATTTACGATCGCGAAGATCTTCTAGCCAATGCATCTACTTTTCATCCAGTCCGACTAAGTATATACTAGGCCAAGCTTCCACAATCTTACCACGTCTATGACCCGACTGCAGAGGACGGACAGCTCAGTCTGACCTGAGAAAATTAGGAGTCCACGTGATTCATTCCATTCAGAATACCAGTTCATAACTAAAATATTACATGCAGCTAACAACACGGATTCAGTTCCGCTGGCGAAGGAACGATGTGGATCAATTAGGTGGTGGGTCGGTGGATCGCCGAATCTGCAGCTAACCATCCAACTCGGAATATTTTGGTTGAATGATGTTTGTGTTGGATTATAGTACAATTGACATTCAAGTAGGGATCGAGGAGGATATTACGATCCTTGTTTTTCAGATTATTTGAGGAATTATATCTGAGATTCTATTCGTAGACTCAGATATTCTTATAGTTATATATCTCACCAGTGAGGCTCACATAAGCTTAATATACTTACTAATAAGGGTATCACAGGAGTGACGGTGGACAGCCTGTTGAACTATCTCCAACCTAACATTTGACGAGATACTTGGATTTCCTGTTTTCGCTATATGACAATGTGATTGTTGATAAGTTTCGCAACTCTATAGCATGGATTTTTGGTGTCTCAATCGACAGGACAAGGCCCGGCTCCATTTTCTCTTGAAGTGATCATCTCACGGTATCTTTGGGCGGACGCTGAATAATCTGCTCTCTTATTTTGAGCGCCTTCTCTGGGTTTTCCATAACCCTCCGGTACTAGTATAGATATCACTGCTAACTCTATAGTATGTACGGTTTCGATAAGGCCTGAACTCCTCTCTTGATATGCAGCAGGTCTGAGCTGTAACTATCCCCGGACATATCCATCTGCTGTCTCACTGTCCACACTTGAGCATGAACCTTAACCTCTTAAAGCTTCAGAGCGATGGACAAGCTTTGTCGGAGACTTATAGGGAAAAGAAGAAGCCCATTAGCTTCGGTACGTATTTCGGTATAGACAGAATCATTGATAAATAACTGTAAGTGAATTTTTTTGATTTGTCCATTTCTTCCATATCGAGCTATTATAGCTCATCCCATAGAGGAGAAGAGGAGCATAATAGACGAACTGACATAGCTGTTTCATTAATAATCCTGCAAATTATAAACCTATCTTCAGGTTTAAAATGCAGACCCCGAATTCGGCCAGAATACCACCCCGTATCCCACTATTCGACCCCATCTGAGCCAGCCGCCAGATGGCGACAGGCTGCCAAAATTTAAGTACGGCGCTCCGAACATTACCTTCATCCGCGGGATTTGCTCGCATTCGATACCGAGGTTTCTGCAGGCGTCGGAATGATTGTTATGTTGATAGGCTCGATTATCGAACCATACCCGCTGGGCTACCATTATTCTTATTCCTGCCTCAGTCGCTTCCATTATCTTCGAAGGCTGTGTATCAGCATTAACTTCGGTCAGGACCGCGTATTCAATATTTTCCCGCTCTTGGTACTGGGCAGAATCAAATACGTCCGTTTCATATGGATCCACGGTAATCAACAAGAATCTTGCTTTCTGAATTCCCTGTGTGACCAAGAAATCCGCCTCCGTGTTCTGCTCCGTTGGTCGTCTCTTTAACCTATTACCTATTAATCGCTCCATGGCCAGGATATATGCCCAGAAAGGTTTAATATCGAAAAAAATCTCCGAGTTGCGGTTGAGGATTATTTTCCGTTGAGGCTATATAAGCTCAGCTCGCTATGCGTTATCATTAGGTGTTAACTGCAGTGTTTGTCGATTTGCGAGGTCTTGAAGAGAAATATGTTCTATGTCCGAGATCTGGCCTACCTTATTATTTGGATCTGTATCTTTATTAGAATCAACATCTTGATCAGAATCCGTTGCCTTCTGTTTGCCCTTCTCTGTTCATTGTACCTTTTCCGGGGGTCAAAATCTGCCCCAGGGGTTTTTTCCCCATACCTTTTATCAGTACTCGCTCACCTACATAGGTTAATAACCCACAAGTTAAGATTCCGAGACAGACCACTAAACGTTCGTGAATAAGTAGCTCTTCGGTCCAAATGGCACTTCTGACTCGTTAGGTCGAATCAGTAACGACGCGCCATTATAGCATGTCTGAACCTGAGTAGTCGCGATATCCACAGTGTGTTGTTTAGAAAACTCCTCTTCTATTGGTACTTGGGCCGTTGTTCCCAGCGTCCTCAGATGCATCTGGCTGTGGTGGATCTGCAACGCTGAATGTTGACTCTGAGGCCTTTCAATGGTGGGAGATCGTATAACGCTGACCCCCGTTCAAATGTCTTATTTGCGGTCGGGATAGATAGCGGCTCAGATAGACTTGTTTGGAACCATCATATGTACCCTCGAGGTCGAGAAATGATAGAATCTTGTCATATCAACAAGAAGTAAACTTCAGTAATTCCTCAGGCTAAAAAGGATATCATGGCCCTAGATAGGTAGGATCATTCTCTGAGCCCTGGTCGATTCTGGCAACGCCTTTTCATGGGAGTCGTGGCTATCACCGTTGTATCTTTTCAGGTCTGGGTCTTCGGTTGGCCGGTTCACTCGACGCGGCAGATGGAAATGCAAGCGACAAAGATGGTATCAATTACGCCCCGAAAATAAACGGTTTATAGAGAAACAACGCCCCACACGCGTGAGGAAAGACGTCAAACAACGAAGGGGAAGGTGTGACGCGGGAGATCAGATACCTAAACATAGCATCTCATGTCATGAAAATATCAACTGTTGGGAAGAAAACAATTATCTACATGAAGCTTTTGTAGGCCAATCCTCTGCTAGCGAGCTGCGTGACGCGTAGACCCCATGTCGGGTCTGACAGAGGGACGCCATTGGGTATTAGTGATCCCAGTGGGATACACTTTCAAATAAATGCGTTATAGAGAAAAGGAGAAGCGAGATGAATGAGATGGGAGGAGCGCTATCTTAATTCAAGTCGAGCCCCAGGCATTTTCCGCGTACAGACAACATGACAGGTGGATAGGACTAGGACAAGGCTATAAATGATGAAGTAGGTAACAATTAGAGATGTGGGTATAAGACAGATATTTATACCCATAGGGACTCAGACATTCGCTCTAAAACAGACGTCAAGTGATATGATTTTCCTGTTTTTGCAGGATATAATTCACGTATTTAGTTAATAAAATCTATCACTTGCATTCGGGTAGCGAACGTAGAAATTGGATTAATTTTTAAGCGAAGTAAGGCCATATGCATAACATGCATAATGCAGTGAAGAGAAAGATAGTTGTTATTTCAATTCTAGGTGCCTCCCGATTTTTGTCAACCTTGAGAGATATGTTAGATTACATGGAAGTATACAGCTAGACGTCTCATGGCATCATTTTGTGGTCGAACAGTGTTTTCCACACTACTTGAGCAGTCCATAATCAAGCATCAAAACGTCTGTTCTTCCAAAGCCGTGTTTATTTATATGGTCTTCAAGCAATTCTGGTCTTAGAGGATGAATCCACAACGGAGATGCTAAAGAATAATCAGGATATAATGTTGAAACCCACTATAACTATCTGACTCACTATTATGGCCCTCCTAGGGCGCAGTTTTAACTTAGTTGAATGGTTTTGTTCAGAGATATAGTGGACACAATTTGAGACAGTAAGAAGTTATAATAGCCCTTATTGAGCAGCAAAGAATTGAAATATCGGAATTGGATTCGTTCTTTATGGTATAATTTCGGCAAGAGCTTTCACGGCCGACCCGATCGGGAACATTCGATAGAAAAAACCACAGCGTCAGCCGCAAACGACTAGCATTCAAGGCATTTTTGGTTAATCGATAAGGAACCTTCGGATATGCTGCCAGATCGCCAAGGCTGTAGGTAATGGCACTGAATGTGGCGGCTATAAGTTCAAAGCCTTGCAGCAGTCTGATCATCACAAGATCCTTAAATAGCATCACAAACTCCCGAGCTGAAGAGGCATCTGACTTAGCTTAAAGTGAGATCCAACCCAGGCCCACTTTCGCTATTTTCCACTGCTTGAGTTTAGCCATTAGAGAGTCTATTATGACATCAATAAATCTCAGACCCTCGTCGCAGCTGGAGGAAATCTTGCACAAGTTTATTGAAACCGCATCACATTAGCTAACTAGAATATGGAGAGAAATGCTCAACAGAAAAGTCTCCAACTGCTTCCTCTGTTTCACGACTACAGCATGCTGCCTGTGGAAGGCTCTGTACTCTTGTTCCTGTAACCTGCGCGAAGAGGCCCTGTAAACTAAAGCAGAATACATGCAATTCAAATGAAATAAATTTGCGTGAGTCCTGCTGCATTACCAACTATCCTAACACTACTCCAATAAACACACAGTTTCGTTCAACATTGAGGAATCCACCCCAGTGGCTTAAATTTGGCCTAACATGAAGTGAGCCGCAGCCCCATTGTCGTTACTGTTCTTGTGATCGTTTAAAAATTTACATACTCTGATGTACCAGTCGTTTCCAGTGTTGGATGTTTGATTGGCAAGTATAAAAGCTTTTTATTTCGCCTGTTTTCATTGCACTGACATGAAATCCCTTGGTTTCTTCCCAGTCACAACGCATCTGGAACGTGATATTGCCCGCGAGTACACCACCAATGCGAACAGCTCCCTCATAGCTGGTGAACTTTGCTATCTGAGAGAAAACAAGTAAGTTATCCATATTAGAGATAGAATCCTTGAATATATACCTTCCAAAAAGAAGAGAACCCCCTCGTAATGTCAGGTCTTGTCCACGCAGCAGCGCTAGTGAGGGGATTCTGAACATAAACTGGTTGTGTTGTTATAAATGGTCGAGGGTGTGAATATAGTCAGTGTAGAAATATTGGACTTTGGGGGGCTTGAGAGTGACTTAAAAGTAGCTTTAATGGAGCATGAAAGACACTAGAGAGGGAAAGAAATATATGGCCTAATAAATAGCTATTCATCATTTATAGTTAATACTCTCGCTCTAAGGTGTGTAATCCATGCTAAGGAGGGAGAGCCACTTTGTGCGACAGAAAACTCTCATCAGGCCACCCCACGCCTCAAAATCAGAACTACTCAGATAGCCAGCCCAGTGGTTTGTCCCAACGTTGCCAAGCATTATGTAGCCTGTGAACACAGGCGGTGTTACGCAAGGCTGTATGCTTGATGTAACCCCTGTACCAATAGCAACATTTAAATATGTCGACAAAAATGCGTCTATATTACTGACTATTCAGCATCCACTCTGTCAGATTTTGTTCCTTTGCTTTTGACCATTTCTATTCGGGTCTACCAGATAGATTCAGATAGTTAGAGACCTTCATTCTGTTTCATATGGATACTGGATCATACGCATATTACCTGGCTCGACAAAATACTGGGAGTTGTCTTGCCAGAGATTGTAACATTATATCTCAGTCTGTTTATCCCGTGCCTACTTTCCCTTCCTGGTGATTCATCCATACTTTGGTAAGACTCGCCCGTACTTGCTGCTGGTGCCTCTTATTATACAGTATTTGGCGCAAGCCCAGCGTCCAGGGTGGAACTAGCGTGGAGTGCCCTATCCACACCCCAGGCACTGAGATCCAATGTCACTCCAAAGGTGCTTTGATTATTCGGCGTGGCACCTTGTAGATAGTAAAGCCAACCATGGTAAAGAGCGGATTCTGACATGCAATAGGCAGTGACTGGCTAGTATAAGGAAGGTCGTTAGACAAAAAAGATGTACAAGGGTGGAGGATAAGAGTAGCGAAATTGGCATGGGCCTATCACCTAAATGGGGTGTTGCAAAAAATGCAGTACGATGCTCACCCTCGCGTGCAACAAAGTACCCCACAGCTATGAGCTACCGGCACTGGAAAAATGCCACATTATGTTCATTCCACAAGTGGTATTGAGTTATTTATATACGTAAAGCTGACACCTTTCAGAACATGACGTGTGCGTCGGGTGCATAATACCAAAGACAGAAACTAAATATGCTGCGCACAGGAGATGCCTACTCCAGGGTTTTATGAAGTGTATAGTGCTAAATTATTTGGCCGCTTAAAATAGCTACTACAGAAGAGCCACCAGGACCGCAAGGTGGTGGGAACGTGGTGTTAACTATGGAAGATGGCAGCTTCTGCAGTGAATGGAATTGGAATGAAGAGGTGATTAAAATGATGATATTCATGTGCTAGCTTGATTTGCTGGAAATCACTGGGAAAAAATCAATACTTGAGGCTGACTAGGAGTTACTGGGCTTTTTTAATATTTTAACGGTCCTTCAGCAGATGGATCTAATACTGTAGCCTTTCCGCTAAACTCTGATTTACAGATTCGCCTGCAGCGGCCATTCATACTGATTCCAGAACGAATTATTATCGGTTCGCAGCGTATTCAATGTCATTCTTTCCTGCGCTCCTGCGTTCAAATCACTGCCGAGTCTGGTAATCTCTGCTCATCACACCACTCTGGAGTTGGAGGCTGATTCTTTTTAAATCTTCTTTCTCTCTGTTACGGCACCATACAACCTGACTATATAAAGCGAGAACAGTTCAACAGGACCCCTGATGTTTGTTCCGCATTTGTACTAAAAAAAAAAAAAAAAAAAAAAAAAAAAAAAAAAAAAAAGCCAAAGCTTGTTCGGCCGTAAAATTAAGCCCATCAACTCCGAAGCACTATGAAAAACAGAGTAGGGTGATGATGCTGTCTGACAGTTAACCTATTACGTAGATATGGTGGACGAACCAAAATAGCGTGAAGTTTGTATATTCCACCAGTTGCTCTGTCTCTCGAGATCAATCGTGCCATAAAAGATGATCTCACTCAACTTTGGCTGGAGTATATCTCTTATCTGAGTGACAATTAATAAATGAAGAGACACGTCTCTTTGTTACATGGGCATCGGCTTTTGAATCACAATAGCCGTCTATTCCGGCCATAATACTAGGTAGGAGCTTGACACTCATAGGGCATATTTTACACTGAGCTGAATTATATGTCTAATTTTTTGGTCATCGCCCTTTAACTAGTCGTTTCCTTAGCCAACAAACTATGCTCTCTGTAAGCTATCTCGATGACTACATCGACACCATGTTCACCTTGGGTCGTGTCATTGGCAACAGGGATGTTTGAAAACTGCCGATTCGAAAAATATTGTCACCAATGTCACTATCGGCTTAATTGTAGGTAAGTGGTATGACGCACCCACGATCTCTCAGTCGCCAATGCCCATTACGAGGATAACAGCAACGTCAAGGTCCAAAATGATCCTTGCGATTGCTTTCAAGGCCGCCTCGAATTCTGTCAATTTCAGCAGTTCAGTCGAACCATGGCAATCTGTCACGATGGATATCGACACAAACAGTAAAATAACTCGAATCGACATAATTCTCAGTGAAGATGCCATTCAAACGAGCCCGTAAGTTCAAACCTTCTGATACGCTAATCTCTGGAGTTAATGGCTGTCTCGTTGACAAGCCAAACTGCTTTACGAAATCGTTCCAGTTTGCTGCGGACAAGCCCGGTGTCAAGGACACGGCCGTGGCAGGTGTAGCGCTGAACCACAGCCAGCAAAATCTGCCCTCCACACCTGAGGAAGTAGAATACGTCAGTGTGTCAATGGATGAAAAGCCCTCGGAACAAGACGCTCGTGCCTGCTGAGCCCTCGCCAAGCCCCCAACCATCAGGCAAAGGGATCCGCAAGACGCCATGTACGATTGATGTGAGGATGCCATCGTAGGACAGATTATCCTCAATAATGTCCAGTATATGCTCAGAAGAAAAAAGCAAGGATAACTACCCCTCATAGCACAAAGCCACCTTTCCCAATACGATTTCCACGTCAGTCAGGATTGACACTGAGGGCTCCATTTAGGGCCACCGCCATAAAGTCAGGCAGCACATGTATATTCCATATTTATCGTTGACATAAGGGGCCTATTACCTATCTATACAGGCACCTTGGGAATTTCGCTTCGAAGCACTGTTGTTGTTTCGATTCTTAAACTAGAAGTAGGTAATATGCTACCACTGAGACAATCAAATCAGACATCAGGACTTTAACTCCCGCTCCATCATCTCTACCGCCTCATCACGGTGCTTCTCATTGTCAAAATCTACGATGAAATCCCACCTCGGCAATAAGTTCGCTCTCAGTTTCCCCAAGTCCAGCTTCGTTTCCTCGCTCAAACCGGAAACGATCAGCCCCGTGCCCCGGCTCGACTCGACGATGCGCTGCGTGCGTGGGCGTCGGACCTGGTCGTACACCTTTAACGAAGTCCGCGCCTCAGCAGCTGTTTGGGCGCGGCCGAGTAACGTGGATAAAATCAGGCTGTCCTCGATGGACATGCTGCCGCCAGAACCCTGCCAAGGGGTCGTGGCGTGTGCAGCGTCGCCCATGATGCAGACGGAGCCTGATATGTAGGTACTGGCGGGTGGATGCTCCCAGAGGTACATCGCGGGCTGTTCGACCTGATCACAAAGCAGCTACATGGTCTCTGTTAACCTCTCTATCAACAAAAACAAAGAAATCATCGTACTTCATCCACAGCCTTGTACAGATGCGGCGGCCAGTCCTGGTAGTGCTTCTTGATCTCGTCGGCGCTCACGGTCCGATGCCAGCGGTCCGACGACTCGGCATCCTTATCGTGCACAGCAATGATAAACTGCACCACCTGGCCCTGATTTAGGACGTTGTGCATTAAGTAAGTCCCGTTACCAATCCACATATATTCACGGGCGTCCTCGATGTTGACAGGGCCCTTGCCAATGCTGGCCTGAGCGTCGGAGTATGGCTTCAGGGCCATGACGCACCACGCACCGGTGTTCCTGGGAATGGCCGCGGGGTCGTCCTCACCAAGGATGAGCTTGCGAACGGTGCTGCGGATTCCGTCAGCGCCAATAAGGATATCACACTCATGGACAGTCCCATCGGTGAAATGGAGCGTGAGAGAGCCATCACTGTGCCGGTCGAAGTGGTCAAGCTTCTTGGAAGCATGCATGCGCTCTGGGGGGACATCGGCCAGCAATTCACGCAGAAAAGCGGCACGGTGAACGATGCTAGTAACGCGTTGTCCGCTTTTGGTTTCATCGATCATGCTGCCTGCACCCTCACCTTGGGCCAGCATGAATCGGACTCCTTGCATGGGAACGGCACCGGCCCGGTCGAGGCATTGCGCCGCTGACGGGCCAATAAGATCAAGAGCAGCGAGCGCGTTTCGAGCTACTCCGATGGCCATGCCGGCCTCTTTAAATGCCGCGGCCGACTCGAAGATGTGCACGTCCAGGTGCGCATGGGGGAGGAGGGCGTGGAGAAGGCACGCACCCGCCAGGCCGCCGCCAGATATGGCGATCCGGACTGCAGACATGGTGCTGAATGAAGATTTGTTTTCCTTTTGTGAGTTAAGAGTGAGAATCGCGACTTTTTATGATGCCTTGGCGGTTCAAGCCATCCCAAAAGCGAAGTAAGCGGGGTGTGCCTGCCTGGAACCCGCACCTCTTTGTTTGCTGGTGTCATGATCCATATTCAATGGAACAGGTTGAATGTTACATACATATGTAAGATACAGTTTCCTCCAGCTTATGATCGGCAAATGATGTGATCTCCATCCATTCACGAGGTCTATTTCGGACCTCATATTTACGACTTTACAAGGGTGGGGGCGGTTACGACTGGTGCTTAGAATTTGTCAAATGAAAAATTACTGTTCGGGCAGCCAAAGTGCATAATTTGTGGTATTTCATACAGTATCTTAATTATATTCACAGAAATATTAGATTAGTTGAAGCTGAGATTCAGAATTGATCAATAATTTCAGGGAGTTTGCTTTTCCATACAAACAAGTGTAATCAGCGAAATACTGGGCAGGTAGACAGCTTATCAACTTGGCAAGAACAAATATATGTCGTCTTCTCTCGTAAGGCATGATAGATATTGTATCTAGTTACAGATGCAGTTAATTAGAGCCGAGCATAGCCAGAACATAGAGGACTAAGTCCCGGTCCAGATCAGACTCCGCTATCCACTGGAATCAAACACGTCGGCTGTTGTACCCAAAGTCAGCGTCGAATTCAGTTGTGACATCGCGGCTTGCCTAGAAGCCATAATCGGGATCGAATTCTGTGTTGCCATCGCGCTTGACCTTGAAACCATAGTCGGGATCGAATTCTGTGTTTCCATCGCGCTTGACCTTGAAGCCATAATCGGGATCGAATTCTGTGTTTCCATCGCGCTTGGCCTTGAAGCCATAATCGGGATCAAATTCGGTCGTCCCATCGCGGCGCTCCACTGTTCTCAGGCGACTCTCTGGTGAGTTTGCTGCACATAATTTTGAGGAACATAGAGTAGGTTGCTTACCTGAAGTCATCGGTGCAGCTGTAGCGAGAGCTGTGAGCAAAACAGCGAGGAGAAGCTGCTTCATGTTGGAGGTATGTTGCTTGCTTGCTGTCTTGAACTTGGAGGGCCGGCGCTTCTTGTACTGAGTTGAGTATTCCTCCTTAACAAGTATTATTGCACAACCAGTCTTCGCACTACCAACCGGATGATGGATACTTTAAATACCATCCCAAGCGCAGTACACTACCTCCCTCCTGCATATCGTAAATTTCCGAGTTTCCATAGATGTTATTTGCAACTGCCACTAAATATAGATACAGTATTAAACAATGACCTGCCACAGATAACGCATTTAGACATAGAGACCATGGTAATTAAAATACTGACAGACCATTTGTACCTGGCTGTATAATAATTTCAAAATTTACAATATGCAGGCCAAGGCGTAACACGCACTCTCACGCTGTCGGGACGTGCATAGGCCCAAAACTTCCACCCAATCGCAGCTATCTAGCATATGAAATCAATTGAGCGGCGTAGCTACTGAGTAGTAATACTGCAGTAATTGTTAGTTTGGAAAGTTGCCGAAAAGGGGCCTCCATTACATATGGCGTACTGTCAGCCTTTAACCGTCCCTAGTACGAAAAGATCTACGGCATTGCCCCTGTTCGCCAGCCTGGCCGAGGAATACGACATTAAAAAACCTGCTCGTAACCGAAATTATCCCCTACATTGGCTGTAAAATGCCATTGGCTGTAAGATGCAGTCACTCAGCAACGAATCCAAGGACCAGCTGACCCTCTTTGTTCCACGGCGCAAGGCCATTGGCATGTTATACATCCTGTCTTCTAATAGAAACAAAAAAAGAAATAATTACATCATGCAGCCTTCTGCAGCCCACGCCCCTCCCCCCCAAATCAACGTGGCCCTCGAGTTAGGCAGCTGCTTTGGCCGTTTCCACATTAAAGGCTTCGCCGAGATCTGCCGGCATGCGCTTCCTGATCGAACACGCCAACTCGGTTAACTGGCCCTCAGATGTCTCGTAGGATGAAATGTGGAGGATAACAAGGTTACTGCTCCGGAGCTCCACCTTTTTACGGTGTCGTTCACGCATAGCATAGCGGGAGCAGACCTCTCGAGAACTTTTCAGAATTTTCAGAACTTCTTTGTTGGTGACAGGAGATTCATTGTATTGCTGTGAGACTTTTTCAGTCGCACCTCTGTAAGACTGAGCTATGTCGACCGAGGAGCATAAGCCGTTTTTAGACAGAGCGAGCGAAGACGAGAGCTTGAATAGTTCTCATTTGGCATGCTCGCACAAGAATAGGAATCGACTTCTGGCTGTTTCAGTGGTTGCAAATGCGATGTTGCTAGTTGCCTGCTTACTCTTGAGCGTAACAGTGCTGTCCCTCTCGAGCTCTAATACACTGAGTGCTGGCCGTGGGAAGATCGCGGAGCCATACTGTAAGGGGATCGTTTCATTCATGAAGGTTGCGACCGGATTACTTATGGCCTTTATTTTCAGCGCCTGCGAACGACATCATTGAATATGAGTACCGATCAATGGTATCTAATGACACTCGGTTCACCGGCCATCCGGGGCCAGAGTGGGAGCAATCAATACGAGAATTGATGGAAGGTAAGTTGTCTCGTATCGCAATTTAGTTCTAGGTACCCTCTTATGACATTGGTATTTAGGGACGCTCATACGGATATCCGAGGACGAACTGAAGCGATCCGGTTCCGACTCCATACCGCTGAAAGACGGTGGATACGCAGCAGGCCTTGGAGTTGCTCATAGCCTTCACTGCGTGGTATGTCGAACAGCCGTTTCCTTTTGACATTAAATGAAAAAATGCAGCCTCTCATTGTTGCGGGTGTCAAAACAGAAAAATATTAAGCAGTTCCTGTACCACGAACACTTCTACCCTGACGTGGATCCAATGGGAGAGAAATTCGACTATCTTCGATCCCACGCAGGTCAGTTCTTTAATACTCTCCATATGTTTCCATTACATTCTTTTGTCTTCGCTTTGGGTGCTTACGTATGTTTCAAGATCACTGCCTCGACTTCCTACGTCAAGGCAGCATGTGTCACTTGGACTACTCCCTGTACACGGTGTACTGGGGAGAGAGAAGAAAGGATATCCCAACACACCATGTTCCAAAAGTGCAGAAATGTGTGAATTGGGATAAGCTGCATAGGTGGATGGTGGAGCGAGCGGCAAATACTGATATGTTGGTGGGACCATGAAGTGGATGCTGTATTTTTTCATACCAAAAGGTTTGCTCTTTGATAAGTGTTTCCAACAAGGCACCCTGGCTTGCTCTACTCCTCTTTATATTGTGTGGCATCTTAGCTCCACTCTTTATAAGAGCAAGCTCTCTGTAAATAGCTCCCTTTTCTTTTTCTCTCGGTTAGGATTTGCTTGTTTAACGCTACTAGAATCGAGTTTACTTCGCTTCTCTGCTTGGGCTATTACAGTATATTTGGTTTGTCTATGGACATGTTGAGTCCACTTCCGTGCGATCTTGTCACGGTGCCTGCCCGTACAGACGTCCTGGATGGTCTAGGCACCAGCTTCCCCGAGTTAGCTAGACAGGTGATCCACGGTCTGCATACAACCTGCATGTGCTTAAGGTGACGCTGAAATAACACTTCATTCGGAGTGGTTCAAGTTCACCTGGCCGATACTTTCAACCTCATCACTCTCGCACCAAAGTATCAAGGAAATTATCAGGGCCTTCGAAATTGACCGCCCTCTCCTCAGCCCATTCCTGAATACGCTTCCAATTAGTGCATTTTCGGGTCCCTGTTCTATTACCTTGAATTTCGTTGGGACTCTTCCAGTAATACGTGTTAACCGTTATGTCGGCGTTGCACAGGATGCCCTGGCGGAGAACCTCAAGACAGTGATCTGTCATGGTACGTTAGTTCAAGAATAGGGGCTCAGAATTACGACAGCACTCACCCCAGTGGCCAGGGGTGAACGCATCGGTGCCTTGGAGCTCGGGATATTGCTCTGGATATTGAGATTGATATATTCGTTTCTTGATTTGAATTGTAAGAAGGGTCTGTCTGGAATGGAAAGGGCATCAAAAGTCCCAAGTACGTACCACGCAATGCAGCATATGGATAGACTCGAGATATCCAATGTAACCACTCCCGTCTCGTAGTCGGATGGAAGTTTTATTCAATCTCCTTAGCTCGTCTTCGGAGATTTTAATGATGCCCCCTAATTAAAGGATGACCAGTCAACCCATCGCATTTAACAACAACTGAATACAGACACCTACCTCTGAGCAATTGTGACCAGGCTTTGTCAACTTCCGGGCGAGGCTCTCCAGTGAATTGACTTGGGCCGTGTCCATGATTAATTTCTTCGACTGTGTACTGGAGAGCCGATTGTGCGGGTGCTATGTTGCAACATCATGACATTTAGAATTAGGAATGAATGGTTATCTTTATTGTCCAACTCACTATACGCCTTTTCAAGTGCATCAGCGTGAACATCACTATTTTTGTAATCGCTCGCAAAGCTTAAATTCCTGATAAGAAATGTAATGTTCAGAGCCAGGAAGGCGATCTGAAGGATGAACAGAAGACCATGTGTCTTGAGAAGCCGGGACTGTGAAAGTCCTTTTTTGTTTCGGGGAATATCTCCGTAGTGAGGCTCGTCCTGCTCACCGGCCAGAAATGGCCTTTTCTCCTTGTCTTCGATCGAAACCATCTCGCAGTATTTACAGACCAAAGTTAACGGTATCTGCGGTGGCAGCAGCAGACCAGAATACAAAACTAATAACAACCTTGTGAGCCGGCTCTGCCAGGCACTCGTAGATAGTGTTGGTCAATTATCTGTATGGCTTCCGCGTTAAGTAAGGTTATCATCCATCCATGTTCTTTGTCACGACAACCTGCAGCACTACTAATTTAGCACACAATTGGGCTCAGGCAGGCATGCCCGTGTAAGACCGTGTAGATCAGGCTGATAAGTCCGTAATTGGAGCCCGTGGTACCCGTGATTGGCGAGGCGGTGACTATCCCCGTCACTGCTTACATGCCGAGAGGCATTGGATGCAGTGCAACCCAATGTCAGCAATATACTAGCCAGTTAAAACTATTATCTTATATAGGGCCCCATTTTCAACTCTCAGCCAAGGAAAGTACCCCGTGTACGCGGCAGGATAAGTACAGTACACACCTCTGGCCTGTATGTAAGTAAAATTCCAAAATTAGTATGCAGCCACGTACAAATAGTCTGGCTGTATTTGAATTTCCGTCGTCTATATATATCATGCACTATATATAGTAAAGAATTGTTAAAACTGTATTTATAACTAGTGGCAATGGTAATTAAAATACTTTGAAGATCGGAATTTTACATGCACGCCAGAGGTGGATACCACACTTCTTCATGTACATACTCTGTAAGTGCTTTTCCGGGTTTGAAATCCCGTCCCTACCCCGCTCCCCCGGAGAATATTCACTGCCGAATATAACAGTAATGGCTTAACCCCTGCTATCCTGTTAGATATGTGTGCACATGATAATTTTTTGGTGTTTGTGCACGTAGGTGGGTACAGATCCTGGCTGGGCTTAAATCCTGCATTGCATCAAGACTTTATCGTCACTGTTTCCAGCTAGGACTTCATAACCATGACTTATGTCAACAAAAGCAGTGTTACTGCCATTGGCATTGTCTTTCCGGTCCTTGTTATGATATCGCTTGCTGCCCGAGCATGCGGATGGCGAAAATATTCCCGAAACCTCGAAATTGATGACATTCTTATTGTCCCAGCTGCCGTGAGTCATCGACAGGGCTATCTGCATTCAATAAGGATTGTTTAACTGCTGACAAAGGCTGGTAGTTGCTTACCATAGCTGCCGGTGCTGCCATGGTAATAGGTAAGATACCACTGTCGTACACTCTTAACGCTGTGTTCTAAGTGTGCTTGATAGGGGCACAAATGAACATTATTGGGGGACATTCTGTTCCAGTAATCACTCCTACAGAACAACACCAACTTGGAAAGGTTCTTTTTCCGCCACCTTACAATTTTACGAGCTCGAAAAAAGTGCTGAAGCAAGGTCCTCCAGTTCGAGTACGCTTTCTGGATAGCCCATGTGCTTGACATCGGCTTCATCAAATTGGCGCTTTTGTTTTTGTTCCGCCGCATATTCAAAAGTGAGTCACCATTCCCTAAGACATAAGTAGCTGCAACGTGACAGACATATGGGCTAAGAGAGCAGGCAACGCCTTCAGAACCCCCTTTGACTATGCCAACTGGACTCTTATCATTCTTGTCATCCTCTGGACTGTAGTTTTCTTATTCTTTGAAGTATTTGCATGCGGTGCAGACCCGTCCGTAAGCTGGTCCGACCTGTATTCGCTGCGTCAAAAGTGTGTAGACACGTTCGCGATGCAGACTGGCTGCGCAGTCTTCAGTTGGATTATGGATCTTGCCATTCTGGTCGAGCCGCTTTTCATGGTATGTAAATTGAACTAATATCACGCTGAGAGTTATTTTCTTAACATACCCTTAGATAGCACCGCTAAAGATGAGCTTTCGGAAGAAGCTCCAAGTGTGCCTTGTCTTTTTTTGCAGTATTTTGTAAGTCCATGCTAGGAAGAGACGAGTGCGGCTTGAAATTATGACACTGATCTTTGTATAGCGCTGTGGTTGCAGGGCTTTTGAGAATGATTGTTTGGATTCAGATAGAAGTCCAGGGCACTACGAACCCGCAAACGAAGGTTCTTGATACAGTTCTGCCATCGGTTGATCAAGAAGGTAGGAAAAGCCATAGAGTCTAATGCTATGCTGCCACTAACCCGAACTCTGAATATAGGCATCGTCTCCATCATCCTCTTCTGGACGTATGTCGAGATCGGTGTGGGGTTCCAAGTCGCTTGTCTTCCTCCTTGCGCTCGGCATCTCGATAAACTGTCCCTTAGTCGCCTGATGATCAAACTTGGCTCGCTTCCATCAGTTCTTTCCATATCCAAGAGGAGCCCAGACTCAAATAGACATTTGACGTCAAGCTACAAGCCCCAGAAATCACGTTCTGACGATGAGATCGAGCTATACAAGATTCCGGGTCCGAATCAAGTCTGAGAAGAGCTTTATATTCTATAGTTTTGAATTGATGTGCTGATGGAAGAGATTTACATCTGTCATTTTGAATGTGGCGATTGCCTACTCCTCTTGCAGCTTGCTTTCGATTTGCGTTGTTTTTCTCTCTGTACCGCGGCGTCTTGCTGGGCCTATCCAAATATGCGATTGATTCCTTCGAGTAAACAAAGCTTGGCGGGTACAGAATAGTGGTGCGAAGCACACGGTGGAACGCTAAAGTGGCGGCTTGCCGCTAGGATTTACGGGTGGAAATGCGGTCGTTTATGGCCTCAGTAGCGGTCACATTCGGCGTCAGTTTCACAGGTCCTCGCATAGTTGTAAAGCAAGACCTGTGATTTCCTTCTGTAGTTAGATTTACTATTTCCATCATGCCAAGCCGTTTGTAATGTCGCTCACCTTCGAGCTATAGAATTGCCTTAAATTTCTTGCAGTTTACAAGTGTAGTGTCCAGTGCTGACCTTATAGTGTATAAATCACCATCTATTTACACCTATCTGTGGATTGGACTAATTTCGTGAAATCCCTCAGGAAGTAATTGACGATTTTATTAACCCTATGCGATGTCAAATTCATGCAGTACACCCAGCGCGAGGCTGGTATACAAGTATTAATTCTATGAAATGTAGAAGGCCTAAGTGTTGCGATTATGGAATTATTAAATTTGAGTCCGGTGCAATTTTTCGATTTGCTTAGTGAGACCAGAATCTGGACCTGGTAGTGTACTGAGTAAAACGCAGAATCAGTGAAAAAATCAACACTAAAATAGATTCGATTTGGCTACTCTTAAAACGCTTAAACGTATAGGTAAAGTTCATGAAAAGGGCGCACAACATATGGAGTTTCGACCACTCATTTAGATGTCTCCATACAGACGTCGAAACAGGAAAAACCCTGTACATAAAACCACCTCACGGTACATACTCTATCGAATATTGAAGTTGCGAGTCAGCATCACGAGAGGTTTATCCTACCTTGCGGGGTCCTCTGGCACAAAGGACTGTTCTCCCCAATTCTGGCGACCTCTTGCGTTGTAGAGGCCGATGCTTCTGCTTCCTCCTCCTCCTCCTCCTCCTCCTCCTCCTCCTCCCCTTGGACCAACGGAGTAAGCCACATTTCCGAGTCGGAATACATGTCCTCTTCGTTCGTCAGGAGCTTCGGCCCCGTCTCGATTTCTGTCAGGAGCCTGACGCGCGGTATTTATTGTCTGCCCCTTATTCGATCTATCCCCACCCAGAGCTAGCTAGCTAACCTATTAATGAATCTACAGGTATAACAGGATGTTTCCCATCTATGCGCAGAACATCGCGATGAAACTGGATCTCCTGATTGCAAGTTTCTCAACGACCTCTGGGCCAGGTGAAGACGCCACCCAGACAGTCAAGTTTGCCAACGGAACTACGGCAGTGTTGGAATTCACAGCAGGCTACATAGCAAAGAAGCCATTTGACTTTGCGACGGGCGAAGAAGCCTGGACGGGCTTCTGCGCTCCTTCACCTGCACACGCTGCCGCCAAACGTGCAACCCCCGAAGCGGCCCTCGTTCTTCCCGGCCCCACATCATACCCTAAACCCGTCGTGCGAGACAACTACAACTTGATTTCGGGGTACTTCGTAAACGACATGTAGGACGACGCCCTCTCTGATATCGAGTACACAGGTCGGAGGGCCCCGCGCTAGTGCTCAGCGAGCCCCGGAACGGGTCAACGAGTCTGATGTCGCAGTTCTCGCCGTACCATCATTCTTCACCAACATCAACCAAACCACTGAACCCGCAGCGTTTGCCAACCACGCAACCAAGTTCCTCGACACGGCCGTCAAAGACGGCAGAAAGAGGCTGGGATACAAACAATGCCTACGACTTGTTCCGGGCCCTATTCCCAGAGGAAGACGTCTGCACGGCTGCGCGGTACCGCGACAACGAAGCCCTTCGACTCATGTTCAAAACGGCTCGCAACGTAGGCGCCAAAGACGAGGCATTCTACATCTTCGGCCCGCATATCGCCACAAAGGAAATGCTCCCTCCAGACCAAAAAACCCAAAAACCCACCTCCTTTCATGGGAGGAGGCCTATGGTCCTGAGAAACACCACAGGACACACCTTACTACGCTCGCCACCAATACCAACCTCGACAGCCAGTCCATCTGGCAGTTCCCGATCCGTGGCTACGGGCTTATCAAGCTCAACTCGACCACAACCGCCTTCGCCAAGAAAGAAGTCCTCGTTATAACGGACGGAATTTGCATGTCGGTCTGCACTGGTGTTCCTGGAGCTCCTGAAAGACATCGGAATCAAGACTGTAACGTTCGGCGGACGGCCCCAGTATGGCCCAATGCAGTCGATCGGCGTCACTACCGGGTCCATGGCGGGCGACACCTCCATCATGCCCCAATGGTACCTGGCAGCGGAGCAGATTGCGAAGAAGTCCCTTGAGTCCGGAGTTAAAGGACCTCCGCTCTCGTCTGACGAGCTCGCTCGACTAAGGCTACATGCCCTCTGTCCCCAAAGTCGCTTCCCTTGTAGACGACGTTGATGGTCAACCTAAAGAGTGCCTACCGTCGCGGCAATGATGATATGCGTCTGCAATCCCAGTATGATCCGGCCGATTGTCGACTTTCCTATGCTCTTGAAAATATCTTTCAGCCGGCAACAACTTGGGTCTCTGCGGTAAACGCACTCTGCGGTGATGGCAAGTGTGTCTAGGGTTCAAAGAAGGTGCCCCGTCGCTAGGTTTATTGCAAATCTTGGGTTGCCCTATATCTTTACTTTAAGTCAGCACCAGCCCCGTCATTATGTTGTATAGTAACCCATAGTATATTGGGTATTGATTTGCATAGATTCTAACATCCAGCATTTTACCACCTTTTTACCACCTTTTTGATGTATTTAGTGTGGTCATTCAGACGTTCATACTTCCGTGAGATTGGATAATAGATTATGATCCTAGCGGTCTTCAAAACATATATGATATCATGTAATGGAATCATCGCGCGGGGCTCCTCTATTTTCAGCACGACATGCATCGATCTATTTATTCGTCCTCCCTTCATGCAACAACAACAATACCCACTTCTATAGAAAGAAATATAAAGAGAGAAAGATCGCTCTGTTCTTTTTCTAAAAGCTGAACTGCCCACTCCGTCTCTTCCCTGACGGATGCACCACAAACCCAGTTACCATAAACAACCCAGCCGTCATCCCAATCTCAACCTCACCATGCCAACACCTAGATCCATCGTGTTCTGTTAGCCTGTTGACTGAGTCATCACTGAGCTGCTGTTGCTGCTGACACTATGTTTGTCCGAGCTGGATCCGCGGAGTTGACCCCACTGATCAACGACCCGATGCCGTCAGCCCTGATTGCACATCCACATTCAGTGTGTTCTTCTTTTTCATATGCCTGGGGACGGGCAAAGAACGTACTTGATGCACCTAAATTTATTTCGGCTTGTACGAGGATTGGTTTCGCTGCTCAGGCTCCAATAGAAATCTTGGACGATGGGAAGGAGGATGACAACGACCATGGTGACACCGCTCATGCTGAATTCCCTAAGGCACTTGAGATCTACAACACCTGGATTACAGTCCTGGAAGCTGCTGGGCTGACCCCGGATTTGGACGATATGGGTAACGATATGCGTGTCATTACCCTGACCCGCATATTCTGCCCCGTAACAGATCATTTCAACACGGGCACACGGCACATCCGTGACGAGGCATGGGCTGAGAGCATGGAATCCGGCAACGGCGATATCTCCTACTTTGACTTCGTGGTTTCTACCACGCCGGGGGTCGTACAACGAGAAAGCCCGAAGTCGAAGCTATATGCTTCGGGCAGATGCTCGACGTAGAAACATCAGAATTGGCATCAATCAAGCCCATATTAACAGAGTACCAGGAGAGAAGAATGAAAATACTTCTGTCGCGGATCGGAAAACTTCACCGGTCCATCATGCTGTGAAAGGTGCGTCGCATTTAGTCCCTAGGTTGGAAATGGGCGTCCTTGTCTATCCTGGACGCCAACTGGCTCGGGGGCATGGGTAAATACCGAACGAGGCACTGTGGGGGACAATGCCTTCACTATCTGTTGCCCTGTGTTGCACTTGTAAATACACCCGCAACTACCAGCTTGGATATGAGTATTCGCGACGCGGTTCTCTTTGTAGTCACTACACAGCATCAATACTTTGGCCTCGTAAATATCACCAAAGTTCACCTTGAAATAACAGCTTGCGTGCCATGGAAACTATATGAGACATGTCAGACATGGTGTGTACCGGATTATGGACCGTCTTGTAATTCTAGCCGGCAGCGTGGGTCGATTCATGATCCATTCAAGCCCTGGGGTATTTTGCTTGAGTTCCGTGAGGGACGGGAGCCGGTTAATCTGGTGTATTTTCGGACTGTGCTTGAGAGACCACACGAAGTGCTGGAAACACTTCCAACTATTCCTCTTAATGGGGTTTGGGATATGGCGTCATCGTGGTGTGTTGGGTGACATGAGATTAATTGACCTTCCCTAGGTCGAATTATCCCCTTGTTAAGAGAACTATAACGTTGGAGCAAGACAAACCCAGAAATACTAGACTATTACTTCCGGTTCTAAATACAGACGTCAATCCCTAGTACGAGAAGACATCTAGATGATTTATAAGTCTATGTGTTTACCTAGTCCCATGCCTTCTAATTCATCCCTTGAGCCCCTACAGTACATATATGTACGTCGCCCATATAACGCACGTTTACCGCAAACTAAAGACCAACAAATGCAAGCGACAAAAAAGAGAGGATAATATCCAAACCTCGCCCAAATAAACGCCACTTAATGTTACACGAGGCTTAAATCATGCAGATACACTCCAATCATCTACTTCATTTCCTCGACCGACTCTTCAGCTGAATCCCCTTTCCACCATCGCCATGTCGCCCGACACCAGAAATACGTTTCCATCGTCCCAAATATGCTAATGATAACAACGACGGCTATTTTCATGTTCTTGCTGAGGCCCAGAGAGTCAAAGCTTGCTGCAGGAATTTCCTCTGCATCTTGAATGGTGTCCTTTGGATCGGGTTTTTTTGATGTAGCCCCCGGTGATGATGCAGGCCGTTTATTGGCAAGTGGATATTGAGTGGATAGAGATCTCCAAGAGAGAATAGGAAGCGCTGCATTCACTGTACGCCGGGTCAAGAGGGGTCCATTGCTGCGGAGACTTCTTGTGTAGAGGTGAAGTGATCTGGAGGCAAGAGACATTGCTGAAATCTCTGGATAAGTGCCGTATATACTTCACTCAGAATGAGATAGAAAAAGTGATACTATTGGGAAATGCAGAATATTTGTTACTTTGCAGCCTTGACGAAACCCTCTAATGTCAGATGGCACGGCGGAACATTTATCCCGTAGCCTCGTGTTCACATCCTACATCCGTCGTCCTATTGCACAGCCCTTTGCAATGTTGGATCTAACCGATTCAAGGCAAATAGTGACATGTCCACATTCTCCTTTTTCTATATACCTAAACTCAGCTATGGATCCAGAAGAACAAGAACAGGACTTACAATCGTCACCATGCCCATAACATCCCGTGGATTGATATCCACAACTCGCGCTCTCTCCTTCCCAGAGAAGAGTTTGTCTGGGTCGCCGACTTCTCAATCATCCATATCTATTGACCGCGCGAAAGAGAGCCAGACTCTGACTCTATCCAATGGTCGAACTCTCGGTTTTGCAGAGTACGGTAACGCCCAGGGAAAACCGCTCCTATATTTTCATGGATACCCAGCCTGTCGATATGAAGGCGCATTTCACGACGTAGGCATCCGTTACGGTGCTCGTGTCTTAGCCATTGATCGACCAGGCATGGGACTCTCGACATTCCAGCCGTCCCGAAAGTTACTGGACTGGCCGGGCGACGTCGCGGAGTTCGCTACCAAATTGGGACTGAGGGATTATCGAGTCCTAGGTGGTTCCGGTGGTGGCCCTTATTCTCTTGTCTGTGCTAAAGCTTTACCCAAGGAAAAACTCAAAGGTGTCGGTGTCCTATCTGGGTTTGCACCCTTCGAAGCGGGAACGAAAGGCATGCCATTGGGTACGCGCGTGATGTGGAATCTCGGGGCTTGGTTTCCAGGCTTGATCGGGAAGTACTGCGATTGGACTATTGTTCCTGCGGCGCAAAATCAGGATCCCACTGTTCTCGAAGACCTACTTCTTAAGACTATGAATAAGAAGCTAGATAAGACGGACTCTTCGGTTGTTTCAGACGAAAAGAATGTCAAGGCCATTGTGAGGATTATCAGGGAAAGTTTCCGGGAAGGTTCCAGGGGATATGTGGAAGATGGAAAAATCTTAACGAGGCCGTGGGGATTTGATCTCAAGGATATTGATTTCAAGGGGGTCAGAATATTTCACGGAGATAGCGATCAGCAGGCTCCAATTGCTATGGCTCGATGGATGGCTGAGAGGATTCCGGGATCGGTGTTGACGGAATGGAAGGATTATAGCCATTTCACCATTAATAATGATCATGTGGATGAAGTTTTCAATGTGATGATGGAAAAATAGTCTGTGGTATGTCAATATGTATCTATCGTGCCAACTTATCCACTCTTTTCTATTAGGTAGGCAGTCCAGTGAGTAGATTTTGGTCCATAAAGACTCGATATATGGGATCTTGTTTACTGTGTTAACACGTTCTGACAAGGCACGGGAGATGTTAAGCTACGAGCAATATGAAAGAAAATGATGAAGAAAATGTGAATCAATATTAAATGACTTTATTCAACTACTTCAACGAATCGCTCAGTTGCTTGGATCTCTTGAATTACAAAACTATCTAGGTGGAAGTTAACCGATATTCACGCTTTAATCCTGACTCTTTTTCATAATTATGTAATCCCATAGAATAAGTCATTCCTTCCTAAACAGGTAGTTTTGTAACTATTCAAAAATCCTTGTGCGCGGCTTGGTGCCTTTCAGTAGTGTCCCGTTTAGGTCAAACAACCACATAGTTGTAGGGGTTCTCAGGGTCAAGTCAATCGCTCAACTTGTTGAGCTCGCTGCGGCCATTTTTCCTTTTTTTTTCAACATAGTCCACACGGTGAATGTGCATCTTAACCATGGCAGGTCACCAACTCATTTAGCAAGGAAGACCGCAATGAAAATGCATGTTTATATACCAAGTTACTTAAGCAGCTTATAATAGTAAATTATATTAAATAAACTCCTCCAAATTGCATAGAGACACAATCTAGTAGAAAATTATACGAACAATGAGTATGTCAATATAAATTACCGCTGTTATATATAACTAGTTAACTAAATATACTAATTATATAATCATTCACTGAGTTCCATGCTTTGTATGACAGTTATCGTAAGTTGCTTAATTATCGAGACGGCGACAAAGTATCCGTCATACCGCCCAAAGCTCACTTTTTGTACAACAGTACAATTCCATGCCCGTTGAGGGAGGTCTACCTTGCTGACCACAGTGTCTTCCAAATTCAGCTAGCCACATCCGGGGAGTGGTTCCACCGGTTTTGGATATTGATTGAAAAGAAAACACACCTGTTTAACCTGTTCTTGGTCTTTTATACCCCACCAAATCTTACCGTGCATCTGGATAACCTTTATTTAGGAGAATAGACCCCTAGAAGTCAGATGGCCAAAGCAAGACTGCCCTTATCTAGACTGCTAATAAGATAGAGAAACACTACAACTCGAAGGGTCTTCATGGGTGGAGTGTACACCCTGGGGGAATTGCGACTGAGCTCTAGCGACATATGACAGATGATCTAAAGATCTAGTCGGAGAATGAGGAGTTGACAAAATCCTATAAGAGCGAGGAGCAGGGTGCGACAATAACTGTCTGGGCAGCCGTGGCAACCGAATTTGAGGGGAAAGGAGGAAATTTTTGGAGTATTGTACTATTGCGGTGCCATATTCCAAAGCCTGGTAGATTTGGTTCAGGCTATGTCCCATATGCAACTCTAAAGATTATGGAGCTAGTTGTTTGAAGGACAAGTAGGATGCTTAGTACTCTATATATAAACCACGATTTATTCATACTGCAATTATCATTTCAGCAATTATACCAAACATGAAGTACTATTAAAATTCCCCAAGTCCCAACCCCTAATGCTAGTATATTTGACAACATCCCCAACTGGGTCTAGCAGAAATTCCTTGAGATGATTGAAAGCCAAATCTGTTCAAGAAAGAGTCTTTTTTTTTTTTCTTTAACCATCACTACTTGTTAAATACATATTATGAACATGGGACAGTATCAACAATCACTCATAGTAGATATTGTTAAGATAATAGCTAAGTACTTATATTCATGCAATCTACAATACTCTTTGTATAGTCTAAATTGATATCCTTCCGGGGTCCCTGGCTCTCTTCACCTCTAAGGCAAGCCAATTATCATCTCTCTGTCCACAGCAGTTTAACTCACAGAGTAAAATTTTTCGAAGGTACGTTTAAACTCACTGATGTACATCTTAATATGCCGCTAGAGACTGTGGGGTTGATTATAATTGGGTGCCATAGAATTACCAGCGCACAAACCAAGAGACAAACTTTCAGCAATATTGATCAGCATTATTATTGGACAATCTTACCAGAAGTAAATCGCATATTCTATGACTACTTGGCATGAGCCTAACAATAGGACCTCCTAAATGTCTCGACTGTAGCTTTTACCTTTGGCCTTATGATACGTGGAATAGTACGCTATCAGAACTTGTATGGCCACATCTAGAGGAAGAAGGTGCTTAATTTCCTATCTGAGCGAGAGAATGCGACCTATATCTACATGAAAGTGTGATCACGTGATCGCTAAGCGATCAGGCAGCAATCAAGCAGTACAGCTCCAACATAGAATACTATTGATATAAGCTGGCATAATAAGACTTAGCTTACCCAGTGATTCAACCTTCTAACCACTTATTGATCGCGCTTCAATTTGCCCTCAGAATGATCTATTGCCTCCACTACTAGGTACCTCTACCGTGGAAAATCCAATTGGAAAATGTATGCGGGATTTATGAGCCAATACATACCTGTATATCACGTGATAGCAACGTGTAAACCTCGCATTCAGATTGTTCCTCGAGGATTATAGCTTCTGCTAATCTCACTCAAAAATGGAAGTAGATGAGAACTCGAGCTGCTCTCTTCTTCATGAGGCAGATTTAAATGAGAATGAGGATGGACATCCAACGAGATACACGAGAAATAGTGTTGACAATCATTTCTACCCCGATCCCCATGCTAAATTACCAGTGTATACCACAATCCACAGGTGAGTTAATATCAATTACGAGAGAAGCAAGACAGGTACATTGGCCCAGATTTCAAACCTTTTAAACTCACATTTCTTCTAGAATTCACAAAATGGTCATGACGCTCATAGGTTAATACGCCCCATGGGTATTCCTTTCTACTGCTCTGATACTCTTAATACTCACTCTCCAATTAGATGACCCGTATACTCCCGAACAACTACAGGAATTGCGAATGAACACGCTTATTGTGAGGCCACTTGTGGATCAGCTGTATGACCCGAACGACGTCTCACTTGGTATGTGTTGCAACATTCAGCAGTCCGAACACAAGTTTTATAATCCTGATTTTTGCCTTTAGTCTACAGCCTCCTGGTAAATCGAATGGAGTTTCTGCGTGAGCAGTCATACCAAGGACACCTCCAGACAGTTAATATGACCCGTGCCGCTCTCTGTGAGCTGGCTGCCTGCCGAATTCTACGGCGGTTTGATGAGGATAATCCAGGGTCCGGCGGTCTTCTGTTGCTAGCCAATATCCTAGTCGCAGGATTCGAGCCGTTTCAAAACGCTCCAGAGGAGGTCTTGTGGCAAAGGCCAAGCGCTATGCAATGGCCAGTGCAAAATCGAGGAGGCTATGAGAGGAAGCTGACAGCTCTGGAAGTTGCCATCATTTCTGAAAGCAAGACATTTCTCAGCTGCACAGCTTGCCAAAAAGTGATTGATGCTGTTTATGTTGGTCACGTCATTTACACTCCGCTCTCTTTCGTTGACATCTTGCCCGACCATTACAAGCATCGGCCGATATCTCTTTATGATCCCCGGAAAGCTCCTCTCCTGAATCAATATCGGCTGATCGTGCCCCGCTTGCGAAGCATGATTGAGGCCTGCCAGTTCGTCACCCTCCTAGCCCTATATGTCCTGACAATGGTCTACCGCCAGGATCTGGAAGTGACAATCTTCGAGGTCATCTTCTGCGCGTATGCGAGTGGGTGGATTCTCGAGGAGTTTGCAGCAATCATTGAACATGGGTGGCATGTCCATACACAAAATCTCTGGTCCTTCCTGGATCTTGCTTTCATCTGCATCTACTGCACATATTTCGTACTTCGTTTGTTCACACTAGTGACCACCCAACCCCTCTTAGGCCAAAGCGCGCTGCATGTTCTGTCCGTCGCAGCTCCAATTCTGCTTCCCCGTCTTGCATTCAATCTCATGCCCGACAATATGCTCTTTATTTCCCTTCGGGCGATGATGCGGGATTTTACCGTACTCACCATCCTCGCGGTTTGGTACTCTGCCGGCTTCTTCCTCTCGATGAAATGGCTCCTCAGTATCGGCGGAAGTGATATAGATCTGAGCTCGGCAACCATCGCCAAGTGGATGCTGTGGATTTGGTTTGGGCTGGATGGCACGGGGATTGAGCGCTCCGTGGATTTCCACGCGTTGCTCGGGCCTGCACTGATGGTTGCCTTTGCATTTCTGGGGAACACACTCTTTCTCACCATCCTTGTGGCGATGCTGACGAATACCTTTTCCAAGCTTGCTGCCAATTCGCATGCGGAGGTCCAATTCCGCCGCGCCGTTCTTACCTTCGAAGGGGTGAAGAGTGATGCGATCTTTGCTTATTGGCCACCCTTCAATATTCTCGCTCTGCTCATTCTCCTCCCACTGAAGTTCATCCTCACGCCGCGACAGTTTCACCGCGTCAATGTGGCTGCCACTCGAATATTGAATGCGCCTCTTCTTTTGCTCATAAGTGCCTATGAGCGATATCAATATTTGAATGAATCTCAACCGCATCGCCCATGGAAGTGCAGTCTGCCCTCTCTCTGGAATTTTACGGGCTTCTTCCCTCACGGGGACATCCATGCCGTGTTTGACGTAGAACCCCCAAGTGATATCTTACAGGGGATCGAAGTCCCTGGCTCGCTGAGAGTGGGGATTACAGGGGATATGACGGTTGGCGAGATCACAAGTAAGTCAGGAGCTATGCCGAGCTGAAAGATCATCCCACATCCTTATCGTATACCTCGTATTGCCTTGCCTTATACAGCTGGATGTGTCGCAAGTAATGCATGTTACGGATGCGGACAGCTACCGACTCTCTATGTTCTATCCAGTAGAAAATGAGATGACATATTCATATGCCCTTTATATTTGCGGCAGCGTTCTCAAGCTCAGAATCAGAATTCACCGGCATTTATGATAAACGTAAGGAGCTTTCTTTTATTTATATTTATCTACCTATTTCTTGTTTTTCTAGCGTGCACGAGGATGGCACTATATGGGACCTGCGCCACTTGTGAATAGTACTGTGTACATGCTGATTGTAGCGGTACAGGGGCTTTCCTCAGGCTGAATTCATCAATATTCCCCAGGGCCTGAACACATTGAAGCCGATTAGTGAGCTGATCTGTGGGAACTACTGACTACCCACATAGTTTACGACCAGATAGAAAAAGCAATTTTTGTTGCGTAAATCTAGATCACGACGATTATTATAATCGACAATACTATGACTGCATTAAATTACAATGTGAATTTCATCTATCATCGCCACAGTGATATGAAAGAAATTCTCGCGTGCTAAATAAGGGCTTGATGGGGCGAGGGTGTTGGAGGAAATAAATCCCGCAGTCGCAACCAACTTTCGCCTCGCACCCACAAATACGAAGAAAGTGGGATGGAGAAAGATTTAAGGGCACATGTCCTGCATGCTCCTGCAGCGGAGTGCATCTAATTATTTCTTTGACACTGCAACAGTTTTCTGGGTCAACATTGCCCTGGAGCAAAGGACGCTTCTAATTATGTGGAAGCCGCCACTGAATTTCATCACCTTGCATTGTCCGTACTAAGGCAGCCATCCACTACTTTATGCATGGATTATCTCACAATTACTGACTGATCATCATAGATGCATACATTATTTTTCTCAGCGTATTGGGTTTGATTATTCTCTATCCATATGGGAATTTGCAGGCGATTGATGCCTACTTCTTCGGCGCGAGCGCGTCTACCGAATCCGGACTCAACACGTGGGTTGCCCAAGGTTCATAGATGTGTTGACGCATCCTGACTTATGCTACGCAGATTCGATGTGAAGGAACTGAAGACGTATCAACAGCTCTATATTTACTTCATTCCGATTATTAGCAACCTCGGATTCATCAACATCCTGGTGGTGGTGGTACGCCTGCATTGGTTTGAGAAGCGGTTGAAGGAAGAAGGTATTACCGCCCTCGCGGTCTCCGACCAGCGCAATGGAATACAGCTGACAAGGATCGAAATGAAATAGCCCCGAATGTCCTTCGATGGAGATCGTGGTCGCGCAGAAGCACCGCAGCGGCAGCAGATGTAGAAGTATACCAGGACAAGCTTGCTAATGACGGTCATTCTTCAAACCAGGAAAAGGGGCCGGCAGGACCGAAGTAAGTGTGTCGACGGCTCTTTGATAGCATGTATTTGTCCATGGTTCTTCAGAGGCGATCCCGTGATGTTGGGCTGAAGGTCAGACTAACAAAGGCGACTAGTATTTCTTTTGCCGATGATATAGATGAGAATGTCCACTTGGCAAAGACCCGGACGACGGAAAATCCTCGGGGACTTGAGAGCATCAAGAAAAAACTGTCTAATAGCGACACTGCGCCCCTTGAACGCATTGCTTCCATATTCGGTGTCGGCGAACCCTCTAGGCGAAGACAGGAATCAGAGGCGTCGCGGAAGATATCCCTCTCACAACAACTAGACTTACCGGAGCTCTCTTCACAAGCGACCCTCGGCCAGAATTCACAATTCCACAACTTGACTGCTAAGGACCGAGAAATACTAGGTGGTATTGAATATCGCAGCCTTAAGTTACTGCTAAAAATTGTCACTGGTAGGTTTATCGGCCGTGCAAGGTATTTGATCTAATTAAGTTATAGGTTATTTCTTCGGGCTCCATATCTTTGGTGCAATTTGTCTCGTCGGTTGGATCCAGCATGCAAACCCAAAGTATCGACAATACCTAGAGCAGTGTGGGCAAGGAAGTGTCTGGTGGTATGTTTTTATACAACTAGGGAAAGAGTCGGCTGCTTATTATTTCTGTGCAGGGGATTTTACTCTTCGCAGACGATGATAGATAATCTTGGGTTTACTCTCACACCAGACTCTATGATCTCATTCCAAGATGCAACGTTCCCGATGATACTTATGAGCTTCCTCGCTTTTGCTGGAAACACATGCTATCCATGCTTGCTTCGACTTATTATCTGGATTATGTCTAAAGTTGTCCCACGGAATTCATCTCTTAGAGACCCTCTTGATTTCTTACTAAAACATCCTCGCCGCTGCTACACGCTTCTTTTCCCCAGCGGACCCACGTGGGCTCTCTTCGGGATACTATTGGCCATGAATGTTATTGATGTTATCCTGATTATAGTTCTGGACCTTGATAACCCTGCTGTCAACAACCTACCCCCTGGACCACGCGTCCTGGCTGCTATTTTCCAAGCGGCATCATCTCGACATACTGGGACGTCAACTTTCAACCTGGCGGACGTCAACCCAGCTGTACAATTTAGCTTACTGGTTATGATGTACATTGCTATTTTCCCCATTGCTATTAGCATTCGAGCGTCAAACACATACGAAGAGAGGACCCTAGGAAAATATCCCATGGAAGGCGAGATGGATGAAAATAACGGCAGATCGTATATTTTAACTCATGTACGCAACCAGCTTACATTTGATCTGTGGTATATATTTCTAGGAGCATTCTGCATTTGCATCGCCGAGTCACGCAAGATTATGGACGTCACAGATCCGGTTTGTGTTTTGTATCTTATGTTTCCCCGGGAATACAATCTCTAACCAACGACAGGCATTTTCCGCCTTTTCGGTGCTTTTCGAGGTGACATCGGCATAGTAAGCACCCTCTAAACTTCGTTCTCTACGTGCACGTCTTGTATCAAGCATATCTAACCTGTTCGTAGTGGAAATGTTGGCCTCAGCCTTGGGTATCCAACAGTGATGACATCGCTGAGCGGTCAGTTTACTACGTTCAGCAAACTTGTGATATGCGCAATGATGATCCGGGGGCGCCACAGAGGATTACCTTACCAGCTTGACCGTGCTATTTTACTTCCTAACGAATACCTGGCGGGGGACGATAAATAATGGCTGCAGCAAAATGCAGGTTCAACTGTTATTGCAGACCAATCACCATCATACCAGTTAACTCTAAGCCGGTGAATTACAGCCATTATGGAATGCCGGAAGAAGAGTAGATAATGGCGGCTTAGGAGAAATCCATAACAGACAAGACGTAAAAAGAGGGCCTTGTACAGCATTTGGCCTTTCTTATCAGACTAATATCTGCTACGACCAGATCACACTCAACTCCTTTTCAATAGCAGCTTGGTCTTTTGTTTAGCCAATCAGTCAAAGATAGCAATACCATACAGGAGCGGTAAATAACCCTCCATGGATCCTACTCAGGACTACATGCAGTTTCATCCCTTCCACATATCAGACTGGATAGTAGACTTAAGGTTTTATCACATGTCTCATAGCACTCGGCTCAATAACGAGCGGCGATGTAAGTTGAACCTTCGTGCTATCTGGGCGCTTTTTCTAACCCTTTGTATCAATTAAGAGACTTTTCTTTGGCTCTGCTTTACATGCAACTGACTTGTAAAGATCGATTAGAATCTTGATGATCTACATCATCTAAGAGGTAATCTAAACTCCCCTGGTAAAGACATTTTCTGACAGTATACGAGCACTGAGCCTTAATTCAGGAATGAGCGCTCTTACCATATAAGGTCTTACCCATACTTGGTATTTGTCCGGATACGTCCTCCAGGCCTCTTTGTCCATGGCCAATTGGGTGAATCCCCGGACAGTGAAATCCGGTAAAGCAGGTGGAATTCCTGGTTGTCGAGCACAAATATAGCTGGCCGTTGGGTAATCGCATACGCGGCTTGATAGGTTCCACGGTTCATGCATTTTGTACACCTTCGTCCGGAAACACATGTCTTGCTATTTATCAGCACGAACACACGCAGTCCTAGGCTCATCAAGCAGACACTTCCTCTTCTATCTGCCCTCAATGCACTATGAAATCTTCCTGGTTAGATACAACGGTCGTCGGGCAGGCGGTGCGGTACTGTACACACCGTGCACCTCAAGTATCTCCCAAGTCCGAGGACATCTGCGTGGAAACTCCCAATGACAAGTCCAGGCATGTTAATGGATGCTCTTCTGTCGTGACATGCACTAATCCAGTGGTCAGATCGCAAAAACCCATCGTGGTTGACTGGGATGGTCCCGATGACAAGGAAAATCCCCAAAACTGGCCGACCCTGTACAAGGCCTGGATCACGTTGTTGATCTCGTCTGTCCCCGTTATTTGACCCCCATTCAAGCCTTTAACGCTGACGGCGCCAGAGTCTATTCGTTCGTGGTATACTGCGGTTCGTCCATTATCGTGCCCAGCTACCAGGGCATGATGCTTCAATTTGGAATATCCGACAAAGTGGCCTCTCTCGTCTTGGCTCTCTACGTCGTGGGATGTACGTGGATTTCTCTTCATCTTTGACTATCTAACCCTCATATCAACCACAGACGGCACCGGTCCCCTGATCTTCTCTCCCCTGAGCGAAGTCGCCTCCATTGGCCGCAACCCGCCATACGTCGTCTCGTTCATCCTGTTCGTCATCATCTCCATCGTGTTGGCCACCCTCAACAACTTCCCCGCCATTGTGGTCCTGCGCTTTCTCCAGGGATTCTTCGGCAGCCCATGTCTCGCCACCGGTGGTGCCACTGTCCAGGACATCACCCGCTCCTGGGATACGATACCCTACCTCTTCGCCGCCTGGGTCAGCTGCATCTACTGCGCACCCGCATTGGGTCCCCTCTTCGCCAGTCACATTGTGCAGACTCGCTCCTGGCACTGGTCCCTCTGGGAGATCGCCATGATGTCCGGTCCCCTCTGCATCATCCTGATCTGTCTCCTGCCAGAAACCTCCGCCGACACCATCTTGCTTCGCCGCGCGCGTCATCGTCGTCTTCACCGCCACGGCCATCCCGAAAATAACCCCCGAATCAACCACCATCCCACCATTCTCGCTCCCAGCGAACTCAATCCCATCCCTTTCTCCTCCATCCTCAGAGACTCACTCGCCCATCCGCTCGAAATCCCCCTCAAGGACCCCGCGATCCTCTTCACAGACCTCTACATCTCCTTCATCTACGCTATCTACTACTCCTTCTTCGAGGCATTTCATCGCGTCTACCAGGACCTCTATCATATGTCGCTGGTCTCATGCAGTTTAATCTTCCTCTCCATCGTCATCGGCGTCGCTGTCTCCGTCGTCCTATACATCCTATATCTAGTCAACCGGTCAACGGTGCAGGATGTCCTCATCGCCAACAATAATTTCGAGGCCTGTCTGGTCCCCGCTATCCCTGGCGTTTGTTTCGCCCCGATCGGTCTGTTCTTGTTCGCTTGGACGGCTCGTGCCTCCATCCATTGGGTCGTTCCCACGGTGGGTATCGCCATCTACATTGCTGCTACCTTCGTCATACTCCAGGCCTTCATGCTATATCTCCCCCTGTCGTATCCGCGCTACGTCGCGTCGTTGTTTGCAGCGAATGATTTCTCCCGCTCCGCTTCCGCCGCGGTGCTCATTATGGTGGCCCCATATATGTATGACCGTATGGGTATCAGTAAGGGGGTGACGCTGTTGGCGAGTATTTCCACGTTGGGCATCGTGGGTATGTTGTTGATTTGGTGGTTTGGGGCGAATCTGAGGGCTAGAAGCCGGTTTGCCGGGTGAGGGTGGTTAATGGGGAGTGATGTATTGGATCATTGTGTGTTATGAGACAGCATGTGTACTAATTAAATAGGTAAATCGGATACTTGATTTGTTATTATGTAGTGTACATGATAAAATGCAAACGGTTGCTAAATCACAAGCCATTTGGCTGTCACTTCCTGCGCCGACTGAAGATCCCCATTCAGCGCATAGATGTTTTGGAGAGCTACAGCTGCTTCGCGCGAGAAGTCCTCCACAAAGACTGGCTTCAGCTCCGATCCTGCGTCCACCATGGCGACATCTCCCCGAGATTCGCAAGTCCGTATCTGCTCGCCTAGAGCCAGCACCCGCTTATAGCCCTCTACTGCCAAGTGTGCGAGGCCGAGCATGTGCCATATGCGGGCGAAATTGAACTCTGTTTCTTGGCGCTCCGGCAGGAGAGCCCCTTTCCGTTCACGGATGCGCCGGTACTCGTGCATGAATGAGAGCCCCTGCATTATGAGATAGTGTCGATTTTCGGATTGACGCTTGAGAGAGTGGTGGATGTAGCAAAGCCCGATGGACAAAAGAACCGCCGGATTCTGGTCGTCCAGAGTATAAGCACGGAAGAAGTAATTCAGAGCCGGGAAGAAGCTGTTGCCGGAGTAAAGGATATGTCCGTAGAGAACAAGAAGCGCGACATCCATTTCCTCCGCGGGTATAGCTTCCCCCGTCTCGTCCCGGGTCGATAGAGCGGCGCGTTCCTTGTAGACTCTGTCGCGCGCTACCTTCCCAGTGCGGCCACCCTCGCGATTGTTTGGCAGTGTGAAGTCCATGGCCTTGATCTGACGCAGCATAAATTTCATATTCGGCGAGGAGTGGAACAAGGAACGGTGAGGATCTCCGCTAAGCCGGCTTAATATGGCGAACAGGCGATATGTGTCTGTGACGAATTGGTATTCTTTGATGAACCAGCGCGCCTCATTCGCAAGTGTTTCTTCGTCTTGTGCTCGTAGGGCACAGGTGAACCAGCAAACGTGGATCTGACGGGTGCTGTTCTTCGAGTGGTACCAGACACTGGCATCCGCGGCAGCAGCAAGTGTATCGTACGCTTCATCAGTTTCGTTTTGCCCCGCCACAACTAGAGCGTACTGAAGGAATACATCGAGCCATTCGTCGAACGAAATTCCATGGTAATCCGTCGGTATAGGGCCTTGCCGAGATTCCTCGGAGGCAGTTCCTGTATCACAGTCAATACTAACTCAGAAGACGTTAATAGATCGCTCCTTTCTACCTAGAGTTTCCTGGAGGCGCCCTGCCATTTCCTGCATTTCATCCATAAATGATCGGTTCTTATGTTTTCCCACCCTTCTTTGCGACCCCCGTGAATATCCCAAAAAGACCATATACCGCTCGGGTGGGTAAAAGACTCGGTTGGACCGGAACTCGCGCAACAAGGCGTCTGCAATATCGAGCCAGTCCTCCGTTGCTTCCGCATGCCCATCCTTGATATGGGGCTGTAGCCGCAATAATTTGGAGTATAGATACCGCACATTCTCGGTTTTCATCCCCTCGGGCTCCGGAGAACGCTCCTTGCTCACAGCAGCTGACGGAGCCGCCGTCAGTGCAGGCGCTGCCGGCGCTGCTTGCATTTCATCCTCAGAGGGACAAGGGGCAATTGTCTTCAAAGGCGCCGCTCCGGGGCCCAGATCTGCTGTTCTGAATTCCATTGCCAACTGCTCCAGTCTTGTGTCTTTTCTCCGACGTTGGCTTCTGCTCTCCTGTCTTCCAAGTAAGACTGCTTCGTTCACATACCGGAGGGCCTGCTCCGTCATTTCAATACTCTCATATAACTTTGCTAACTGCACACGCGCCTCAATATTTCTCTGGTCATACTCCGCCACCGTGAGATAGCAGTTCTCGGCCTCTTCGAACCTGTCTAACTGCCGACAACAATCCCCCATTGCCAAGAAGAAGCTGACATCCGCGTAGTCATTAGTTTGCTGAATCGGCATATAAAAGCGAAGCGCATCCTCAAGCAGCCCCACGTCCTTCAGGGCATCCGCAACTTCACGGAAGAGGTCGCCATAGTCATACAGCCGAGCCCCTTCAGACATGTCCTCCGGGTTTAGCCATTCAAAGTGGTGCTTCAGGTTATGTTAGCGATTCCAATCCTCTATCCTCTTCGCGTCATAAAACTTACCAGGGCCTCATCTTTGTGACTATATCCCATTTTCAACCGGAACAAACCGAGCTTGATCCGGAGCTCAAGTGGAAGACCAAGCCCATAAGAATCTCGCGACCATTGTCCTGGGTTATATCCATCGGCTTTGATGCGTCGTGGAGAATCGTCGGCATCCCATTCTCGGTCGTCCTCGTCAAAATTGTCCCACATCGTGTCATCTTTGCGACCAAGAAACCATCTTGAAAGCGATTTCAGAGCCTTAAGCCCTTCTTCATGCTGGCCCAGGTAGCTGTAAAGTTCAGCATATATATTAATATCGGACCACGAGAACTCCGGCGTTGCTTCTGGGCCAAGAGACATCAAGTGTTTGACACTCCTAGTCCAATGGTCGACGGCCTTCTGGACGTCATTGCTATCAATGTAAGTTTCAGCAAGATGGCGAAGAGCCCTGATATTGTGTGGGAGATCTCTTAGGATCCTCTCGTACTCCGTAGCAGCTCGACCATTGTGCCCTAATTCCCGATACATTGCAGCTCGCTGAAAACGCACATTGTAGTTCCTTGGATCTATTTCGATCACACGACTATAACAGTAAATGACATCGTTCAGGGAGTTATAACGATCATTACCAGCCCGTTCCAATATCATTCTCGCCACCTTAGCCCATACGGAAGGGTCTTTGGGACGCGTGTGGGCGCCATTGAAAAGTGCAGTCAATGCTTTGTCTTTCTCGCCCTGCGCGAGGAAGATTTCTGAGAGAAGAGAATGCGCAGCAAACATCTCTGGGTTAATTTGAATCGCCCGTTTGACCAAGTCGATGGCGCGGTCATAGTCACCATCAATGAATGCAGCTGTAGCCTCAGAATGAAGAATTTTAAACTCCGGGCTAGGCTCCATAGGTTTTCGAGGGCCTCTTTTGATTCCTTTACCACCTCGCGCACCGTAGCGACCGGAAAAGGGACCAGTACCTCTGCGACGTCGACGTCTGCGCGAATACGACTCCTCATCATCATCGTCTTCCTCCGCCGGTGCATCAGAAATTTCGTCATCTCTGTATCGATGGTCATTAAGAGCGATGGGATAAAGAATGGATGGAAACAAAAGGGGAGAGCTAGCGTGAATACTTACTCCGAGGTCCCTTCTTCCGAGAACTCATACGTAGAGTCCTCGGCCGAGTCATCAATCTCGTGAAACATTTCCTCGGCATATTGGTCATCTTCTTCGCCTTCGCCATGGCCAAGAGATTTGTCAGGCAACTGTGAGGCACTTGCGGAGAATAGATCTCTGTATAGACGGGGATCTATCACCGAGTGAATAGACTGTTCACCCTGGCTTGGCTGCTGATTCCCTTGCCATGGGTAATGTATCGTCTCGTCAATATCGGGGTACGCAAACTCCCCAGAGGGACGGTTGGGATCCATCCGATCTTCGTCTGAATATTCCATTTTATTTTACTTTGTTTATCACAGGGTGGATTTCGAGCTATGTACCGGCGTCAATGATGTTGCGCAATCTTTTTTGTGTCCACCGATACATAGAAATAAGCGGGCGATCGTGGGGGCCAGAACATCCGCAGCTCAGTTAATATGTCTATCACTGGTAACAGGGCCTCCGAAGGGACAAATTAGGTGAAAGACCTAGTACTCGAAAAAAACCTCAGAACGTAATTACATCGCAATATGACTAGTGAGGCTGCAGTCGAAATAAACCAATCAAGTCGCTTCAGCGAGCTAAAGGTCCCTCCATATGTTAAGGGAGTCTAAAATATAGAATCAGAAATTTATATTTCAAAGAGGGCAAAATAAAAATAGAAATGACGGAATAATAGTCAGTCATGTACTTTTTAGATATTCATAGCAACGTCTCTTTTTAAGCTAAGCGCCCAGCCGAGACTAGACCCAGGCGACCGCTGCAAGGAGCTTGTTGGAAACGAGCAATTAGAGTTGGATGAATGAACATCAAAGGGGTTCTGGGAAGAGAACTGATCGACTGGGAGATATTAGACGTCAGTATGAAATAACACGAGACAAACGATGGAAACGTGAACGGGAAGACGAGGGAGAATAGAGGGAAAAAAAGAAAGGTAAAAGATCGTGAGGGAAGGTAGTCCAGTGACCTCGAGGTACCCAAACGGCAAAGCGTCTTTTCGCTTCCATCCTTTCCTTTCCTTCTCTTCTCTCTCCCCCTCTCTATTTTCCTTCCTCATCGTCCCCATCATCTCGTGATCTTTCCCTGTCTTTCTTACTTTCCTTTTATTTTTGTTTTTTGATGCTTCAAGACTTCTGCTTGTTGTGTTTGACACACTATTGCAGTGGACCTTGACATCCTTTCGTTTCGGTGAAAGATTTACAAAATAAAAAAAAAAAAAACCTCCAAGAATCCACACTTCCCTAATATACCCGTTGTCACTCCGCTTTGTTGTCCACTTGAACCCACCACCACATCTGACGACAAAATCCTTTGATGCCCCTTAGGTTCGAATCTTTCTCCAGAACTCGATCTAGGCAGTGCAGCCACTGGACTGGCCTGTGCCCCAATCGCCATTGCCTAGAGCCGTTGCGGTTGGTTTCTACTCACACCCGAGAACCACGGGAGGAAATTTCTGTCCCCATCCTTAGAGAGGCAGTTTTTTTTTTCCCATTTCTCTTTTGAGACCGACTCGGAGGTCAACTATTCCAACGGCTTCTTTAACGTCCTTACGCAAGAGCGTCGTCTCGAGTCAAGGCTCGCCTCGTTTACACGCAAACTCAGCAGGTGCTGCAGGTGCTTTGCAGTAATATTTCTCTTTTTGTATCTATTATACATTGAAGCCTCGTGAAAAGCATCATCCCACACGTTATCTTGACTCATTCTCTCTCTTCCAACAAACTTTCATTACTAGCTCAATGGCCAGCCATATTATCGGTAACCGCAATAGCACGCCGGAAGCTTCGAAGTCTACCCTTCGCCCTCCTTCGTCTTCTCGGAATTTAGGATCGCATCAGCTTCGAGCATCAGCCGATATGTCCGGATTCCCGTCCCCTCTTTCTTCCCGGAGCATTCGTCCATCGTCGGAGGTGTACTATAATCAGCAGGCCCAGACGCCAAACAACACGGACGACCCCTTAGACCGTGCGGCGCAGCAGTGGCTCGCTGATATTGATCAGTACGAAACTACACTTGAAGAGATGGCCGCGGCTACTTTGGATCAGGATTTCAAAGACGAACTCAGTGCCATTGAACAATGGTTCCGAGTTCTCAGTGAGGCGGAGAGGACAGCGGCGCTGTACGCTCTGCTCCAACAGACTACGCAGGTACAAATCCGTTTCTTCATCCAGGTTCTCCAGCAGATGTCCAAGAGTCATCCCATGTCGGGGTTATTGTCACCTGCAAACTTTGGAGAAAAGGGTACGCTCCTCATTTCATTTGTCGCATCTTGCATTCAGCTGTGAGGACACATTAACTAATATCCACTTTCCCATCGAACAGATGCCATGTCCAATCGTCTGAATGATGCCATGTCCAAGTTGAATGTCGACAGCTCTCGGAATTCTTTGGGTCGCCCTCCTCCATCCCCAGGTGCCAAGCGCAACTCGGGACTCGACTCTTCCACGATCAATGCAATGTTTCCCGACGCAGCCGCAGCTATCGCCAAGAAGAAAGCCGAATTCACCCAGCAGACCGGTAACGCCCCTCCCTCCAACCGGAACAGTGCGGTATTCGGAGATCGGACGTCCTTCGTTGCACCCACAATCTCTGCTCCAGACAGCAACACAGACAATCTAGGTCAAGCCCCCGTGTCTCCATGGGCTCAGCGGGGCACCGAGCCACAACCACCAATCGCTCGGCCCAAGTCCTCTTCCGGTCAGCAGCCTATGGGACAGTTCAGTCAGTCGGGCCTTCGCTCTCCTCTGCCAACTCAGACCGCCACAATCCCGGCCCCCGACATCGAAGCGCCCTTGTTGTCTCCATACAATGTAGGAAACGCTAGTTGGGCCTCTATGACGAATACTCCAATGACAGCTACTTTCGGTCAGCAAGTGCAGCAGCCAGGGCAACAGAATTCTCAAGCGGACATGGTAGCTAACGCCACGGCGATGAAACTGGCTGCCTTGTCTACTGTGAATAATCGCATTGCACTCGATGATGCCCGAAAGTATCGTCGAGCTCGATCGAATGATGGGCAGGGCAAGAATTCGAACGTCAATACCAACCCGCCAATGTCTCAGGGTGGCCTCACAAACCAAGTCCTCCCAGGTGCGAGTCAACTTGTTGCGGGTCAGCTTTTGAACGCCCAGCAAATAGCTGCCTTGCAGGCGCAGCAACAGGCCGCCATGGCAGGCCGGCGTTCGCGCCCGACTTCACCTGGAATTGCCATGCAAGGTGGCGCACTAGGCCCAATGGGGTTCACATCGCCGCAGAATAACGGATTCCTGGCGGCGTATGACCCCAACAACCCACTGATGGGGAATGGATTGAATGCCCTCACGATTGGGCAATTTGGACTCAGTGGCCACGAAGGCTATCTCTCGGATCATTCGGAAGTCACTAGGGGTAGGTCTCCGCGCGGACGCCGTGGCAGCTCCAAGCCGCCGGAGGATCCGACGGACCCGGGTCTATTGAAGGATATTCCCAGCTGGCTGCGGTCTCTCCGATTGCATAAATACACTGAGAACCTAAAGGATCTCAAGTGGACAGAATTGGTCGAGCTTAACGACAAGGCACTGGAGGAGCGCGGCGTCAACGCTCTTGGGGCCAGAAACAAGATGCTTAAGGTGGGTGGTGCTATTCCTCTGGGTAGAGTATGAAAATGCTGATTTGCAACCACAGGTCTTCGAGCAGGTCAAGGAAGCCAAGGCGGATGGCAAGCTGGACGCCATTGCATAATGAAATTACCACCTTCTCTTATCGTTTCTAAAATTCTCTCTACACATTAATTTGACTAGATTGAGATTGTGCAAATGTGGCAGAATCCGACTGTTCTCCTATAGGCTGCCTTACGGATAAACAGGGATGAGATCTCGCCTGGAAGCCGACTCGAGGCTTGATTTAGCCAGCCATTTGGATGAGTAACTGACATTTGTATGTATGAGTTTCTACTTTTTCAGGTTACTGGGTTGGTATAGGCCAACTGCCCTTGCTCTTTTTTCTTTACTCTCATTTTCTTTTGGTCTTGGGCATTCACGAGTTTGGGAGACCAGGTTGTGTCTCAACTGGTGTGGTGTCAGGAAAACGGTCATGACGAAGGATTGAAGTCTTCAGGATGTTAATGCGAAGTATATTATTGATTAATTACGACTATCACATGGAGCACAGAGTATGACCAATCGGTTTCTATGTGGTACAATATCTGAAGGTCATTACTTGAATCCAGCCTCATTCCAGAGATGCCTAGTCTGCACTAGGGAGTAGCCTCCTCTACGGCCGTTCTAGGAGGACGAGGTCTACTTTATAGAAAGATCTGGGCGGAAAGTATGCTACGTAATCTTCAAAACTCTTTTCCTCCGTATTATTTTATTAATCTTGGAGCAATACACAAATATATACATGGCACCCTTTCCCTTCAAAGCCCAGTACCGAATCTAACTGAGCCAAACTGCTAGAAAAAGCCCCTTGTTCATTGAAGCATTAGTAGCTGAGAACTTGGTAGACAACAGTGAAATCAAATTACATAAATGTGTATTAATCTTGTAGCCCAGCTCTTTATCTAATAATACACATTTAGGTATCTAGAAGCGTCACCATGCTAATAATGTACATAAGAATATTCGAATAAAAATACCCCCTCCCTTACCCCTGCCCAGACAATATATAGGTATCGATTATAAAACCCGTCAAGGTATTTACCCATATCCAACCCCCTTCACACCACATCACGAATATTGTAAGGACCAGCGGGTAAAATTCACTGCACCTTCCGGGTATCATCATCGACATACAGATCCGGATCATCGAAAAACACAGCGGACTGTCGTCGCATTTCTTGGAATAGGTTCCCTGGTGAATATCGATGGATACTTGGACGTGAGGAGTTACGGGACGATGGGGCCGAGGAAGCCTGGTCCATACTCGAGAGGTCCAACACTTCCGAGGCGAATGTTGGCTGGTCGTCCTTGTAATAATCTGCCTGCTCCGGTTCCTCTGCAAGAGAGCCATCAAGACGCGATGCGAAGGAATCGATTGGACAACCTCGTTGTCGCCCTTGTGACATGACAGGAATTGCTGCGCCGGCGGGAGCGAACTCTCTCAAGCCGGATGTGATTGCGGTTTCGATTTTAAGTCGGTTATTGACGAACTGGATCTTTGGGAAAGTGCTCTGTTGGCCTACAAGAAGCATGCGTGCAAGTCGCTCGGGAGTAGGGTCCGAGAGAATGTAGTAGAAGTCGGAGGGGATGGTCTTCGGCCAGACAGTCACTGTTCCGCTGAACTTTTGTAGCCAGATCTCACTCCAGTCTTGGCCTAGTGGTCGCGGAAGGAGCTCTAGATGACGCAAGACTCGGAGCCATTTGTTCATGTCCAGTTTAATGTATTGTTCGATAGCGGATCCGAGGAACCCTCCACGCCATCCACGCCCTTTTCGATGGGTAACAGGTCGACCAACAGTTCCTCGGGAGTTGAAAAAGAAGAGGTTGATGTGGGGGTTGACCTTTCGAATAGAGAGAGTATCAGTATCAGTAAAGAAAGCTGGCATAAAACAGTGTAATGATCGTGCCTCCTTACCTGCGAGACAATAGTAAAGTTAACATTGAAATGCAAATTAAGCGATTTGATGGGAATATCTGTCCGCAGACTACCATCTTTCCATTTGTGCCCGAATGAATACGGGGCTAGAGTACCATCGCGCTTCTTTGTCATTAGGACAACAGGGTTCAGTATGCCAGGCACTGCCGCGGACGCGAGCATGGCGCTCCATATAACACAATTGGGAGACGTGAGGTAATTTGCCAAAATTGTGGGTGAATGGGGATCGGACGGCACACACGACACATTCAGGATGCGTCCTGTGCGTTCATATGCCTCTCGAAATGTGGTAGAGCCCCGGCAAAACCAACTACCATCGCGGGCCCAATCAACAGCGTCAAATCGAGCACCTGTCCGCCACCAACGCCGAAACCATGCGGGAAATCCTTCATGGGAGGCGGTTATCCGATGTGCTAGGGCGGGCACGAGCAGTTCTCTTAGCTCTTCGTCGGTTCTAGTGGCAACAAAGGCAGCAACTAAGGCCCCCCCAGATGTACCGGTGACAATCTGTGGAAGAACACCATTATCCAACAACGCTTTGACGACGCCAAAATGATAATAAGCAAAGGTAGCACCCCCAGATAAGCAAAGGGCGGTTCGTCCAAAATTGGTATTCAAATGCCTAAAATGGTGAAACTTGTCTTCAGTGCTGATTTGCGTACTATCCGAAACCAACTTGATGCATGTCTTGACTTCGTCGATGTATTCCTGCACTAGGTTTTTTTGGTCCCTGAGTAGGTTTCACTGTAGAGCCGAGGGTTCTCTATGCCCGCAAAATTGTTCTTGACGCACGCCTCCAAGAGTGTGCACAACTCCTCGACTGCAGACGTCTCGCTCGAACCAGAATGACCTTCTCGATGCTCGCACTCAACCTGTTCCCTCACATTTTTCAACTGTGTGACCAGCTTATTTATTGTGAGGTGGTCGTAGTATGCATATTCATCTATCTCCTTCCACGCCTGGTTCCCGAGATGATCATCGAGGGCCTGTGCGGCCTTCAGCCAATCCCTATAGTTTGTCTGCGCAGATAGCTGGCGGCGGAGAGACTCTCTCTTACCTCTCCAGGTTATCCATTGTTCGTAGAGAAAGATGTACACGCGAGTCAAGGTATAGCCGACGCCAAGGAACGTGATCCAGCCAAAGACAATGAACAGAAAAGGCCACTTCAGCACAGTGTACAGAACCCCTTCCCGTGTCTCATCTTTGCTTCGTCTAGGTTTTGTTCGCCGGCTTCTGCTTTTCCGGACCCGTTGGTAGATGGGACGCCAATCGTTGAGAGCCACTAGGGGGGTCCGCCTCGTTTCCGTTCAACGCGTTCTCGAACTGCCGCAGGTCATCAGGGTCAATAAACTGGCGGTCAAAATCCGGAAGCGTGCTAGGATCGTAAACATCGCCCGTTGCAGACTTTTCCGCCGATGTCATTGTTGAGGTCCATTCATGATGGGTGTTGGGGAGTTCGGGGTGGATAGGTAACAATGGAAGACTGTCAGGCAATGATGATGATGAAATGGGACCGACGTCAGAGTCAAAACCTACACCGCCTCAACCTCGTCAGCCACAAAACTGCGGAATATTCGGCCGACCCTCGTGTGGCTGAGGCCAACAAGGATTAAAGGCTTGGCGTACTACCGCCAAGGCGCCAACCCGATCAGGAATTCCATATAGCAACGATAACCCCGCTTCTCAGGGCGGTCCTACAGAGAACCATGGATCCAACCCGTTCAAGGAAAAGTCACTGACATGGGTTTAACTTACATCAAGATATCGGCCCCCTTTCTCCCAAAATTAAACAAATCCATTCAGGGGATGAATGTGGATACTTGCATCCCCTTCTTTCCACACAAATACCCCAACTACAGAGTACTTAAAAAGCATATGCATGGCAGTGGCCAGATCTGCTCAAATCAGAATACTCTGCATGGGTTTGTATGTTGGTTGTGCTCTATCACATTTGTCCCAAACTCTCTCCCCCTCCTATATTGGAATACACTTCCCAAGAGCTTCACACATCCTCCGTTTCTGCAGACTCACTGCGTCATTCCTATCGAGTCTGATGCTATCTGCCTCCATATTCTATCCTGAATGGCCAGTGGTATTGATAGATCGACATTACAGAGGAAGAAGCTTGCATATCCTGGCTCAGATGACCCATGATCATCATACTCTCAACGAATTAGCAGGAATTACATAAGGTCAAGCGATATACATGCGTACGTGTCGCTTAACTCCGGGGAGCATTGGAATGTATATTATGCACGCACATGTTGGATAAACACGTGAGATCTGTTAGAGTCTATCCGTGGCTGATTGACTATTTATAAACAAGCACAGCTCAGTAGTTTCTTCGATCCTTTTTCTCCAGATAAGTATGGGGAGATGGCCTGCTTATCATCCAAGACCAATTCAACATATGCTCCGTATGCATATACTTACCGCTTCAGTGCTTCTGATGACAACTGATTCCTCAGGCCATATCTCTCAGGTGGGCTGCTCCGTCCACCACACGGAACAAGTACCGGTTCGTCCAGCAGGCATCTGGCGACATTGGCGGGCCAAATCTCAATTCTACCGATGTTAGTCTGTATCACAGAGATAAGTATCTATAGCCTGAGACGATAGCATGAGTGGTTGATTGGAAAGATAATGATGGGGCCAAGCCTCTTTTGGTATCAAGCATTGCGGGGTAGGCATTGCCATATAATCCGTACATTTGCTGGCCCCCCTAAAGGGTTACATCCAGTGCACAAGAATCGGAAACTTTGGCCAGCGCAATCCAGGAATATACGTGCAGTGGTTTAGTCGACATATGGCCTTAGAAAAAACCCAGAACTGGCGTAAGTGCATACTTGGCAGGATCCACATACGCAGGCAGACAAGCGAATGATTTGCAGCTACAGCTAATTATCATAATTGGTCTTGCTCTCGTGAATCCTCGCTAGTTATCTCCCCTGCGACGTCGGCGTTCTTGGAGCCAGCCACCAGTTAATTTCTCCGGCATAACTAGTGTATCTATAGTATGTATCGAACTATAGGATAGATTTAGCCTGTTTGGTTGGTCGAGTATTTCATCAGGCCATGAAACTGAAAAAAAAGCAACGACGAAACCTATGCCGTCGAAGGTTTACTATATCATGATCATGTCCATGGTCCAATTCTACAATCTGTACTTGATATTCGTTTTCCCCACCAGATAAGGCAACCGGTATGACAGAAAAGTATGGGGAAGAGATTTTTACCTTTTTTTGCGCGATAGCCGCTCGTTTCATAGGAACCTTGGGACCGTTAACGCTCACCCTAAGTTCCCCAGATTAGACAGAGATAGTATTATTGACTAGTCCTAAGTTGTATGGAATTTGCCAGAAAGAGTGTCATGCATTTGAGCTAGTGTTTCTTTTGTTTAGAAACTCCTCTTTTTACCGCTGAAACGCTACCCTGACCTGTGATCTCGCCTAGTCCGCCCATGTTCTTCCGCATTCTCTCTAATGCATGAAGATCGGTAATTTGACTTGGTCCGTGTCCGCGACAAACAGCGTCATGTCTCTTCCAGCGTTCTTGGCATTCGTTTCCGTCCTTCCTGCCTCACCCCTGTGTACAGAATACGCTCCTCACGCGGGATGGCGAGAGCACATGCCCGCCCTGATTGGCAGCTGGGTCGCATTCTACGAATCCACTGCTGATCATTTGAGCGGTTGACTGCAGTGGGTCCTTCCAGTCGTCAGATCCCCATATCCACTTCTCGGCTTTCCATCATCGGATCGGGTTCTGTTTGTACAGTACGAAGTATGTCGACAATTCCCACCATCGTCGCCTTGTAGTATTGCACACATCATCCATGCTCCAGAGCACATATCGACGGAAATATACCAGATGTCATAAGTATAATGATGATAATGCGTACCCGAACCTGTCATCTCAGCTGCCCATCTGCTGAGAAGCCTTACAGCCGAAGTCGTGTGTCATGGCATGCATAAACATTCCTAAGCATATCGGAGAGCCGATGGAAGCTAACTCCAAAACCGAATTTCTTGCAAGAACCTCTCTCCCGTGGTATGAGACACTACTGATCCAGGGATCCGCACAGAAACAGGAACCCTGGGGGAGAGGAAAGACTTCAAGGTCATTTCTCCCTTGCTTCTCTCCCATGATATCGAAAAGCTATGCGCCGATGCAGGCTGGCTTTTGCACCACACCCCTGACTTGGTAAATGCGCGTGGAAAAGGAAAGCCATGCACGTCTTGCTTGGAAGATATTTTTCGATTGAACACCTTCCTTCCACTGCAGACAATCGCGAACCAACGCGCAGTACGCATATATGTATCTCTACTGCCTAGATCCCTGTACGCAACAATGCTGGCCTGTAACTAACTCTAAGTGGAAGATGGTTCGAAGAAAGGTTGGAGATGACAAAAAGTCACAACAGATCAATAAAGATAAAATGACATAAATAAAAGTTTTTGTGGGGTTAATCTTAAAATGAGGCATGGAATGTATTATTTTGAAACATCGCGGTGTAGTCAATAGATACTACTGGCGTTACTCTTACTCCTAAATGACGACACTTCAAACAAATCGATGGATTTGTTTGGCTGTTGGAAAGGCTTCGGTCACGCCCCATATTAAGAGTCAAAGGCTATGAACGTCATCCGTCCATATTATGGGCCAATACTCTTCGTACGATCGAGGGTCCCCGATGATCACAAGAACGTGGGCCCCTGGATGGAGGAGACTGATAGAATGGATGGCGAAGAAACTAAGAAGGATGGATAGGAACCATGGGTCGAATGACGTTAATATGCCTGGTCTGGGTCGAAGGAGGGGTGGAAAGGAGCAAATGTGGTGTGATGATGGAGTCGGTGGGAGAGCGGTGTGGCGGGAGAGGCAGACCGTCTTCGAGGCGGACCAGTAGGTATTTAATTAGTATTCCTCGCTACGGTATGAGGCAATTCAGGATATCTCGGAGCCGCCTAATTGGGATGTGCAACTCTAATATGTATAATATCTCATGATATGTGGACAATACGATGTACACTAGTTCATGAGTCAAAAATATCAACGATGACACGATCATTTTTCAGTAGGCAGAGGAGGTCATTTGATACTAACGTATTGAGGAACTAAAAAATTAGTGCCCTCCACTTGAGCCTCCGAAGAATGTCAAGGTCAGTGCGACAATACTCCGATAATTGATAGATTGATACAGGATAGTTAACTAGGGTGAGTGCTTACAGGAGCACGGAGTACCTCTTCGTACTACCTGGTCTGTTCGTGGGCAGGGGAGTTTTATTCCGAGTTTCAGATGAGCACTTTTGATCCTTCGATAGGTTACCGATGCGATGCAGCTAAGAAAATCGAGACAGCTACTGTATGAACATGTAGTGTCTGGGAGTCTAGTAAAGTAACCTACTTACGGAGTACTTCCTAGTAGGATTCGCACTTCTTCTCTCCCTTCTTTGTCTTCTCGTTTCTTATTTTACCATCTCTCTAGAGTCTCTACAGTAAAGCGTCATGCAGACGAGCGGGATCGGTCTGTGATTTGTCCAATGTGCATGTACAGTGAATGTCTGCCAGGGCGCTATCAGCTGCACACTAAAGCTCTCACCACCAATCATGCCAGGTATTGATAGTAGCGTCGTAGCCACCGTCGGAGCCGTAAAAAAGGCGGGGCAACTTAAGATAGGGTCATCCAAGCATGAGTCCATTCCTTTCCCCCCTCCAACATCCACCAAATCATTTCACCCGACCTGCATCCTTGTGGTTTTTAGTTTCTGGTGATCAGCTCGTTTGCCGTCATGGTGGGTGCACCATACTCACTACATTCTACTTCTCGTATGAGGATGGGATTTCGCTTCCTTAGCCATTGTTATTATTATCATTGCATAATGGCCAAGTCAATCAATGGCCAGCGATTGGGATACCCGCGCTCTCGAGAGGGATTCGGAGAGTTTTGCTCCACTTTTTTTTTTCCCTGAGCCGAAAAATGCCACTCTCTGGTCCAGCATTGTTTTTGTTTTGATATGACAATCACGGTGGAAACTGAAACCGGCAAACATGCAACGGAAGATAATTTCCCAAATGTTCGACTAACCGTTGTTTCCATCATCTCTCCAACCCCAATAGAGTTTCCGGGGGGAAGTTATCAGCCCTTCTCAGTTCTCCCAGGGTTCAATTGACACTGATAAGGAATCCTATTAGCGGCAGGAGGAAGTCTGTCGATGAACTAAATCTAAACGAGTGTTTCCAAGACGCGCGCGCCACTATGATTTTGGAGTTATGTACTCTGTAGTAAACTCTGTGGAGTAAGATGTTGACTACACTTGCAGGCCGGAGTATGGTTTTTTTTTCCTTTTTTTTAAAGAATTAGACGCTTTAAACAGGCGGATAGTGTGCTACCCACCAAGGCCATACCATACCGTACGTATGCTTGTACATCCATACATATCATACGTACCTCGACGACGCCCGGTGCAGCGGCTCTCCGACCAACAGAAGACGATAACAGGGAACCATACTATTCGGATGTATTATATTTGATGAGAATAATACTCATCAATAAAATTTTTACATTATAACCAGATCGCCTGCCGCCTTCTCTCTTTTTTCTCATTTGTCGTCTGGATTAAAATTCGCCATCTGCTTTTTGCGTAGTACATATTGGCTTTCCCTCAAGGTACGATTATCCGATAGGACCGGTTTGCTTTTTTTTTTTTTTTCCCTCTCCTTGAGCCTTTTTTTTTTTTTTTTTTTTGGCCTTTTTTTTTTTTTTTTTTTTTCCTCTCCTTCTTCTTCTTTTGGGAGCCCTGTCATTGCTGCTGACGCCCCTCCCCTCAGCTGATTGATCCAGTGCACATCCTTATCCACTCTGCCCCCCCATCACGTACCACCACTAGGCCGACTAGTTGCGGTGCTTGCATATTAGCTCTGCCGGGTCCAGTCTTTTTCTATCCCATCCCATCCTTTCCTCTCCTTTTGGGTGGTTACTGCTTCATCAAGTCGCCGCCCTTCAGCTGTGCCCAGGCGACACCTCATTGACATTGACGACAGAGAGAGAGTCTTCTGGTCCTCAGCTCTCTTCTAAATACTGGGTATGAACACGTATTGCTATCACCGCAGGTCTCAAGTATTGTACTTGAACCTTATATCCGTTATCTCTACCCCTTTTGTCTCCTTCCATAACCCCCTCTATTTTTTGTTGTTCTTAGTCGTCTATAACCCTCAGATACGCACGAACTATACACTGCTATACCTTGAATCTCGGGGTTTCAACATTCCTGTTTACCGTTACTGATCGTCTTGTTCTGCTTCCCAGTCAGATTCTCCAAGTGACTCGGTCTCTCCCTGTTGGCTACGAGCAAAGATGTCGACCCCTGTCACCTACCGTGCGAGTAATCCTTGAGCGTGCCTCTTCAGAGTTCGCCCGACCGGACCATCCCATCGCGTTGGGCGAAGCATTGTCCGTAATGGAGAAGCTGAACACTGAAGATGGACAGCTCTTCATCAAAGTATGTCTTATCCCTGGGCTTACTTCAGATTCATTTTTGCTAAGCTGCCCGCGGCTTTGTTAGAATCTCGCCAGTTTTGTACGCACCCATGAAAAGGCTCTTGCGAATGCCCTCCAATTGAAGCGTCAGCCTACGAAGAATGCACAATCTACACATAGCCAGTCGAGCTCTGTCACGAGCTCGGCGTCATCCAGCTTCGCAGCAGCCTTATCATTTGGTGCATTGAAATTTTCCTCCCAAAACATAAAACCTGCCAAACTCACTCTAACTCCTCATCACCTCTTCTATCTCCTTTCCCGCTTCGAGGACCTTGCTATATCCGTGGGCCCCATGAGTGTTAGGCTGGAGAATATCCATACAGATGTGTCTCAATCCTATGTCTCTTTCCTGAACAAGCCGCAGCGGTCCAGGGGTGACCGGGACTCTATTCACTCTGTGTCAAGTGTCCGTAGTGTTATGTCTGGTATGAGTGCTATCTGGTCTTCCTTTGGCCTAGGATCCAAGGATTCAATCTCCAAGTCGGAAAAGGCAAAAGCAGCTTTAGAAGCGGATACTAAATACCTATACTCTGCCTTTACAAAGATCCCTTGTCTCCGTTTAGCCCCGGACCGCCGTGCCCGCTTAATCCGTGGATATGAAGAATTCCCTTTCGACACCGCTGTCCCTCTCCATTCCTTCAAAAATTTGAGTGCTTTAGAGATCATTGATATAGACTACCGCTCATTCTTTGGCTGGGATCGACTATCCGAGCAGTTGCGCACATTGACCGTCAAAAGAGCAAACATCGAAGATCCGGCAGATTTGCTGACGCGAATAGTCCTGGATGACATTGATAGACGTCGACGACGATCATCCAAAAATCAACCGTCGCCTGTGCTTGGATGGACTGGAAATGCGAACCCCCAGCCAGTTTACAGGCCCGAACATCCCAGCTCCCTGTCTGCTCCTGGGTCCCCTGTTGCGGATACGGCCTTTGGTACAAGCGCCAGCCCTCAGGCAGCTTCCATGATTCGTGTAGGATCCGAGGGTGCTAAAGTCCGAACCCGAACTGGAAGCATCTCCCCTTCGCGCCCGACCAGTTCAAAACACTCCATGTACCGCCACACCCGAGGTAATCCTTCACGGATAAGGCGTACCGGGTCTGGCAGTTCCAACTCCAGTGAGAACTCGGGAAACCGGAATGGAAGTTCTTCGAACCTGCTCACTGGAGCCCTTCCGCCCTCCAAATGGCGCTTCTTACGTCATCTTGGTCTCCCCGATAATTCCTTGACCTCTATCTCTACTACTGGTCTTGCTCCAGTTGCTAACACGCTTCACTCGCTTGACCTGTCAACGAACCTCTTTACTGAAGTACCAGACAGTTTGGCGACTCTGGTAGGTCTAAGGGCATTGAACCTGTCGCATTGCATGATTGAGTCGCTCCACTCCCTGTCTCGGAATCCATTGCCAGCCATCACTGCACTGAATCTTCGCGGCAATCGACTTCGTTCCCTCGCAGGAATTGAAAGGCTGCTTTCATTGGAAAGGCTGGACCTTCGTGACAACAACCTCACTGATCCGACCGAAATTGCTAGACTCACCAGCCTCCCTGAGATACGGGAGATCTGGGTGTCGGGAAATCCTTTCGTGAAGACGCACTCAGGCTACCGTGTTGTTATATTCAATCTATTCCGTCGTACGCCAGGGTACTCAGAGGATATCATTATTGATGGAACTGGCCCAGGGTATACTGAGAGGAAGCAGCTGGTCGATCGCGCTGCCGAGCCCGAAGCCGCACCGGTAATACGGTCCACTGCTGCAGATCGTTCAGCTATTGTCAGTAAACCATCCAACGCTATTGTGCAGGGTGTCCCAGCCGCCCAGCCCAACGAGGAACAGGTCAAGTACCCGTTGCAGCGAACGCAGAGGACGGAGCCAGGAGTGGCGCCTAATCGGCTAAAGAAGGGTCAACGGAGGATTGCCGACCGATCTGCGGGAAATCCTTCTGTCGATGGTAAGGCGGACTCAGGTGCAGTCGTACCTTCCATTCTTTCTGCTCAGCAAATTCAATTACCCGTTGATCCATTTGCCTCGCCGCCACCCGACCATCAATGGATATCTGATGGTGGAACCCAGGCCGGACCCTGTAATGCACAATTCGCGGTCAAGATCGGCCAGGAGCACGGGGAATCCGTTGTTCACCTTAGCGAATCCCTTTCTTTACAGCGCAAGCTCCCGGGCGTGGACTGGAATGCGGATGCAGAGTTCTATAGACGGAATTTGGATGCCTTGAAGCACGAAGTCGGCAGCAGCTGGCTCTCGATGCTTGGAGACCGCACTTGGGAGTCTCAACACCGAGATATCAGCACCCCCCGCACCGGAGCTGATATTGTTGATCCATCAATAATTCCTACGGATGCACTCGCCAGAGCCAGCACCCAGCCTATTCTGAGCGGAGGCCATACACTGAATTAGGCTTCGATCCTATTCCACCCATGAATAAAGAGATAGAAACATATATATCCTACCTTTTATGGCTCCACATACCCCAACTTCAGTGCTACTCAATGCTCTATCGGCCGCAAGTTCTTGTATTGCATCTTGCCCTTCTGGAGTTTTCGAGGACCTCTTCTCAGACCTCATCACCCACTTGCATACATTTTTCCAGTCATGATCCAGGGCAGCGGCCAAGTGCATGTCTATGGCGTTTATGTGATCCTTGGAGATTGTGTGCCGGATGTACGAACATTTGAGTCATTTTCTTCTCCACTCCCACCCACGCACTATATACACACCATACAGTTTATATTCCTCCGACTCCGGCTGGTCCATATCATGGGAGGTATTATCCAAGAAAGTGATTTGCTCTAGACCGTCTGTATTGTACCTGTTGAAGGGGGGGTAATCGGTGTTGTCAGGCGTTTGTTGTCTCTTTGTTTTTCCAGCACTTCGGTTACCCCCGTTATGCGCTTTTGGGAGGTGTTCTGCTATGTCTAATCTTTTTTTATTTCGGCCGCTTGTTTCATGCCTTTAATGATTTGTTTACCTGGGACGACTGAGTTTTGTCGGGATGATATCGATTTGAATGTTTTCGTCGATGTATTTTTTCTTCTCTTTTTTCCTTTTTGGGTATCTGTTCATTAGCTTGGGTCTTCTCCACGGGCAGTGATGAGTTTCGGACTTGATGCATGAGACATGAAAACGTGATGAGCTAGTTAGTGTGCAGTGAAAATAGGGATTGGCTGAATGCCGGCTAGTTAAATATCTACCAATGATACTGGTACCATGGACTTTCCCCGTTGACGGCTTTCCACCGGGATGGTTCGTAGGGAGGGAGTGTATTGTGTCATGGACTCGCCGCCGATAGGCCGTGGCGATGCTTCAGGTCTGGGCCGGCCATCCTTGCCAGTGCAACTTGGATATATTCGGATCTTGAGATACCTATTAATACCTCTATTTCTCTAAGATATAAATATCTAAATCTAAATCTAAATATATGAAGAATCCCAACTTGTTGCCGCCCGGGAGGGGACCAATCAGGAGGCGTAGAGCCTGGGCCAAACTACCTCCTTTGCTCCCCAGTTACTGTTAGGCAGTGTTAGTCTCACTCAGTATCAGGCTCTTCTTTTCCCTCTCTCCTTTCTTTCTTTTTCCCATCGAAAGAAGTATCGGGTCTTATATTGTCCCCGTGGATTTACACCCTACTGTCTCAGGGAGCGAAAGAAGACAAAAAAAAAGGTTGTTCCTCGCTTTGCAAACGTTAGCCAGATTGCCCGCTAGAAAAGGAAAAAAGGCAGAAAAAAAAAATTAATTAAAAAAAGAGAGATCGATCTCCCTTGATTGCCGACCAGCAACAATCTTTCCTCTTTCTCTCTCTCACACACTCTCTCTTTCTCTCTTTCTCCCTTCCTTCCACATCCCCTCACTCCATCGCAATCGCTGCAGAGATTCATCTGGTGGTAGCCTTCAACTTGACCTCCCTCTTCTCATCAATCCCGTCGCGGTTTCAGCTCCCGACTTGCCGTCGCCTAGTGCGCTTTTTCTTTTCGTTTTCTCCCCCCGATCCGCTCCAACAACTCCGTAACGTCGTCCTGAGGATTTTCGTCCGCAGCTGCCGCATCACATCCTTTTTCAACGCGCGTCGTCGACTACCCAAGGGAGAAAGTGTTCCATATTCACCCCCTCTGGCATAACCGCCAGATCCCTCGTTTTCCCAAGGCCATTTGGCCTGTCTTCGCTTTTCGATTCCGGTTTCTTTTAAATCCCGTTTGGTAAGCGCACCACCCCTCTCCTATCGCCTACTCTTGCTACGGCAAACAAAAAAATGTTAAAAAAAACACCGTCCGAGCGCATTGTTCACGCATACACCGCGCCTTCAACCTCATTTTTATCGGATGTCTTCTGTCGTTCTCAGCTTTCGGTCGTGATAAACTAACTGAATCTCTCTGTTGTTCCAGACCATAGACGCCGCGTCATCAGTAGTCTCGAGCACTTCACCAGCTGTCCTTCTTCCCCTTCCCTCTTTCCTTTCGTCGCTCAACGCCTGTGTTAAATACTTCTTTTGTCCTCTTTTTTCCTTTTCTTTGTCTTTTTCTTTCTTTCTTTCTTTTTTTTTACTTCCGTCTCTCATTCGAGACCATAAGTCATGGCTGATCAGGAGGTGGACTTGGACTCAATCATTGATAGACTGCTGGAGGTGAGGGGCAGCCGTCCGGGCAAGCAAGTGCAGCTCCTGGAGTCGGAAATCCGTTACCTCTGCACCAAAGCTCGCGAAATCTTTATCTCCCAGCCCATCCTGTTGGAGCTGGAAGCGCCAATCAAGGTAACATTATATCACCCTTGGAGAGCAATGGCATGGTCTCTGTGAACTAACGGGCACAATGCTGGCAGATTTGCGGTGATATCCACGGCCAATACTACGACCTCCTACGCCTTTTTGAATATGGTGGTTTCCCACCAGAAGCCAATTACCTGTTCCTTGGAGACTATGTCGACCGCGGTAAGCAGTCGCTCGAGACGATCTGTCTCCTTCTGGCCTACAAGATCAAGTATCCCGAGAACTTCTTCGTCTTGCGTGGAAACCACGAATGTGCGTCCATTAACCGCATCTATGGCTTCTACGATGAGTGCAAGAGGAGGTATAATATCAAACTCTGGAAAACTTTCACCGATTGCTTCAACTGTCTACCCATTGCCGCCATCATCGACGAAAAGATTTTCACAATGCACGGTGGTCTGAGCCCCGACTTGAACTCGATGGAGCAAATTCGTCGTGTCATGCGCCCCACTGATGTACGTTTTTGTCCGACCTCTTTTTTTTCTCCTTTCGCCTTTGTCTCTTGTGCCAGGGCCTATTTGCGCGCCTAGATGAGAACTTCCTTTTTTTTTTTTTTTACAGGGCTCCATGAGGCTCAAATGTTAATACGCTGACTAAACTTAGATCCCCGACTGCGGTCTTCTTTGTGACCTTCTGTGGTCTGATCCTGACAAAGATATCACGGGTTGGAGTGAAAACGATCGCGGCGTGTCATTCACATTTGGCCCCGATGTTGTATCCCGTTTCCTTCAGAAGCACGACATGGACTTGATATGTCGCGCCCACCAAGTTGTCGAGGACGGTTATGAATTCTTCTCCAAGAGGCAATTGGTCACTCTTTTCAGTGCACCGAACTATTGTGGGGAGTTTGACAACGCAGGCGCAATGATGAGTGTGGATGAGAGCCTACTGTGTTCGTTCCAGGTATGTTACGGCCCCGGGTGAAGTTACGCACTCTTTGGTAGTAGAGTCTGACTAATATGTCTTCTTCCTTATAGATCTTGAAGCCAGCAGAAAAGAAACAAAAGTACGTCTACGGGGGCATGAGCTCAGGCAGGCCCATCACTCCTCCGCGAAAGCAAAAGAAGAAGTAAGGAATCATACGAGCTTTTCCATGTGCAGCAGGTTCGGGCGGAGATAAACACGTCATATATTCAATCCACTTTCACCATAATACGAGTGACCGAAACCCGACGACATCGATGGCTATGTATTAGACGATCGGAAGCCGCAAATACACCTAACCGCCCGCGACCTAGACGCCATGCAGATTGTCGTATCATCCTCCCCGCATACCAAACTCAGCGAATTCCGAGTCATTTTGCGCTGAATATGTTCCTCTTTTTTCTCTCCACGGAAGGTACTTTACTGCTGTCAGTAGGGATTGGTGTTCATTTTTTTTTTTTCCCCTTACTATTTCCCTTGTTTATTATCACCTTTTTCCACCTCGCTTTCTTCTTTTCCGTCATCTTTTCACTTTTCCTTTTTTTCCCCAACCTTGTGTTGTCCGAATTCATTTGACAGAGGAAGGGGAAGCGACGGGCTGCATCTGGTGTTCTCCGATTGTTTTTTTGAGAGATCTTTCTGTGAGTGTAATGCCAACCAAATAAGCAACGACATTGTGTCTTTTGAAACTGCCAAAAACGAGCGCCCCATTCCTCTCCCTTCATGCCCTTCCGAATTAGATCCGAAGCCCAGCACGATCAGGTGCGCAATCCGCGTGTGCATCTCGAGAACGAATGATTGATCACAGGCGGGTTTTCTTCCTCAGGGGGTGGTATCCCAGTGGACAAGGAATTGCCAATTCATGCTCATTTCAATTCATTCACTGTTTGCGCCAGTATATTGATATGTTATATGTGATACCTGTATGGTATGCTCTGTATAGTATAGAGCTGTTTCTTAGCAATTAATGCATGGATAAACTTGGTTTTGTTTTTATTCTTATTTTTATTATTAGGGTAGATTCGAAATTCCAAATGTCGACATATCGGAGCAGAATAGTTAAAACTGAAAATAGACTAATAAGTGAGATATATATTTTTTTTTCAGCTATTTGAACATCTTTGCTACTGGAAACGCAAAAACCTGAACATAGCAAGGAACACAGGAAAGAAGACCATTGCACCTTGCTTGCTGTTTGGAGAGAAAGCTAGTTTGTTAGATGGACAGGCACAGGGAATTCCAATAACAGAATGAATGAATGGATTTATGGGTCGCATTCATTACGAGGCATAGGTAACGTAGTCATGGACATGACTGGGTTGGTATAAATGACATAGGTGGTGTTATGTAGGGGTGGGAGTGAGTAGAGGCAGTTTGAGATGAGATGGAGATAGACGAGTGCAAGCGGAAAAACTAAAGTTAAGCCAGGCTCAGCTCGACACAGCTGGGCTTGCTTAAACGTATTGAGACAACCACCTGATACCCTCGCCGTATCCTAATAATTTCATCAGAAATGAAAAGTCAAGGGAAAACGATAAACTTAAGGCCAAGAACTCACCCTGTCGCATCACAACACTGCACATAAACACCTCGATAGGTCGGATTCCCTCCAAAGGAACCTTGCCCTTACCCGTGGTCTGGTACAGACCCAATTGGTGCCTTAATTCATCCTCGCTGACGGCATCCGGGTGGTCGATCTTGTTACCCAGCACCAGGAACGGCACCTTAGCCAGATCCTCCATGGCCAGCAGTGCGTCGAGTTCGGCCTTGGATTCGGGGAATCGCTCGTGGTCCATCGCATCGACGAGGAAGACGATGCCGCTGACTTCGGGGAAGTAGTCCTTCCAGAGGCGACGGGCTAATATTGACACTCGTGTGTTAGGGAAGCATTGAAAATGTAAAATCGGAGCTTAGTTTTGCCTACCCTGTTGGTGACCACCAAGATCGAAAGTCGTGAATCGGTTGTTGCCAATTGCTAATTCCTCCGAAGCTAGATTGTGTAATTCAGTTGTTAATCCTTGTTTTCATACTCCCACATTGTCCATTCCATTCCCTGTCATGGTATTCGTGGCGTTTGATAACGTACTCGGATGGGCGGTGGGTTGAAGAAGTGCAACCCGGTCATTCTGATAAAATTTGGTCAACCACGATCCTCACTTCCTCGTTTTATTATTTTCATCCTGTGGAGATGGTAGGCCATGTCCCGTTCTGTGTCTGCCCCTTGCGCGACCGACCGCAGTCGGACAGGTAGCCAACATACCCACTCTTAACCATGCCACATCACACATAGCACAAACAAAAAAAGGAAAAAAAAAAAAATAACTGAGTATATGATGGAATAAGAGGTGCTCACCTTCAGCATGTGTAGGAGGGTGGTTTTCCCAGCATTGTCCAGACCCAGGAAGAGAAGCTTGGCGTGCTTATTGAGCAGGCCAAGGGAGGCCAACATGTCGTAGACTACTCACACCACATCAGCACCACTTCAAAACAAATCAAGGACAAGATATGAGAAACAGAAACAAAGAAAAATCATCCTAGCTCCCGTTCAGGCCAGCTATATGGATCGCCATGGGAAAGGGATTAAGTCGGCCGGGGAAGGACTGCCACGCGACTACCTACACCAGTTGATGATCCACATCGTGGAAAGAGATTCAGATGTCAAGAAATTAAACGACACTGAGCGGCACTAGGGTGCGTGCGGAAGGAAAATGAAGCGCTGTGGGAGGGAGAAGACAAGAAGTCGAGAAGAGAGTGTTGCGGTGGCCCGATATGGTTGACGTTGGAGTTTCGCTTGTCTGCAGGCTTAGCCGAGCGCTAAAGCCAAGTGACTCTAACAGCCGCCGATCTGGCAACGCTTGTGGGCATCATCTGATCTACGACAAAACGTCCAAATAAACAACCCAAAATCTTGTAACGAACGATTTTACCATTAAGCTGGCTCTAAAGCCAGTTCCATGGAAAGTATACTTATCTACATCTTATCTCAACAACCAACAGGGTATACTCCATTTGAAACAGCCTCCATGACAGAAAAGGAAAAAACCCAACCCAGGCATGGGTTTAAACGATGTTTCCAAAGGCGAATCGGCCTCTCATCGCAAAATTCATTAGAGTTGACAAGAATGTTCCAATAAGAAAGAAAGAAAGAAAGAAAATAAAATATGTATAAGAAAAAGAAAGAAAAGGACCAGAAAAGCGATCGCCCCGTAAATGCAGACAGATGCCCTCCGAAAAGTCAGGGGGAAACAAACAAAAAAAAAAAGGCCTGATGAATAGCGAATGACGTGCAGAAGCGTACACCATTTCAGCTCCAGGGCTGTCCACTGGAGCAGATGACCGATACAAATATTCAACTATTTACAAGAAAGATCTAGATCCCCTTCCAGATAATGAACTAGACGGATAGGACGAGCTGCGCGTTTTCTCCTACGCCATAAGCTCGGCATCTCTCAGCAACTGCGAGGCCAAGGTCCTTCATCCGTTCAGCACCTTTTCCGGGAACTGGTCGCCGCTCCATCTGCTCTCTGGCAGCTTTGCGACAGTGTTGACGCCAGAACTTTTCTTTTCGTTTCTGACGTTTTTTCTCCAAGCCCTCGACAATATCGATGGGGCCACGGGTGTGAACGTCACGTCCGCGTGACGATTCAAGTTCAGGAGATCCCCTCAGGGGACCAACTCCTGTCCACCTGTGAGACCTTTCCAAACTGGTGAAGAAAGGATTCGGTGTCCGAGGCAGCGACTTAGTCCGTGTCATATATGGCCGCTGGACCAATTCACTGATGTTGAGGCCCTGGGGACGAAGATCGGCAGCACCTTCCACTGGGGAACGGTCACCCTTAGCAGGTGACTTGAATTTAATTGGAAGCGGGGAGCGCATACGTCGGGGTGAAGAACGACCATGGCGACGAGGTGGCGGGGGAGAGACCATCCGCTTGGGAGAAATGCGAGGAGAAGTCTTTCTAAACTGATCCACGCCAGCCCTTCCTCGGGGCGCTTCATCAACCACCAATGACTCGTGAAGATCGTCATCGTCCTCTTCGTCCTCCTCCTCGGGATCCGATGTAGGAAAGCTGGGGTCAATGTCTTGGGGGATAAGGATTTGTTTGGAGAGACGACGTTGTTCGATGCAGGATTTGTAAGCAGCCTCTAAAGGGCGGTCTTCATCGAAAGTTCCACAAACGAAGTCCGTACTATCAGGTAGGTGAGGAGTGCTTGGACGCATCTTACGGATCTTGGTCGGGCGACTGCCTCCTTTGTCAGATAACGCAGGTGGCCACCTCCGGCGTTGGTTATCATCATTTAACGATTCAAACGAAGTGTTTGAGTCACGGCGGGTGAAAGTAACACGAGGAACATCTAATGTTTGAGGACTGGTAGCGGCAGTTGTCGTGGTGGGGGCCCAGAATTCATATTCCGAGCCATCACTCTCATCGGATTCGGCAAAGCCTTCCTCATTGTCTGACTCGTTCCCATCATCTGACGAGAAGTCCTGAACAGTAGAATCATCATCAACATCATCATCATCATCATCATCCTCGTCTTCATCTTCGTCTTCGCCGTCGTCATCATCATTCTCTTCCTCGTCATTCAAAGCCTCCTCCTCTGCTTCTTCCCCGAGCTTCCGAATGGCATTTTCCTTCTTCATGCAATCGTGAAGTGTAATCTTCTCTTCATACTCGCCAGTCTTAGTGACCCATTCATCATCCTCCTCAACAGAGCTTGCGAATTCATGGAAGCGAGTTGCCTCAGATTCCTCGAACTTGCCAAGTCCGCTGGTATGGACACCTCTTCGGTCACTAGACGGTTTCTGCTCTTGCTGCTGGGGAACGACGGTCGTGAGAGGGGCTTTGTTCTCAGGTGAGGCCTTGCGAGCAACAGGAGCGGGTGATCCCCGAGGGCGTGATCTTAGGGCAGCCCCACGGACTGGAGATCGATCCCGTCGAGTCTCCGGGTCTCGAACTGGGCAGACAAATGTGAGCACAGTCTTCCGCTTGAAGGGCTCTGTCGAGGTAGTATTTGTCTCAGGACGCTTTGCGTTGAGTCGTTGTGGCGTAGGAGGTTGTACCTTCTGGTCCTCGACTCTACGCCCGCATGCAAAACTGATGCATCTCTTGCGGCCCAGATTAGCTTCGACCGCCGACTCTCCTCCCTCTGCCACGGTCAGCTTCTTATTATCAGCTATGGTGGCCGTATTATTATCGGTGAGCTGGGACATTAGTGGAGGGCTTGAAGTATTCGACATGGACGGACTGGTAAGGCCTCCGTCACTTGTCAATTCAGCCGTCGAGACGCCGCTAATGTTGGTATAATGGTAGGAACGGTAGAAAGCGTGTTCGTGTGAGGACGGATCTTGTCCTGAAGTGCTCAGAACCGGGCTGCTTTTGAGAGCACGAGTGAGGAGAGATTCCTTCCGATCCACTATGTTGGTAGGCTTGACGCGAACCACATCATCATCAACGTTGATCGGCGAAGAATTAAGAAACCGATGTTCCGGGGGTTCGTCCATGTCCTCGGCCATGTCGGTGTCCTGGTGGACGGGCTTGTTGGACTGATGAGGCGAGAGTAGCATCTTCAAGAGGTTATGTATCGAGGCAAATGGTCGGTCACCACGCAAGTGAGCCATCACTCCACAGTTGTAGAAATACCGGCCAAGATAAGGTGAGAGTAAGGTAGGTAGAAGACAGGGCCTGGTGAGATCGGATATTCACTGAAGTATAGCGAGACTCGACAGTATAGTGGCGGGTGCTGAGGGTGGAGGTTTGAAGTCGGTCAACAATCGGTCAACAAGGAATTATAGGCCAATAATATAATTTCATCAATCAGATATCAAATAAGAAGATGCTCTCTCTACATCGATCAAGAAGTACAACCGATCGACCCAGAGGGCGGAAGTGAATGGGGGTCCCGCAAAGGACGAAGATTGTCATGATATACAACACATAGTGTGAGAGGTATGTGAGGGTAGAAAAGCCAAGGGAGGGAGAGTAAGAGCGTCAACTATGCTGCCAAGAGTGGAGGGGTCGACGCCTTCTTCAAAGAATGGCAGCTCAAAGAGCGCCAGAAGAAGACGCGTTGAGAGAGTCTCCAAGAAGGCAATGTGTTGGCAATGCTGTGGGATTCAGATGGAGGAAGGAAGAATGTTGAAAAGTATCGGAGAATAAAAAAGCAGGGAGGGGAGGAAAACTGTAATTAAAAATTTAAAAAGAAAAAAAAAAATTTAATGGGCAGTTAGTGTATAGTAATTCGTAAGTCTGCCGTAAGAGAGGGGAGGTGGGATTAAGTGGAAGAAAAAGAGCAAAAAAAAGAAAAAAAAAAATTCAATGCAGGGTAATTAATTCTCTATGATTATGGGGCGCGGGAGAGCAGCGCCAGGTTTGGGGGCTTGACTTGGTGGGATTGGAAGGGACTGACCCCCGGTGTGGTCACTTGTTCAGGAGTGGTCGCCACACTGACAGCAACACAAAAGCGAAAAGGGAAAAAAGAAATAAAAAAAAAAATTTATTTCAAATTTTCTGATCTTCTCTTGGGCTTCTTTTCTTCTGCAGCCGGACTAGGAGACGCTCGGTCCAACCAACCCCGCCAAGACCAGACCCACCCTATCGTTTTCTCGCCAAACTTGATGCATGCTTTGGTTCCTGCGGCTACGATACGTGACGGAGAACAGTACAGTACATCTGTATTATTGCAGGGTGGGTGGACAAAAAGTACATGCATTCCCACAGTTAAAGGAGATATGAGAATAGAATAATAAAGAACCTGACAACACAATGAAAATTCTACCATGGGCAGCTGTTTTGACTGTTTGTGAGGAAGTCAACTACGTGTTTCTGATGACTTAATATTCGGTAGTATTGTGCTAGATTAGTTTCATCCATCGGTAATGCAAGTACTAAGTACGATTGGGATAACTATGAGGGATTTTGTACCCCTAGACCTGCTACTGTAATTTGAATGGTAGCTATGACTAATCAACTAGTTAACGTAATCGGTAAGCGAGCGCCGCATGAAAGCGAGCGCTGCACCTCTCTATTCCATATAAAATGACACTTTTTGAGAGTCTAATATCTCAACAATAAAGCACCTAGAGGGCATAAAATTTAATATACAGTATAATATAATAACGTATATATATATATTAAGCAGAGAAATTTTAGGAATGAATATTTCTCCAGATAAGATAAATTACAACTGTATTTTTTATATTTTTAGTTGTCCTAGTATTTAAAGCCAAGAAAGCTATTTAAAAACATGAAAACACCTTTTAGAATCCATATATATGTTATTGTCTTATAAAGATGTTCTATATCTACTGGTGGTTGAGATATTAAGGTTTCAAAGAGTGCCATTTTATATGGCGTACAGAAGTGCGGCGCTCGCTTTCATGCGGCGCTCGCTTACCGATTACGTTATCCAAACGGTGCACCTACTTAGGTAAGTTAACAAGCCCAGAAACGGTGTTTCCGTAGTACCACCTTAGTACCTGGTAATATTTTCCAATAACTGACTTTGGAAACGGACGGATGAATAAAAGAGCGCTTTTTTTCGGAGGCTCAGCATTTCCATTTTAACCTATTATTCTTACGGTGCACATCTCACAGGTTCCGATGCATATACAGACGCTGTGTTACATAGTTCCAGACGAGAGAGGATGAAACGGTGTAGACCCCACGAGATGAGTAGAGTGGCACGAGTAATTGCGTACCGGTAAGGTTGTTCCCAGGTTGCCCTACCCTAAAACAGACAGGAGATGACCGGGACGGAGTAGAATCCAGTAATTTATGGGTAACAACATGACCACGAAGGAACGGGCAAACCGTGCCGAAGTCTTGTTTCAGCGATTTATTGGGCAGTGCAATCTCTCCTACTGAATCGGAACAATAGTAACAGCGATATTAGTAAGTTTAATTACACACTTTTACTCCGGAGTACAGAGTACCTAGTGTAGTTCGGGGGCAGTCGGTCCTCATCGGTCAAGATCCTGAGCAATTCACCTAGTCACTAGCACAAAATCGTCCAAAGCGTAGACCACTAGACTAGGTACGATCGCAACTATGGAAACAGATGCTAAATTGTTCGAGTACCTACAAATCCTAGCGCTCTACGCGCTTCATTCTCATGATTGAGAGATTTTAGAGGTTATCTCCTACTGTTGGCCTTGCCCCTTATCTATTCTGCAGGGCTGATTTTCCTAATACAATATACGGTATTTTCAGGTTATCGGTCCTCACTCTCGCTTTGCCGAGTCTTTCCCTTGCCTGCAGTGATACAGAATCGGTGAGGCTCGGTTCTTGGCATCCTGACGTAAGTTACACTATGTCGTATCCTCAGGACTCCTGACGACATGGATGAAACTACGGGGAAGGTACAGGGAGGAAAGGTATGCTGTATCCATACCGAGTACCAGCCGATGCGGCCAGCATAAGACACATACACATACATAATACAGGGAGAGAATGGAGGCTGCAATCGAAGTCTCAACGAAGCGACCGAAGTTCTCGGACCGGAGATCCTTGCGTTGGAATGGAAAGTCAAACTGGAAAGTTACTTGAGGTCAGCATACACTTGGTTGCTCCTACAGTGTGCCAAGTACAGTACCACCGTGCCAACCATCCCGGATTTGCCGATCACTCTCCAGCCATGACGCTATCGAGTACCCGAGTATTTACAACTGAAAAGTGACACCATCCAAGAATAAACGACGTGCTGTGTCTCCCAGCCTTGGCGGTAGATGCTCTTTTATATTTATATCGACCATACTACAACTATTGCAAACCACCGACTCGGCAACATAGTCTGATCTTGGCTGTGCCACTTTGATGAAGGTATATATATATTACCTTCATCCACCACTTCCAGAAATATTAACCGGAGGCGAACAGATCAAATCAACGATATATTTACATGTCGCCGGAAAGAAAGGAGATTACGAGGTCCTCGTAGTGATGTTGGTCCGAAACACGATACCATCATTATTTAACGTGGTAAAAAGCGTGTCTCCACAAGGATACCCCAGTGATGAATAGGAACATTTCTAGCTGCCGTGTCGTACAGCAAAGTCAATGATATCCGATTTTAGATTTAGGCATTCATGACAAGAAAGGCGAAGCACAGAAGAGGCAGTGTTGAAGATCATCCGCGCCCTCCAGATCTTACATACACCCATTCTGGAGTACAGACGGACATGCGCCAAGCTCTTCTGCCTTTGTTCTTAAAATAAAACAACCCAATCCCAAGAGTGAGATCAAGCAAATAATGGTCGCAGTCAGCACCGCCGTAGGAAGATCAATCGTTTTCCATCGCCTCTCACCGTCGCGCTCTTCATGCATAACATAAAAGAAATTGAGGGATGGCGAAATCCGTGCCAACAATAGAGAAGCGGTCAGCCATCATCGCTGGTGACAAGACAGAAGCGGGACCGCCATAGGTGAAGACCGCCATAGGTGAACCAACACAGTTCGAGGCTTGAGTCTTGGTCAAGCTTCCTACGACTCAGGGATCCCCCACTTTTAAGTCGACTAAGTTCCAACTTTGCTATGCCTAGGAGCTACTGAAATTTGGACTGGGTCACTAGATACCATTTAGTTTTATTTTTGTCCTTTCGCTCGGCGTCCCAGCAACAAGGATCGATTCAGCATCGGCCAGTCATGATCCAGTGCTGCAAGAAAGACTACTGCTAGGGCCCTAGGCGACTTGGGAAGGGAACAGAGGAAAGGTTACGAATGAGTTCAGTTGCCTAATCAAGATAATGGGGTCTCATCAACGTGGGGCGGACTCGAAGGATTCGTTTCCTTCTCACAAGTCACAATGTGACAATAAATGACGACAGGAAGAGCGGCCGACCGACAAAGATCTCTCCTGTATCCACGCTCTTCGAACTACACACGCAACCCATAAGCAGATTGTTTGAAGGCGTTGGAAAAACATCCGGCTCATGAGTTTTATTTACTAATCGCTGAGGCCGTATGTGGCCGTGATACCGCGGATGGTGTATGTCGCTTATCCTCCGTCGTCTTGACCCAAAGTGGTCATCCCACCTGTCACCGGGCGACCGATGGAGAAAAGGATGGACGTCTTCGGCGGACAGGAAATTGCCAACATTGAGACGGCAGTTTACCCAGCCGTTTCTGCATTTGAACCATGCACCTGTGGAGGTTGTGAATTGTCACAATGCGGAGCTCGGATATTGTCCGTGGTCAGGCGATGAAAGCCGGTTAGGAGTGGTCAGTAGGTATGGCGATGGATGAGCGGAGGACAAGTTGTCGTATAGGTAGGCATTATTGCTTTATTATTGAGTGGATTGGATGGATAAAAGTGGCATAATTTAATTCCCTAGGGCCAACGTGCTCCGAATGGAGCACCTAGGGCTCTCAAGGTCAAGCCAAGCGCTTATCAAAGCACGTTCACCAATGGCATGCGACAGTGCGATTTGTATGAGGGATTTATTCTCACACAGCACGGCTCTCTTACAGAGAGATGATTCAGTGATGCAGGGCATGCCCAATGTGGTAAGCCTGAGGCATTCAGCCTGCTACTGATTTGGGGGTTGGGCCGGATTGGAGTGGTTGTAACTATGGCTTCGGCTTAGAGATGATAGCCCACTGTCAAATCATTGAAGCTCTTCTAGCCTTTCCAGGGGTCATATCCCTCCGTACGACCTACCTACCACTAGGCTCGCTGCGGTTAAATGCGAAGCGGTCATGACAGCTGCACCGTGCGTTTTTAATGTAATAACATTAACGTTATTGTTATTATTTGTAAGTAAGTGCGGAGTATTCTTTCGATTACTATTATTTGTGGGTAACTATTTGTACATACCTGGGACCTAGGTACTACGAAGCATGTGCGTACTTACTCTTAAGCTGTCCCGAACATTGTTTCTGAAAAGACTTGCATCATGGCGCCAGATTCTATAATCATAATTTCAGTTTCGATATGAAACCTACAAGCCCGTCAATACGCAATGCTGTATTCTCTCGCTTTATTACAGACAGCGTATTGAGAAATACGGTAGACAACGTCTGGTAATATGTCTCATACAGCAAGAAAGATCGAGATATGCTTCAATGCACATGGAACCTCTTTTGTTTGGGCCAGACTCGTCATGGAGTCCACATATTCCCAGAACACCACCCCCTTGATTCGGCCCGCTTGCCATTCTAACATATCCGTCAGCGTCAACTCAACGGTAGCATACTTCAACAGGAGAGGAGCAGTTCATCGATGAATGAGCGAAGAAGCCGAAAGAAGACGATGATAGCATCCTCCCGTCGCACGCCACGGACCGCATGACCCTTTCTCTCAGTCTAGGGAGACACTGCAGATCTACTAGCTATTGCTGCAGCTCATAGAGTATGTAACCGGCAGGTCTTCTGGAAACCTCCTTATGGCTGCATCACCCCTTGAACTCTACAGGACAGCCAAGATTTCCGCCAAGATACGCCAAGGCTATTCAGTATGCATCCATCATCTTGGGAAACCCCTCCTTCACACCCTTGCTTCCTCTTCTGAACAACACGGCTGGCCCATTCCACAGCAGCGCTTGGCAACGTCCCCAATGACTACGGTGCAGCCCCCTCCCGTACGACGGGGAATCCGCCAAGAGTGCTAGAAATGCGGATGGGGACTTTCCCCGTGCCTCCGGACTCACCCTCCTTGCGGATGAGAGCGTTAAACTCTCGCTGGAGTCACTGGACAGTTCCGTCTCCTGGTGCTGCACTGCCAAGTCCGCCAAGGTTACTCACAAATTCCTGTCTTTCTCCCCATCTCCTTGTGAACAATAACATTTTACTTTTGACTGATGTGTCCTTCCCCTGTTCCTAGTGGTAGATCATCGTCGATCATCTGGCCCCGTGAGCGCATACACAACTCTTGGCGATCAAGAATAAGAAATCACCGCGATTTTTAGGGAGTGAATCAAGGTTCAGCTCTGGTGGACAAAAATGGGGGGGAGAGATGCACAAGAATGAGGTAAGGTAATATTCCAAAACTCGGTGCATTTCATATGTGGGAAGGCCAAACTCCCGCGGAGTATACCAAGTATACCAAGTAGACTAGGAGACAACTCAGAGACGACTCCGACCATCGTATAGGTGGAGACTGGATGTTTCGCTCTGTCGCCTAGGGATTCACCACATCCTGGGTTACCAGGTAGCGTAAAGCAGTATTCCGTACAGAGTATAAATCATTTATTTGGCAAAGCCATTAATAACATCCTAAACATTAGTTAATATTATCAATGAATTGGATAGTTAATATTCTATAAATTAGCTAAGATCAACGAAATTTCCAACCTGGAACCCAATACTTACCACTACATGATTCAAGTACCAAGTATAAGTACTCCATAGTCCCTATACATAATTTTCTCTACACTTTAGAAAGAGTAAGTAACATCCCACAGATAAAAACCATCCCACAAACAGTGGCTTCTCGAAAATCATCCTGTAGCGACTATGCCGTACATACGTGGACACAAACAAATATACATACATATACGGAGTACATATACATACATACATGTCGATCCGACCCTACCACAAAGATAACAACCATGCCAATATCAGGACCAGATATACCTACACCTCCCATTCATGAAACAAAAATATCATTCAATAAAGTAAACAACCCCCACTCTAACGTCATGGTACATGCCAGAAGGTGGTATCTCAATTAGGTAATTTATTTAGTGTTGATATCCATGATAGATTGCCATGACAATAAGTGCTCGGTAGGTACATAAGTAGACATCGGTCAAAACGGTGAGTTTCCGGGTGTAGCTAAAGGGGTGCGTATACTATTGACAGCCCTGAGATAGCAAGTATTTACCTACTTATTCTACGACAATGTAATATACATTGGTAAGTAGGCATTACCCATACTATTGAGCCATGATAAATTTGATATGAATAAATTAATTTACTTTTACCTAGTTACTACCTAGTACCTCCAATACAACACTCTCCAATGAGAAGGAAGTGTGAATGACGTCATCCCAGACAGAGTCACAGCCACTCCCGTAGCGAGATTCGCATATTTCTATCACTATGACTATCGGCTATCTCCAGCTATTGGCCATAGGTAGTTACCGGGCTGGTTATGACTAAGTGTATACTCCGTAGTTAGGTTGATGGATGTAGGTTAGGTATGGGATGTATTTTTTGGTGAAATGTTTTTGCCTGCTTGGCGAAGACTTCGGGCTGTGCCTATCTTCTGTACTGCCTGCCATTTCCGTCTTGCTTCTGCTTTGTTTTACAGATTGGGCAGCGTGTTAATAATAGAATCTTTAGAATTGAAAACCAAGATCTGATTCAGTGCAGTATGATGAATTCTCTTATCTTTCCCCAAACCTAGCCGGGAGAGTACAACAAAGTAGTTTCAAAATCTGAAACGGACAATAGTCAATTTCCAGTCTTGGTCAATCCTGGGGTTCTTAAAATAGACAAAGAATTGGTAATATCAAATCCAATCTCATGCCCAAAGCCTTGATACTTCATGCAGTAGACAAGCATTCGTTCCCCCTAAGCCTCTAATGCGATGAACAGATAGAATTCCGGACTGATCAACACCTACGCAGCTCGCCACGTAGATGGAGCGCTCATCTTCCAAGAATACCGGCTGCCTATCTTGTTTCGACGGTGCTGTTTTGCCTTTACAGTTCTCCACCACCGTACAATCACTGACTTGGCCCAAGTGACCCGATCCCTGGTCTGCACGACTACTGCTCACTGCCTCGCAATATCTCTTGCAGGTATCCGACGTTGTAGATCGCGACGCGTAAGGATGCTTCGCCATGCTCTTTGTAGTACCTTCGCTGCGCGGGCGCACCTGCTAGCAGAAAGAAGGCGAGAACAGAGGAAGGCTAGTGCGCTGAGTGTAAAGTCACTATCCAGGATATGAATTCTGGAGGTGTTGGGATGTACGAGGTTCGCTATGTCCTGTTAAGACTGCTGCCTATCTATAGAATGCCTAGCAATACTCACCAAACTGGGGACTGCATCCCAATGCTCGAAAACGGGACTGCAAGCATGACGATGATCTTTCATCTGTCGGGGTTTCTCGGTCCGTGGCAAGTATGCTTTCTTCATACTCATCCACAATGCTTTGGTAAATCTTGCCATCCGCAAAACTTGTGCTCAGGTTTTCCAAATGTAGACCCTTTAGTTGCGCCAGAATAGATGCCCATTGCTTGAGCAGTAGAGCATGCCGCTCACTTGTCTCCAATGTATCCAGCTTGACCCCCTTAAACCAATCTTGATCTTTAACTTGTTCATATCCAAATTGGCGATTTGCTTTCAGCTTCAGCCTATCGATCTCACTGATCAGGTCGTCCCAGTTGATGAGCCCGACAAGACCTTGTTTGCTAACCAGTTCCCACAGAAGTGCAATGGTCTTCTCGCGGTGTCCATTAACAATGTCATCTGCCCGTACATTACTAATCAGCCTTATCGAGTTTTTTGTAGAGGCCAGAGTGTCCAAGGCAATTTGGACGTTGAACATCTTCACTGCGCGGCTCAAGCAAGGGAATTTCAAGTGCTGAGAAAGTGGCCATTGATGTTTATCAGGATTGGTATTATCCAAACGCGATTCCGCAGGGAAGAGTAGCAACTCCACAATCCTTGTCAGTCGCACGCCATCCCTGAGATCAACTGCAATATTGTTCACCCGATACCTATATTCTTGAAGAGGATGCTGTTCATAATATAATTGGCAATTGAAGTGGCCCAACGCTTTGATGATGTCCCCAGAAGACGGAAGCAAAAAGCGAGCCAGGGCCTGGAGGACAGCATTAGAGGATTTGTAAGGCGAGGAAGAAAGAAAGAGACAAGGAAGCATCGTTCCTGAGCTCATAGCTGCTCTATCCAAAAGGATTATGATCATGATACTTCGCAAAACCGTTCTTTGATATGCCTTGCCAGCCATATCTGCATCTGATTCCTGCGTATGTCGTCGGTCCATGTCCTGATTCTTGAGCAAAAATGTATCCAAAAAGCTCTCCAGCTTCCTTTTAAGTGCCCTTTCCTTGCTGAGTCCGGAAAACCACCATTGCTTTCTTGCATCACCTTGGGATTGGGGATTCTTCTTCCTGTAATGGTTTCGAGGGCTGCTCTCAGGACTCGCAGATCATAAGTCTCTACCCAGAAATCATAAAACTTTTTCTTCATTCCCACATCCCGTCTAAAGCGATTAGTTTGTGCAAGAAGGTCTCTTGGAATGCTCAGAGCGCCGTATGACAACGATGCCTGAACTCGTTTGTGGAGATGAGCGAATAAAGGGTCCTGGTAGAGTGTCAAAAACCTTTGGCGAAAAGCATCAGGGTTATTGAAGGCTGATTCCTTGACTGCGTTATCAAAAAGTTCGTTCACCAACTGCGTTATCACCACCTCTTGGTTGGAAAGCCAGTTCTCGTCGTATAATGCTGGGTTGATGATGTCTTCTTGGATCAAGGGGTATTCATAATCCAGGCTCCTTGTGCTGGGGCGGGGAGCTGTTGCCCTGGAAGTGCTATAGTGGTTTAAAGAGCTGGACAGAGTTGATCTTTTGTGCTCTAACAGTGTTCCATTCCTCGTGCTTATTTTCTGTTTCACATTGTATTTGTTCAAACTGGCATTGACCGAGGTCCTTTTGACATTCTGAATCGCTCTCTGTAAAGACCCATTGGCTGATTTGGCTACTAATGGTTTCGCTGCTTGGTTCTCAGGTACACGCGTTTCACGACAAGCTGTCTGTTGATTTGTTTTAACATTGTTGTCATGTATGTCGCCAGTTATTGTCAGCTGGGAACTCTTATCTTTGCCGTCACCAAGAAGTGTCCCTGGAGGGATATTCTCCTTCCCGCCATTCTTTCCAGCAACGTCCACATGAATACAACTTTCTTGGGCCACTCTCAAACTGGGTCGTAATGGAGCTTTCTGTGTAGATGAGACGAGGGACTTCTTGGCCTGTAGCTTTCTTGCAATCTGTGATTCGAGACTATTGATTGTATTCTCGGATGATTGGTGTTCAAGATGTTCTGATTTGAGAGGGCTAAACATGCCCATAAAGACACTGGCTACCGTGGTTTCATCGGGGGGTATATACACCGTGTTTCGACGTATATCTTTCTTCAGTAAATCCTCAGTTTGCATCCCTTCTGGGGCCCCATTAATTTGCATCAATAGCTCCTTGTTTCTTTCCACATTGACATTGCGGGTTTGGGTTTTTCGGATACTCTCTCCATGCGGTCGCGGAGGTTTCGCAGGCGAACTAGAGGCGAAGCTAACTTTAGGTTGGAACCTCTGAGCCGGTTGAGCAAGCAAGGATGTCTTCTGATTCGAAGCTGCGACGGCAGGCCCATTCTCCCTCTTTCGCTTACTGGCTGTTTGCACGTGGCTTTCCTCGTCGTCATGAACTGCAAAAGATGAACATGTTTTGGTTCGTCGTCGGGGCTTGGACCCAGTCAGGACTGGTGCTCGTATTTCGGTGGTGAACTCGACATTCCCGGTATCTCCAAAGGAATCCAGACTATCCTCCCACATGCTGCGGAGCGAGTCACTCCCGTTGCTGCTTCGATTGACTCTCGAGGTTCCTATCCTTGACGGACAAGGAGTTGAGACTTCTTCCAAAAGGCCGGACATGATGATAGGGGATGGATGACTGAATCGTATAGTATGTTAGAATTAATCTGGATTATTTATTCTTTCTCACAACATGCTTCTCGTGGTATAGCTTTCCAGTCTAGGGTGACTGGGGTTCTAGACCCTTGAATCGAGGGATATGCAGCCAAGATAGCTGCCAGGGACAACGCTGGGGACGAGAGGCGGTGATGATCGGGACAACCACCTAGCAGATATTAATTATAGTCCTGTAGGCTTGGGTAATTTAGAATTGTTGATCTTCTGCGATAGAAAGAATGTCGCTAACTTATAAATGGTTTAAATGGACGTATCACCTGACAAGGAGTATCGAGACGCGATGTTGATGCTTGGTTGCCCCCGCAACGTCCATCACTGACCTCAGGCAACATTGGGCCACACCTTCCCATTCATCCTAGCCCTAACATAGCAACTGTGCAAGAAGTGAGTGCATAGCCGACATATTGCTTTGTAGCAGCTCAATCTAGGTAGTATTATGCTGTGGCATAGAGCCAAGTTTGCTATTGATCGTAATTTGACCAGGGCGTTAATTCTCTTGCCAGTATCATACATAGATGTCAGCGGCATCATTCTACATGTCAACGCTCCTAATCTTATCTCTAATCTTCTCCATTATCGCTTTTTCATCTTTATCAGCAACAGACTTTTCTTTTTCAATTATCTGCTGCCGGTCAACACTTCGAACGCTGAATCTTGCATTGAAGAATGTTGGATTAGCTGGCTCACCGGGTTGGTTTTCGTCGGAGAACATATCATACGCCCAAACCAAACGTGAAATGACAATATGTAAGCTTCCGTGTGCTAAGTAATGTCCCGGACATAGTCGTCGTCCAAAGCCAAACGCGGAAACAGGGAGGCTAGGGTTTTGGAGATATCTAACTTGATTAAATCTACTGGGGTCATCAAAGATCGTTTCGTCATGATTCATTCCCAACTGATTAGCAATGATTGTAGAGCCAGCTGGGATAAAGTAGCCCAGGTACTCGTCATCTTTGATGACAGCATGAGGAACCCCAATTGGCGAGATTGGCCGCCATCTGAGAAGCTCGGAGACCAATGCTCGAATATACGGAAGGCTCTCCAGGCCTGTAAATGATGGTAGCCTTTCTGCACCAACGACGGAGTCAAGCTCTTCCTGACCCTTCCGCACAACTTCTGGATGAAGTATGCATACCATAACAAACATTTCCAAGATCATCTTGGTGGTATGAATGCCGGCCACGTACAGTTCGCCGATTGCGTAACAGGTAACCTCCCAGGGAAGCTCCTTGGCTTCACTCCTCTGGCGGGCTTCCTTGCTCCAATTCCAGCAATCTACCTCAAGTGCAATACTGGAGCATTCAGTGTACACAGCTTTGGTTTTCTCATGGAGTTGATGTGCTTTCTCGCGCCATCTCATGCAGAATTTTAGGAGCAAGTCAAAAAAGGGAAAAAGATCAAGCAGGATCGTCCCATACGAGGCTTCTGAAGGATAAACGAACGTTTATCTGATGCAGCCTTTTATGGTCGTCATCATCCCTTCCTCTTCCTTTTCCGTAAACAAGTGTAAACATAATTCTCGCGGTATATCGGTGGAAGGATACTGAAAATCGTGTGAGGATAGAAACTCGTGAAGAAGCTGCTTGCTTTCGATATCTTGGAGATATCGATAGGCGTTTGATGCTTTTGCATTTAGCAGGTTTGATGACAACCGTCGGTGAAGCTGCCATTCGGGACCGTACGGCATGAAGGCTGATGAAAGTCCCTTATGCAAGTATTTATCGAGAAACTTCGATGGAGGTCGTGAGCTGTATATTCTGGCTCTTTTCTCTAGGATGTCTTGCGCTGCTTCGCGGGTGCCCAATATAATAAAGTCCCGACCCCCAATTTTCACACTCACAATCGGGCCATACTTTCGGGTCCATACTTGAAATGTCTCGGCGATGTCGTTAACTGGCAACGGCCATGATAGAATATTAGGACCTGGGGGAAGTGGCAGTTCGATGCCCCTGGGGCTAACAATCGAAAGAAATGCAGACCTAGCAGCAAGGCCACGGAGAGAAAAAAGACAGTGAGTGCGTCCATTGTTGACTTTGATCCTAGGGGATATTATAGAAAGCAGAGTGCAGCATCTAAGGAGGAATGAAGTATTATAGTTTAACTTATATTACATATATGGCACTCGTGCGGCTGAATAGGGAGTCTAGCTCAGATCATCGGTTGCCCCGCTTGAAGCCCTCCTTCCTGACGCTTCAAGCAACCAGCAAGCAAGAAACATGCACGATCGCATCAGGATGCATGCATAGAAGCCTGTTGCTGATCTGCTACCAAAACCCTCTGCATAACCCTCAGATACGCCCTGCATATGAGAAAGAGTGTGGAGATAGTCGTGTAATCCATGTTTGTGCATAGAGTATGCATGCAGGTGTGCCTTTTCTTTCTCAACTCTTATTGTAAGGACATCGAATGAACTCTGTCTTTCCACCTTTACTATATGCTCTGGCTGCCTAATAAATTGGTCTTGTAATTAGATTGATGTTCTGTTAATCGTGTGCTAATCTGAGCCTTAGGAATAGAAGAAGATAAGCATCCTACTAAAAATAGATCATATGGGCTTACTCTGTACAACGATATAGTATCTCTAAGGCTTATTTAGAGTGTATAAGAGGAAATGACATCAACAAGCCTGTCAACAAGGATAGCATAGCATACAAAGTCCACACAAAATGGCTTCTAAATCTCTCGGCATCTACATACTGTAATTCTGGAGAATAGGAATCATTAGCTTAGATACTGACTGGCGACATCGCAATGATTCTAACGGAGAATTCTCAGAAGGTAAAGAGCTGCCAGTTATGTCCGTTGGTCTGAAGATATGCCGGAGAGCCGGTGATGTATGGGTGAAATATCCGCTGGATAAAGTCCTCCAGCATGTTAATTTGAAACCAGTTGCTGCTGCCTACTGAGCCAATGACCGGAAGAACCGACAATAGTAATTTGACGGGGTAAGTTTACCCAGTGTATGGACCTCGGTCTGCCCCGCTGGAGAGTGCTTTTCACAAGACTTTCATAACAGGAAAAGGACCATTCTCTCTCTATATTAATATCAGCCTAGTACTTCTTCCTGTCTGTCATTGTCAACCTACCTGTTCCTGGAATGACGGATTAAAGACGCCATTAACTGAAGATCACAAGAAGTCATTAGAGTGGGTCGCCACTCTTTAGCCACTCGGATTCCCGTGATTCCCGTTCCAATTCGATCATCGGCGGAATTGCGAGCCTCCTTTCCCCAGACCTTGTTCAACGTGGCCCTCTTTGCACTTCCACTGCTGCTATTTTCGTTGATTCGCCTGCAGCCCATCTGCCAGGGGTACCTCCATCTATAGGAATACCTACTTTCATGTGAGGTGGTTTCAGCCTCACGATTTTGTTGAGCCGACCGGCCTCTTGATTGCTTCAATTAACCGCGTCTGCCTCTCGGACAGCGTCTACCTCCGATCCGCAACCAATTGCTCCTTCCCTCCTTCCACACTGCTGGACCATTGTGGAGATGGGCCTTCGATAGTTAACCTCCGCAACACTCTTCTCCGCCAGTCTATATTATTTGCGACCCGCCTCGACTTGTCTTGCCCTGTCGCTCGGTTTCCTTGCCGAGCACTTTCGTACCCCCTCCGAGCCCCTCCCTCCTTATTCGATATCAACTACGGCATGTCCACCGGTCATGGAATCTCTGGTCTATGAAAATTCGCCACTGGCAGAGTACCTTCAAGGTGAGTTGGGCGGAACTTAGGTGCTGTTTGGGAGCAAGCTCTTATCAGGCTCTTATACTCAGGGGAAGGTGAACGCGATGCGAACTGGCCCGTCCAAGAACCCGATAGTTCCGATAATGTCTCCGACTCAACAGCTGCCGACTTTGCCCCTCGTGGGACTTCAAAGTTTCAAGAACGGATCCGGAATAAGCTCCCTAAACCATTGGGCTTGAAAGCGTCACATCAAAGAGCAATTTTGGGCAAGATTTATGACGCTTGCACGGTATGAGATGGTTGTCTTGGTGCTTACTTGTGGTCAATAGTACGCTGATACGTTTATTAACCATAGTCTGCTTTGAATGCGCGCATTGCACGGAGTGACAACGAGAGATTTCTGGAACAGTTCGGTTACGTTATCGTTGCATCCCAGTTGTTGAACGAGCATAGCGCCCCTTCTTATACGTTAGCTGCCGATGTGCTGTCCACTTCACAACCAGCAGATCTGCCTCCAATTTCGACAACTTTTGGCCTGCAAGGCGCTGTTGTCACTGCATCCACCTCATTCTCGATTGCTTGGTTACTGCATTGGAGCCGATCTCGATCGGGCTCTGGTATCAATCCTCGCAAGGTCGGAGCTCTATTGATCTTGGTACCGGTGATTGGAGTCTTGTTCTACGCATTCACAAAGCGGCAATGGCTCAAATATTTGCGACATCAGGCTGTAGATGTCGCTGTGTCTTTCATCAGCAATGCCCAAGGGTTTGACTCTGCCGCGTCCGCATCAGTGATGTTCATACAGGAAGTTGAGCTGGTCTCAAGAGGTTACCGGATGTAGGCCTATTCTGAGCCTATTTGCTCTTCAATACATTAGCTCCAAGAGCGCTGACCAGAATATAGAAGCACACCGATGCCTCCCATAAGTCGACTTGAAGACCAGGGACAAACGCGGCGATGCCTAAGGCTGCGTCGGACTGTCTCCGAGAGTTTCTTTTCCATGCTGGGCCAGTATATTCACGCACAGCGCATCTTACAGCCGCTTACAGATGACGCTAATTTGGCAAAATATTATGACATCTATGACGTCACAGAAGAAGAGCTTGTCGAGGCTGAAGCGGCGTATGCTGAGCGAGCGACCGAGGATCAATATTCTCTGCGTGCTCTTCGCACTATGTTTGGAAGATTGTATATTGTTAGAAAGAGTATTCTCTGTTGCCTTCTGGCTCTCGGCGCTGATGGTGGGGGCTCTGACATCGCAAGATGGAGCACTGCCGTTGAGTGCATGCGGGATTTAGCCGAGATAACAGGGAACAATGTCCGCAAAATTACCAACATTCTTAACGAAGAAGACCGTGAGTGTACATCATGAGCATACAAGAGAGAACAGTAGCTGAACTATTCTTTTACACAGGCGATGCTATACCTCCTTCTCCCCTACCGACAGCTTCCCCTAGCAAGGACAATCTTCGGGCGCAGTACCGAAAGCTCAAGTCCCTCTCCCAAGGGATCCGTGCACTACATGCCAAAATGCACATCCTCAGGGAAATGTCAAGCGCTAGTCTTGAGCGTGCGGACGGTGAACTTGAGCCTACCCTTATATCCCAATACGAGTCGATCGGAGCAGATATCAAATGTCTCCTCCAGGAATGGGAGGCAGGGAAGTCGGCTCTCATGAATAGCTTGGATAGACAGTCGAATGTGGACCGTGACTCACGGCCGCTCAGCGGGCCGAAATCGCCGGTGTCCCCTACTCCTAGCCTGGGTGGTTCTACGGCGGTGGAAGGCAGCCCTACGGACGCTCTCAAGGCATTGAATGGCGAAAGACCTGAGTCAAGCATCATTCAAAACATCGATGATGAGGAAATATTCGAGGCCGTTGCTCTGCCATCTCGCAACAAAAGGATGTCCTTAACGAGAGAAGAGCGTATTGCACGTGTCAAGGAAGACCGAGCAAAACAAGCTGCCGCACGAGATCGAGTTGATGCAAATACTAACATGTTAAAGGAGCTGGAGATGGTGATCAAGCAACGACCCCGGTCAATGGTTTCAAAACGTGTCACTAGTATCTGAAACCACGGACGTGCTGGTCGAAGCCTGCTCACTCCTCACACTTTACCACTTACCTTTGCCCTGTGCACTTTTATTCATACCCCTCTGAGTATGCGCGTCTATATTGAAGTGAACTGTAGCCGTGTGTCAACACGTATGCAGGTTGATACCCAATGTGTATAGATTGGCTTGGTGTCACTGGCGTTTGGCTACGTCGATTTTGGCCTTTGGAGTATTCTTACTTACTTGAATTTTGGCTTCATGTGTATTTTCCCATTATTATTGTATAGCACGCAGATTCCATATTCCTATCTCATTTGTTCTGTACACACTCCTTTTCTCGTTCACTTGACTGTATTTTTTTTTTTTTTTTCTTCCTTTCTGTATAACATGAGGGACACAGTGCTGATATCAACAGTATCTGCAACTAAATCCTATACACTATTGAAATAAACATGTGTATTTAGTGTGAAATCTAGGATGATTTTGGACCAGCACTGTTTCCAAATGGAATCTTGTATCCTTTTTTTGTCTTTGACAATCTACATGCCTGAGGCAGAAACTCTAACCCTGAAAGGTCATATCAGCCACACCTAAAACGCGTGACCCGCGAACGCGTTCCCCACTCACGGCAAACGCGTTACCGTCGAGTCTCTATTTCTCTTGGCCCAACCCTGGCTGAATCAAACCTCTCGCTACTCTCAATTTATTCTCCTTTCGACCTAATAAGTCTCTCAAGACATTGGACTGTACATAACAGGCCACTTATTTCCTGCAATCCAAAGCCCATCTGCTATTACTTCCCGCCTCTTCTATTACTCAATCGTCTTTTATCATAGCAGCCATAGCACACCAAGAGTGAGTGTTCGAACAACTATAGCTATCATAGAGCCATATTTTGACTGTTGCACCAGTGTTGGAAGCTCGCTTAGAACAAGCTTCTCTCCTTAAGCATGTATGTGCCCTCGATCCTGTTTTGCTCGCATGCCTTGGACTGACTTCTATCGAATCAAAGGTTGTCGACGCCATCAAAGACCTCGTGCAAGACTGCAACTTTGACTGCAATGACTCTGGAATTGCCCTCCAGGCCATGGATAACTCCCATGTTGCCCTGGTTTCCATGCTTCTGAAAGCCGAGGGTTTCTCTCCTTACCGCTGCGACCGCAACATTGCCCTTGGTATCAACCTGGTCTCCTTGACGAAGGTTTTGCGGGCTGCCCAGAACGAGGATATTCTGACTCTCAAGGCGGAGGACTCGCCTGATGCCGTGAACCTGATGTTCGAGAACGCCGAGACTGACAGGTTAAGCGAGTATGATATTAAATTAATGGACATTGACCAGGAGCATTTGGCTATTCCAGAGACGGAGTATGCCGCCACTGTGGAGATGCCATCGTCAGAATTCCAGCGGATTTGCAGAGATCTGAATGCTCTTTCTGAGTCCGGTACGTGATTCTCGCAACTCTGTATAATTTGATTTTCTTTGCTTTATGGCTTTACCATTGTGCAAGTTTCACTAACTGTTTTCTGTTTGTAGTTGTTATTGAGGCCACCAAGGAGGGTGTCAAGTTCTCCTGCCAGGGCGACATTGGCAGTGGCTCTGTTACCATCCGTCAGCACACCAACGTTGATAAGCCCGATCAAAACGTGACTATCGCCCTCAGTGAACCTGTTGCCCTTACCTTTTCTCTCAAGTACCTTGTCAACTTCTGCAAGGCCACCCAGCTGTCGGGCAAGGTGACTCTTTCCCTGTCCCAGGAGGTGCCGTTGCTTGTGGAATATGGCTTGGGAAGCGGTCATTTGCGATTCTATCTCGCTCCTAAGGTATGTCTTACTCTCTGCTCCCCTCGAGTATTGCAATGGTAGATGCTGATCTTCCTATAGATTGGCGATGAGGAGTAAGGATGTGTATAAAAAAACAACAAAAATGAGAAAAGACAAATCATGATGATGAAGGGGAATAGCGGAAGGCCACGATTAATTCACTTTTTCTATTTAGAATATCCTATGTATGAATGCTGGGCATAACGCGTGTCTAAAGCTACCGTAATTTTCAAGTTAAATTCCGAGCGATCAACACTTTACATTCTTCCTTATTTCGTTTACTTCTCTGAGAAATGATAGAGAAAGTGGTCGATAGCAGTCTTAATACGAAGTATAAAAGTAAATCACTAGAGAGTTGGTAGACTGCATTCGATACTTTACTTGGATATTGTAGCGTTATCAAGCACATGCTATAACGTAGTCCTCCCAACATCCCACAAACCCCAGACATTCCCCCTCCAAACCCAGCTTCAACCCAAGACCCGTAAAGACGGATCCGACCCCTCAATTAGCACGGGGCCATAATCCTTCTCAGCAGAAGCAAATAAGAACAAAAAACTAACCTCGAGAAAAATGATGAAGCGCCACCCCAACCAGAATGATCGGAATCGAATGATACCATTCCCTACCTCCCTTCCCCTCCGCACAAGACAAGAGGAGAAAAAGAAAGGAAAGGAAACCAGGCATGCTGCGTATTGCACTAAAGTGTCATACGGACGCGAGGTCCACACACACAATCTTCGCAATGACTCTCCCATGGGGAATAAAGAGAGAGTATGACCTCTCCCTCCCCCGATGTTTCTGATGCCAATTGCAGATGTGATTCACATCAGGCCCTCGCGGGCAGTACCGGCTCCATGCGGTTAGGTTGATAAATCAAATCGCCTGGAGCGGGTTGACGTGTTGAAGATTCCTCCGAATTTCTCATTTGCGGGAACTCGGGACTGATTAGTCGATTAGTCGATCTAATCAGTCCCGAGGACAAAGTCAATGTCCTTGTCGTGTGTAGCAAAGAAACGCAGCATTGGTTGGGATGGCGCTTGAAAGGAAAAAAGAAGAAAACAGCAGAAATTGGAAGGGGAGTTTTTTGTGTGGTGTGACTCACCGCCTTTGCCAAGTTGGGTTTAGATATGTTGCCTTTTTGAGAAGTAGGACTGCCTGAGGCTTGAATTCTATATTATCCGTTCGAGTTTGAAGAAATACATACTTGAAGAGAATTGGAATGATTACTATAGACAGACTTGTTTCTTGATTTGATTTATGTATAAACAGTGTTGACGCATGGTTAACGTCAAGAACGATAATGTCTAGCCATATCGCGCCTCTGCAGGCTCATCATCGAACCAGACTGGTGGCACTCCATAATTCATGACCGTGCTCTTGACCTTGGTATAACTCTCGTAGGCCTCCTGTCCATTCTCCTTCCCCATACCGCTGTCCTTGAACCCTCCCCACGGTGACGACGGATCATTCAGATGATGACCGTTGATCCAGACGATGCCCGCCTCGATCTTCGCAGCCACGCGATGAGCCTGGGCGAAATCATTCGACCAGACTGAGGCACCGAGAGCAAACGATGTCCCGTTCGCCACGCGAATCACTTGCTCCTCAGACTCGCATTTCAGCAGCGCAATTACTGGTCCAAAGACCTCGTTACACGCTAGGTCTGAATCAGGCCGCGTTTCAATAATCGTTGGCTCGAAGAAGAACCCCCTCCCATCGATATTTGTAGCATGTCCACCACAAACCACCCTCCCTCCTTGCTGCACCGCCCTCTGCACAAACCCAGCACATCTCTCCACTGCCTCTCGCGAGATGACGGCACCAATCTGCGAGCGCACGTCAAACGGATCCCCAACCCGCAGAGCCCGAACCCGACTCTCCAACAGCGCTGTGAATTCCTCGTAGATGTCCGCATGCACCAGCAGTCGACTCCCCGTCACGCATGTCTGTCCACTTGCAATGAAACTCGCAAAGAGTGCCGCCTTCACCGCTTGATGAACGTCCAGGCTGGGGAGTAAACACACAGGGGCTTTGCCACCCAGTTCCGCCGTAATGGGGACCATGTTCTGCGCTGCCACCGCAGCAATGGCCCTGTACGTGCCCAACCCACCCGTGATATCAATCCTGGCTAGTCTTGGATTCTCACACAGGAACTTCCCCGTCTCGTAACCATACCCATTGATGATCTGAAGTACGCCGTCGGGCAGTCCAGCTTCCTTGAACAAAGCCCCTAGTCGCAGCACCGACAGTGGTGCCCGCTCCGATGCCTTGACAATCACCACATTCCCTGCTGCCAGCGCAGCACCGATCTTTTTCGTCGCAATCAGCAACGGGTGGTTATACGGCGTGATCTGCGCAACAACCCCCAGTGGAAGTCGAGTCAGCGTGTTCACCACGGGTCCCTTGAATGGTGTTACTCGTCCCTCATGCACGCGTGCCAACGAGGCAAAGTACTCCAGCCACTCCGGAATACGAGCCAGCTGTGCGCGCATTTCGCGGATCGGACGTCCCGTCTGGCGGGTTTCAAGTTCGACGAATTCCGGGACGCTGGCGCGTAGAAGCCGCGCAGCCGTGGAGAGAACGGTGAATCGCTCAGAGCCATCGGATTGGGACCATGGACCGGAGTGGAAGGTCTCGAGGCAGGAGGTGACAATAGCGTCGACGGCTTCGCGGGCTGTGGCGTCGATGCTGGCGATGGGGGTCTCGGTGGCCGGGTTGATGACGGGAATTCGGACGGGAGTTGCAGTGGCATGCTCACCGTTGACCCAGTTGGAGAAATGGGGGATGGACATTATGGGGTGATTGAAGGTTTAGTAATTAGTATTATCTGAGTTGTAATGTAGAGATTGACGAGTTATATAGGGGTTCCGATAACCCCGCATGCACAATGCTTATCTCAGTGCGGGCAGACATGTCCCATCGGAACCCCGCATGGTGTCTCGAATTGATGAATTCGATCGAACATGATTCTTTAAAAGCAAAAAAATAAAAAATAAAACCTGACCAGGCCCGTTCGGTCAGGTTGAGGAGCAAAGTGCCGAGGACATATATACTCCTAGCTACGATCTGATAAGACGGCCCCGAGTGGGGTCGAATCCGAACTAGAATCGCATTGTTCTCATCTCCTGTGACTCAACATCAAGCTCCACATTCCAGGCGACGGTCCCGCTGCATACTGGGATTTATGCACACAGTAGGATAATGTCTTAACCATCGGGGCTTTCAACATGTGGAGAGACACTGTCGAGTCGTGACTCATGCTGCAAAACTATCCATATCTAACCGCCCTAGTAGAGTACGAGAGTTCTATCCTCTCCACTCTAGGAATCTATATAAACTTCCCATAATCTCATCCATCACTCTGCATTTGAATCAAACACTAGCAGATCGATTAAGAGCCTCCAAAATGTCGCCTTCCCCCGTCAACGCTCCCCCTCACGTCCACACCCTCCTCTCCTCCCTCCACGCCAAATCTCTCGCTCAAGAAGCTGCCCTCACCCCCGACACCTTCACCGACCGATCCGCAGACTCCTTCCACGCCCTCATGCAAGATAAGTTCATCGCGTTGGAACAAGACAAATGTGAATTCGTCTACCAGCTTCTCCGCGCCACCAGGGCCACCACCGTCGTCGAAGCGGGGACCAGCTACGGCGTCAGCACGATCTATCTTGCTCTGGCGGTGGCTCGGAACGCAAGTGCTTCTCGAACCAAGGGAAAGGTTATCGCGACGGAGTACGAGCCCGGAAAGGCCACGGTGGCGCGAGAGCACTGGAATACGGCGGGAGAGGAGATAGCCTCTGTGATTGAGTTGAGGGAGGGAGATTTGCGAGAGACGTTGAAAAGGGAGGATTATAATGGGGTGGACTTTTTACTCTTGGACAGTGGGTTGCCCCCTCCCCCCCTTCTCTGCCTTCGTCGGTTTATTTCCGTAGATGCTGGCTGACAGAGTAAGTCTGGACTCCAATGGCTCTGCCTACTCTCAAACTAGTCCAGCCAAGGATGAGAGCCGGAGCCGTGATTGTGGCTGATAATACGGTCATGGCTAAAGAGAGCTATAAGGAACTGTTTGACTATGTTGATCAAGAGGGAGGACCGTTTCGGAGGATCACCCTGCCTTTTAAGGGTGGGATGGATATGATTGTTTACGAGGGATAGGTAAATTTTATCGGTTGGTTTGTGAGTATGGTGGAGGGACCTTACCAGAGACTTTTGTGTATATGTTCCTTGTACAATTCTGGTTAAAGTGGGCCTGTGGAGATATTTTTGTCTCAAGATAAGATATTCAAATTGTTCTGTATATATGATCAAGCGCTGGTCAATATTGTCAGACCAATTTATATCAATAAAGGGAGTCACAGCCACTAGTACTTCGGTGGTTAGTGCCTGTATCCTATTAGGGGCAACTACCATGGAAGTGACCTCCCCGTGGTGTTTGGCAATACTGAATCCATCAGCACAGTGCCTAGTACATCATGCGAGGAACCACTCTATAAGTATAGTCTCTGTTTGGGAGCGTTCACCCGCGAAACTCTGAAGGGCTGGACTCAGTTCAGATGGCCTCAATACAACTCCAAGGGCGAGTTTTTTTTTTTTTTTTTTTTTTTTTTTTTTTTTTGAGCACCGAAATAAATGTATTTTATACACTTCCCATGGTCTTCCATAAAGAGGGATATAATTGTGAACCGTTAGTATTGCCGGCCTTCTCCGTCAAGGACATAGTCTGCATCAACCCTAATCCAAGGTATTGTCTACAGGCTTAGATGGGCCATTTTGTCCCGAATACATAGCATTGTTTAGCTCAAAGGATTTGATCGAGGATAAAGAGAGTTCATCAATAGGTATGTTATCAGGACATTTGGTCAATGAAGATTGCTACTGCAAGCTTTGTCTTAGCCAGGGGAAGGTGCTAACCAGATCGGGACGAGTGCGATGTCTCCCACAAAGTATTCTTAGAAACTCCTTAGAGTACGAAATACGGGAATCCTTTCAATTATTTACGTCGGAATCAGTACCTAGTTAGTTCTTTCTTTCTGAGTATTTTGCGTAGAATTGGACCTCCAGCCAGGCAAGGGATCAGCAGAGAGGAAGCTCTTGATTAGTTGATATTCGATACCCATCTATCTAGCAATTCTGTGGTCAATGTACATGAAACCAGACGTCCATGTCTAAAAGACAACCGTTCCAACGATCAGCAAATACGACCAGAGTATTACACTATGGTGATCTAAGTTGCTAGTGTCAACTCTCATTGGCTTGGTTTTAGCCACGGTTAGGGATAAGTGGAAGTGGCTTACCTGAATTCGGGCTGGTGACACTGCCACAATCCAGGGTCTGACAGTATGTGTTCAGACTATCTGGTTGACATGGTGACGACGTTTCGTGGAGTAGCCGTTTTAGGTTGATGGCAGGCAACCTTGTGAGTGTAGGGATTGTTGGTGGATGCATGCATTCTGTGTATATTCCTAAATAGTCAGTTGTGTGCTCAGGCAGTGTCTGTCATCCTGTACTGAGAATAAAGCTGTGGAGTCTATATGGGTGAGGGTATGCAGAGTAGAACACCATGCCTATAAATAGACGATATTCTTGGGAGAGGACCATGGTGAAAGATGCTGGATATTCGGAGTATCTCCATTCAGGATATCCACTCCACAGGAAATCCATGATTGATATTTCCTACTTCAGGATTTTCTGCCTCAGGCAGCACATAGGAGATTCGTAACTTACATAAATCCATTCCATTGCAAGGTTGTAATTAACCACGGATTGGCAGAACCCTACCCAGTACGCCTGTCTATCTGGTCCGTCCAGAATATCCAGAAAACCATCGGCAATTCTGGCCCCCCCGCCAATCGCTGATTTCGCGTCTTCCAACAGGCCGAGAGGCAGCAAAAAATGGGCCCACCCCACCATTGACTTGCCCGGGTCAGGAGAACATCGTACCTTACTGCATTCTCTGTGTATTATTATGGTTACGGTGCTTTGAGTGACTTTAAAAATTTCCCATTTATCAGGAAGAGACCCTTCTCGGCGACTTACCGGAATGGGAGTCCGAATATCATCTACTTATTTAATGTGACTTATTCTTAGCAGGGAAACGAGATGAGGAAATACTTCTAATTAAACAAAGAAATCTCTGTAACGTAGTAGAAAACATTTGTACAGAATAGAAAGGAATTGCTACTGTTTTGTTGTTAACTATTAAGGCCAATCAATATTCGAACCATAATCAAGATTTATTATTCGGTATTATTAAGTATTCTCGAACCCCGGCTTCCTTTCTTTTCGAGCCACTCACTGGACCGACGATTTTCTGCTGCCATCATCCTCACCTTTCGCATCCTTCCTTCGTTTCCTATCCCAGTATCACGCACTGTCTCCCGTTACTCTCTCTCTTCCCTCGCTTCTACCACCGAATTGTTCAATTCCCTCGTTTTGCTGTAATCCTATCCAATCCCTGGTTCGGAGTCGTCCTCGCGTGATCCTGCATGTGCTCAGCCTTACATCCGACCTGAGCGCTCAACCCAAGTGAGCTCCCCGCCCACCAACACGCGACGTTTCACTCGCGGCTTGGCAAGTAGCAGCATCCGCTTCTGGGGAAAATCCCATCGTGAATCTCCTCCTTCCTCCCTCTCCACTAGCACCTATTCTCTCATCCTCTCTCTCTTTTCCCTCTCCCTCTCCTCCTCTGTGGGTCTTTTTTCTTCATACGTTCGTTCTTCCATCGACCCCCAGAGAGGCCAGTGGAGGCTTGTCCGTGTCCGTTTAAGGGGTACCTTTCTTTTTCGAATCCATCGTCTTAGAGACCCAAAACATCCGAGTCTTCAGCAACAACAGATCTCCCTCTCTGACCCTCACATATATTTGCCGCCATCTGGTGGTCAAACCGTCATATTGTATCCAGAGCCTGACCCTCCGGCGGACTCGAGCTCCGTGACGGAGCATTTCGTCAAGATTTATTCGAACACTTCGCGGGCCTCCCTTCTCGGGGGTTCATTCGATCCCTCGTTTCGACGTGGTCCGGGAGGCTTTCGTGCGCGAGAAGGTTATACGAATGTAGCTCCACATCCTCCGAAGCGCAAGATGTACCGCCCAAACTCGTTATGGACATGGTCCTTCGCCATCGTCACACTCATCCAAACCATCATTACTCTTGCATTAGAATGGTATGTGTAACTGAGCGGCCTTTAAGAAACCTTTTATGTTTCAATAGCTAATTCTTGGATGCTTACAGCTACGTGTTTGCGAATTTTCAGATAAATACTAAGCCGAATAACAGCCAAGTGCCTGCCCTTAAAACAGTCCCAACATTTCTAGCATTGTATAGTTTCGGTTTTATTTATGAGCTAGTGTTGGTGTACGATGCTCTGCGTATGAAAAATACTATCCAAGTCATTGGGCTATGCTTGTGCAATGTTGGGCTTTTGATCTACGGGGCCGTGCAAATACAGCAGGTCAAAGAGGCTGTGGGCATTTTGAGGTACCAGCATATGATCAGTGACAATATCTGGGCGGAGTCTCAGCCCTTTCTCATCATCATCCCGTGTGTTGTTGGTATGGGTACGATTCTGATGTCAATTATTGCTTGGAAACTTTACGATGAATTTGCTTGGTCTATCTACAAGCACATCAGCGCTGATCTGCGCATGAAGCGCCGGTACCTCACATATCAGGTTCATATACTGCCATTTCGTGGGCCATCATTCCTAAGCTAATGGGTCCATTAGATTTATATTGCCCTCCTGAAATTCGACTTTTTCTTCTTCCTTGGATTTACCGTCCAATTCGTTGTGATTATCACCAACAAATCAGATGTTGAGTTCGCCCTCACTGTGGCTGCTGTACCAGTGACCATCATAATACTGGTGTGTGCGGCCATATTCGTTCGGCGCGAAACCATTCTTGGAATGGTTATAATAATTGTACGTGTCAAACGGTCCCCTGCTTTTGGTTATTTTGGGTCTGACCGCTATTATAGCTTCTCTATTTCGGCGCAATGGCATACTTCTTGTTTAAGCTTGTCCGCATGTACGCTCCGTCAACGGAGCCAATGTACCTTCCTGCTCGACGATCGCTTACATTCTTCGCCGTTATTACGCTTATTTTAATTGTCCTGACCATCGTCAACGCGGGCATATGTATGCACAATTTCCACAAGGGTCTAAAACCGCATATCAACAAGAAAAAAGACCGCAAGGAGGCAGAAAAGACGACAGAGCTGTCCTCCAACATAACCGGCCAGGTACCTAACCGAATGATGATTGACTAAGTGCAATCGCCACCCAATGCTGTTAACTATCAGCCCTTGAAATGAACAAGGGAGGGCTCATACTCATTAGCCTGATGTTGAAGCATGTTTAGCAATATCCGATTTGCCCATTTGTCATGGGCTGCAACTGTAGGGGTCATTTAGATACGAAATTTTGGGTTGTTTCCGGGACTTGCGATATGATACCTTTTGCGTTGGCCGATTTATTCACGAATTTGATTTCTCTTTTTCCCCATCTCTTCCTTCACATTGTTGACCCCTTCTGGCGCCGATAGCGTTCGATTGATGACTTGCCTGTTGAACCCTCAACATCCTGTTTCTTTATGTTTTTTAACGACTGTGCATCTCCTTTATCATGTACTGTAGCTATCATTTAATCACATAAAATCAATCATGAAGATTTCTTACGTTATTTAGGATGGACCCATTGCCTTTTACTGCCCACTGAGTAAGCATTGTATGTTAGTATCTACATACATCCATCTAAACTTATTGACTTTAGGATTAACTGTATACTATGGATAGATGAACCTTTAATTCATGGACGAAGATGAAACGTCAAATGTATTTGGGGTCTGTGATTGGTCAAAGACACCGGAGATGCTCAGTTTGACAATACGTGACAATACCCGAAATCGTGAGCGTGGCCTCTTTCTGGCAACCTGCAACTCTCAACGACCATCCTACTCTCCTTCCACGCTGCGGTCGACCCATCTCTCCTTGTCTTGCAGAACAACCTTCTTCTTCCTCTTCTTCTTCTTCTTCCTTCTTGCTTTCAATTTTGCACAATTTGCTGCGACTCTCTTTAATACCTGTTTTCTTTCTCCCTGTCTGAACCCCTGTCAGAATGGTTAGTATTTCTGTCCAAGTTATCCTCCTTTGAAGGGACTTCCCTACCACACAGCATTATCAGCTTTATGCCATCTGCTCTGTCAATTGCTCAGTTTATTGGTATTAACTTAATTTATTCTCAAGGCCTCTCCTCGTGCTGCTTCTCCCTTGACTTCTGGTGCTGAGTCCGGCCCGGACTCCAAGTCTGGTGCTTCTGGTGCCGCCTCTGGATCAGCCTCCGCCATTAACCGCCCTTCCTCGCCTACTCCCCCCGGTGGTCCTAGGGCTGCTTTGCGTCGCCGCGCGGCTGCAGACCACAAGGAATCACTCCGCAATGTCAGACCAAGCTCGACTCGCTCTGCTGGTGCCGGTGGCTCCTCGGGCACTATGCTCAAGCTCTACACCGACGAGAGCCCTGGACTGAGGGTCGATCCTGTCGTGGTATTGGTTCTGAGTTTGGGCTTCATCTTCTCCATCGTTGGTCTACATGGTACGTGCATCCTGTACCTCTTTCAGAGGCTTGCTGCATTATGATCTCTGGGAATTCTAACTCATGGATTTCACTTTGTAGTGATTGCCAAGATTACTCGCAAGTTCTCCTCATAAGTCATCTGCCTGCGTTCGCGTCACCTGCTCGTTGCTCGCCTACCTGGCTCATTGCTCAATTCGTCATGGTGAAGAGCGGAAACGTGAAGTGAATAATGTGGGCGCTTGGTGCTAATAATGATGTTTCGATCGAAACGGATTGGTTTCCTTGCGTAACTTGGTTCTGACGATGATGTACCAACCAACCTATGCCTTCTTGTACCCCTTGAATATCATATACCCCTTGGCGCCCCTTCTCTCTACTTCTTTCCCATGCATGTGGGGTCGAATCTTATTGCATGGGAAGGAAGGTCTCTCACTGTGTGGTTCGAATTCCTGTAAAGAGTGGCGTTGAAGATCTATCTGCAGCGTAGGTCGCACAGCGTCAATTGGTTGCTATATTATTGTTACTTTATTCGACGCATCTGGAGCGTCAATAACCGTTAATGGAGAACGCAGAATAATATTCAAAATTGGGAAAGACAGCATCTGTATAGTATCAAGTTCTGCGAAATTTGAATGCCTGCATATGATGACAAAGCAGCAACTCTAACGTGACTGACCACCGAGCTGCGCGGTCCCCACCAAACTGCGCACCCATACGAAGCAGCCCTCTAAATTGACTAATATCTCAACGAAATAAAGCGATTTTATTATATAATTGAGACAGCATTATTTACTAGGGCACTGAAGTCTATTATGGCCTTGTATGTTGCAATTACTGCAGGTTAGAGGCCTTTGTGGTGCTTTTAATTTCTGCCTTTGCATTTCCTCCTGTTTGCGACCTTTTTGCTGCCCTTCTTCCCCTGTTAGGCTTCCTCTAGTCTGGATAAATTTTCGCGGTGCTGCTTGCATCTCTGTTTAATAACTATTAACTTCCTGGAGCTAACTTATTCTAAGTTTTGCTAGGAGAGCATTTTGCATTGTAATCTCTGCGCTTTTAATAACCTTATCCATGGCTTGCTGCACAACAGTTAAAGAGACAGATAGCTTGTTCCTAAGTCGCTGGATCTGTTTTTTTTACTGCTCTAGCTAATATAGATTTGCAGGAGTTTTTCTAATTCTAAAAGACTTACTGCTATGTGATGTGGACGGTGGAGATAGTGTTTTAAGCTAAATATTAAGCTTTAAAAAAACAGTCTCTGGTTACAGTGGCACAAGACCCGTGGCTTCGAAGCTGCTTCGAATATTTAATAATAATAAAGCTTGGAGATGAACTAATGGATAGATTGCTAAAAAGTCTTGCTTTTTAATAAAGTGGATACCTTTTCGCATTATATCTGCAATCTTTTAGCTGTAGAGATATTAAAGCGGCGAGAAGCAGCTCACATCTAGTGGCTGTAAAAGATGTGAAGAATAAGGAGGTAAATAAAAAGGAATAATTCTCCTATTTATACAGAATTTGTCAAACTCTGCAGTGGCGTGGCTGCTGTGCCTGTCTAAAATTAATAGACAGTATCTCCTACCGAGCAAAAAACTACGGACGCCAAGACTGTTGCCTTTCTCGTTCTAGTAGGTGAGCAGTGCCGCCCTGAAGTCGCGCGACCAGGGTGAGTGGGGTGAGTGGTGGGGGTGATTGGGTGAGCGCTAGGGGTGACCATCGCGCGACGATCACCCGATCGCGCGCGACTGGGTGATCAGCCAAGGCGCCGTCCATCCTTGGTGTAACAACTAGTTTCAGATTCCCCACATGAGGCCAAGTATAGATATATCATTGGTTTATAGAACACAGACTCCTTATTGATCAGATATAACAGCCGATTTCTTACATGCTGCTTTAAAAGGGTCTGTAACAACGTGAACTCGGAGACACAACCTGCAGACCGCCTTCTTTCTAAAGTTATGATAAGCAGCAGACGCTTGAATTCATACCCTCTTGAGGTTTGCCCAATTTTGACTGGTTTAGACTTTCAAATTAGCTACCAGAATGAGGCTATTAAGCAGTAAAAATGTCCAAACTGCGGTGATCTACCCGCTAATAGCTTGATTTTCATACCACAGACAACAATGATAGTACCGTACAATCGTGCAATGGCGGCAACGACCCTGCTCCGCGAAAAGCCCCGAGGGCAGATAGCAATCCGTCAAGAAGATACGAGAACACATCAAAAGCGGTACGGAGACAGGAGGATGTTGCCACATTGCCGCCTAAAACTTGACGTGCTTCGCTAGCCTATCTTCCAACAGAACTACGTTTGATGATCTAGGAGTATCCGTGGCCCACAACCATGGTAATCGAAGCTGCATCCGGGGAGGAGTCTGACGACGATGAAGCCAAGGAATCAACTATCCTGCGTCAGTTGGTTCTCTGGATGCGCTCCTGGGGACAAATTTTGGCTCGAGACACTTGGAAATTGGCTCTCCCGTGGAGCATTGCCTGCCCCTTATTGCCCTCTGGATATGTCATGAATCCCGCGTACGTATGCTAAAACAATATTGTTAATCCAGCATCCGGATTTGTCAGAATGCTCCTTCTACTTTAGTCCTCGTCGAGATCTTCTCAGGACTCACTACCAATTATTTTTTCTCTTCCTAAGATGCTCCTCCACAAAGATTTTGGTGTCTGCAAGAGTGTAAAACGTCTTGCAATCTAGTTGGGGTGGTTGATTGGGTCGAGGCTGAGATTTGCGCCATTTGGCCTCAATCTTCATTCTCACCAACTACTGATAAGCAAGGTCCTCCTCAAGAGTGGTTGCTTCAGATACGATGATTATATCATTTTGGAGGAATATTCTAGAGCACATTCTGCGAGGAAGGTGGAGGGTTGGGCAATGAAACAGCTAAAGTCATCAAATCAGCAAGAATTGTGGTGCTACTGCTGTCCCGTGGCTTCACAAGTCGCCTTGCGAATATGCCTGTGCCAGTCATATTGGGTGATGAAAGTGGAGCGCACCAAATAAGCGATTTGGATGGACTGTTAATCCGGCTACAAGGGTTACGGAATTGGCATAACTAGGTCAGATGTACAGAATATAGGATGAAATAGAATCGTTTATGATATTCAAAAACGATTGACAAGGGCTGGTTATAATAGCATGGGGCATTTAATGTCAACAGATTAAAGAACACCGGCCACAACAAGAGCCACCTTCAGAGCTTCAGCATTTTTCCAGCTTGGGGAGAGGCTTCCCAGCATTGAAAACCTTGTGGTTGCCCGAGGTCATCACCGCATGGGTCTCGTTTTGCTGAGCAAACACGCGGGTTACCATTCATTGACTCGAACTTCTAGCCCGTGATGGGGTCGGAATCGTACTTTTGGCAGAAGACGAATCCAGTTTAGAGTGTGCATTAAGAACCTCATTTTTTCAACAGGCTGGATTTCGCAGACTGAGATATCACCCCGACCTTGTACATTTGGGTTTATGTATTTTACTAAGCACCTGCACCATCTGCCTTCCAAACAGCACGCCAGAATCAACGACGAAATCGCCACCTTCCTCTAACAGCCCCTCGAAATTTTTATCGTCACCAAGCTGTCCGAGAGCAGACACAATATAAGACGTTGCTAAATTTCGCAAGGCACCTATCCTGTGGGCGTGGCGGAGCGTCTCAGAATATACGAATCGCACAAACTCAATAACCCCTGTCAGAAAGCGGCGATATAAAGTGAATAGCTTCAGTGTTTGAGAGATCTAAGAGAGAACCAACTGGCAGAGGGACTCGATCCCGTATTTATCGGCCAAGACATAGAGCCGAGCATGTCCCAGGAAGACAGGTGTGAAATCCTGGCCCTTCCAATTTGCTTCAGAGAAGAAACGGTCCTTTACGTGCTCATAGTTGGGGAAAAATCGATAGTCAATCTCAGAAATGAATCACGAAGATGTCATGTCCATATACTCTTTTCTTTATATAGTAACCTGTCCTCATCCGCTGGTGACCCTTCAGCCTCCGGTTGCATCAGATACTCGGACTCTCAGGCTCCGGCTCTGGGATGGGCTCGGCATCAAATGACCATTCTTCTGGAAAAGCTAGTTTTTTCTTTGACTTCTTTTTTATCTTTACATGAACGCTTTTCGTGTCTTCGAGAGCAACCGGCCAGTCAGCCATCTGGTGAGGTGAGGGCGGCGTGTAGTCATGTAGGTAAGCATATTCGCACACCGAACGAAGGTATCCTCATCGCATCTGACCAATCAACACGCCTGGTCTTTGCCTCAATCACTGCGCCATTCATAAGCCTATCAAGACTTGGGGAAAGATTTGCCAAGGCATAAGAGTGCACTGTGAATTCCCTCTTTTCTAGGCCAATTTGAAAAGTAAACAGTGGTGAAGTAATGCAACTACCCAATTCTGAGTTTTCTAAGTGTGGAATCATAAAATATAGAAAGCCCCTACCTTCCGAAAGTTCCCTCCATGTTCAATAACTTGATACTTAAACAAATTCCCCAGTGGTTCAAATGTGTGCGATAGATGACTAGAGGCCGACCCTTTATTATCTTCTGATAGATTCTTTATAAGTCTAATTTTCCCGGGGGGAATGAAAAATGTGACGAAAAACTGCGTTTTCTTGGTAGTTATACCATCTCTTTGCGTGAACGATTTCCGTCATTCGTGAACAGCGCCGGTTTTGATAAAGCCACGTCACCGAAACTCCAACATGTCATCTGGCTATAGACTGGAGAGCGCAGATTTGAGCTGCAAGGCTGTTCAAAAAATTCTATACCATTAGCTCCTTCAGAGTATATCTAAAACACCGCTGTTCATACCCTCCCTCGATTTTACGATCTATTGAGGAGTGAGAGGTAGTTAGTTTCTTTCCGACGGCTTTAGCACTTCCATCCATTTGCCTGAGCTATGTATGGTTGGTTATCATCGGTGTTGAGAGCGCTGAAACAAGCACTTCTTGTGTTAATGCCTGTCTAATTGATGTAATTAAGGAGAATCACATCTTGGCTTGCACTAATGCATGCTCTTGGACTGTCACACCATAATAATTGGATAATGAATCCGTTTGTACTTTTGCTACGAGGGCGAGGCTGAAATTACCAGGAAGCTATTGTTCAAATGGAATCACCCTGAATTGTGGAGTGAGTGGTTCGATTGGTGCCCGCTTCGTAGTACTGTATCATAATCACATTGCGTCATAGTCGGGTGGGGGAGGACGGTGAGCTGTGATAGGTATGCTCTCCCACGCCAAATCGCTCGTAAAACTCGAGTTCTTGCTTGCTGCTGAGTGGTTTGCGAACAAGTCGTCGGCCTAATCCTTCTAACTCAAGCTGAGACGGGAACAGACGTGGCGCCTCCCCTGGTTCCAACTGAAAGTAGCTGTAGACGGAGCTGTAGAGTTCTGACAGTTGTGTTGGGCAGTCGGTCCAAGGTTCCAATCAAGTCGGGCAGTATTTTCCGGTAGGAAGGGGTATTGTCCCTGTTGTCGACCTTCTTGGTGTTTCGACTCTCACCGGTCGGGAGAGAAAGTTGGGGCAATGGCGCATGAGTTCCATGAAAGTTGGCCAGCGGGTACGCTCTTCAGCTTGCTCCCGTCTCTCTTTCTCTCGTCTTCCTTCATCTTCTGCTTGATTCCGCCTCTCCTTTGCCTGCAGAAAAATACTTTTGTAATCCGGCTAGTTGGAAAGGGGAAGCAGTAGCTTGAGACAGACGGGAGAGGTCCCGACCGGCGATCGGTCCAGCAGCCATCTGTCAGCGGATCACGGCTTCCGGCAGAGATATTTTTCCGGCCGTAGACAAGATGGTCGGGTTAATTTAATGGAAGCACAACCGAATAACCTCTTGGAAGATGAGGGAATATAAACCGCAGCACTCGTTATTACACCCGCAGCTTATGTCCGAAAATCAAAAATAAATCTCCAGAGAGTTCCGCCTGTGCCCCAATTCTCTCCGCAAAGTAATATTACTAGTTCCCAGAATCCGTCCCCGGCACGAAGGCTAATAGCCATAATCTTCAACGAGCAGCGAAGCCTTTCTCATGGGCGCTAACTCATCCAAACTGGGAGACCTGATTCTGCCTACCAATTTTCCAGCCAGATTTGGTTCTATCAACAACGCTGGGAAGCTCTACCAGGGAAAACTTGATTCTACCACTGAGACCATTGCTGGCGACTCAATAGGAGATTGAATCAGAAAACCTGGAGTCGACATCGAAGAGTGAGCAGCATTAGGTTAGACAGCTATGATCGATCTCTACTGGGAGTAACTGGTTTACGTATATTTACCCCTAGTGGGCTCAGATGTATCGATAAACTGGACTATACAATATATCGACTCAATGAGATGTCCAGGTCAATATAAATGCACAACAGCTGGCAGATACTACGATCGTGAAGGACCCAAAGTGGAGAAAGGAGTAATTATTCACGGTACTTACTGAGATCAAAGTTGAATTACAGTACAACCTCGCCAAGCCAATACTCATTTTGGCATAACCTCGCTTTACCGATACATTTTCTTAGGATGAATTCTCTCCCATATAAATTTAGGGGAAGATTTAGTTAAAAACATAGTATAAATATGATTTCGTTCATTTTGTACATTATGCCGAAAAGATATTTAAAACTTCCAGGGTCTTGCCCGGCAGTAATTCGCCATCGTGCTGAACAAAATGCAGGATAACACTTAGGTATAGAACCTCGTCCTCGGTTCCCTTCAAGTATCCTGTCCACTTTCCACGCGGAAATCATCTGTTCCACGAGTTTCCCCTTGCCGAATAATACAAGTAGCTTTATCAAAGCAACTCAATACTCGGATTACATTTCTACACGAAGAGACAAAGGCTAAGGTGTAAGTATTACACTCAACGTCAACTTTCGCCTAGGCCGAGGACGGAGCCTATGCCAGCTTCCTCTCTACAGACTCCTTGGGTGGCACCATACCGAAATTCTGATGCCCATGTGCCTCAAAATAGTGACCGTCCGCGATTTTCTGTGTGCCCTCACCGAACAGGTTATACTGGCGACTATTATCGCCATACTGGTTGGCAGCACCGGGCTGCTCGGCCAGATCGGAGTCTGCCAGTGACGGAGACACTTTCGCCAGCTCCTCTCGAGCATCTGCCAACGGCTCGACCTGCCTCTGCATCTCCGCCGGAAATATGTGGTGCGCAACAAGGGCTCCCAGATCCTCCAAAATGCCGTCCATCAACGTCTCGACGCGATGCTTGCCTTGTTTAATAATAATTGCCCGGTACACGGAAGAGTCGTATTGGTCCTTTGAATTCTTCGCGATTCTCCTGAAGATTTCCAGCAGCTTGTCGGCCTTCTCATCGCAGCTGTAGAGGAGAGTCTCTAGCGCCTTGGCATCGTCGTCGGACTTGAATTTCTTCGCCGGACTTTTTGCATCTCTAAGGGTTTGTTCGACGAGAGGAAGCAGTTTGTTCACTTCCTGGAAGGCTTCGGGTAGACCACGGAGGTCTTTGATGGGGTCATACGCCTCCGCTATGCCTTCTGTAACCTCGATGAGGCCGGCAATCTGGTGAGAGATATCGGGACCTGACATTATAGGCTAGGATACTAGATAGATGGTTGATTAGAAAACGTAAGACAGGACATATTGCAGAAAAGTTCGATTCTTACATTCGGGAGGAGACGAGTCTCTTTCTTCGCTACGAGGCCGTGCCAGGAAGAAAACCAGGGTCGTGGAACCAACAGGGTCAGAGTAATTCCCCCACTGGAACGTGCAGCTTTTCTGCCTGGCGACCCCGTAGTTATACGGAACCCAATATTCGTGCTTGACGCGTCGCTCGCTTACGACCGTTTCCCTTCGCACAGGCAACCGCAACTTCCGCTAAAGTGCCCGCGGGGGAAGGTGAGTCGGGAAGTCGGTATGAGGCAGCAGAATTATGCAGTGACGGGCCGCGGTGACGCTCCCTGGCAGTGGATTTACTGAGAGTCATCCTTCCACATTGAACCCCTCCTGCAACGAATAAGCTAACACGTTGCCCGTTTCCAATTACATGTTCTTGTCTGGGCGGCTGATGTGGTTCGAACCATGATCCGCGGGTTATATAAGGTTATGGCTAATCAAGTCTTTGTTTTAGCGCCCATGTTCTCTTTTCTTCCAGATGTACCGTTTATCCCGCCCGAGTGTTTCAAAAATGCAGTGTTGTGACAAAGTGCTAAGCGCATTGATGATATGAAATATAATTGATCCAACCTGGTACCACGGAATTTTCTACCTATAATTATCCCCCCTAAGCGCTTCCGAAATGTACCGTACCCGACTTGAAACCTACGGGACTGTTCACCGTCATCCTGTAACCGCTTAGCAAGGTTTGCACGAATGTCATTCATCACCAACGGCGCCAATTCGGGGGTGATAAGAGACGTTGCCAGGTTATTTCGTCATCACTGAGTACCCCTCTCGTAGTTAGATGAGAGCGTGCTGGAGATGGGCATTCTTGTTATTTCGTTTACGCGCCCGCTTACGCTGCACAGACCTAATCAATAGGTTATCCGGAACGCTCTGCTTAGGCTCATTCGACTTGGAGGGGCTGATGTATCGCAATGTTTCCATATTCGCTGATGGCCCATCAGCATCCAACCAGCAGTAACCCAGGACCAAAAGACCAATCGCAATCCCCTTGCCAGATGCCTTTATGTGGAAGAAGCTCCCAACGAAGGCCTTGGAGCGAGACGCGGGCGCTAAAGCTCCACAGATATGACGGGCTGAGAAAGACCCGCTCCGAGACATCACAGCGCCGCGCAAATGATAAGTGATGCGAATTTAGGCTGGCGCTTCGTCTCAGAGCGTGCATTGGGGGTGGTGCCTTCTGAATGGCAGAGTGGTTTAGGCTGGAATGAAAGGGTTCTCTTAAAGGAAAGCTAGTCGTCGTGGTGTAATTCATCGTCGCCTGCAAGTGTGAACCTGCTATTTCAGTCTTTTAAGTACACTCTTCAAGACTTGCTTCAAACTGATATATAAGACCTTGAATTGGATTTTGACGGCCAAAGAAAACACCATCATGAAGTTTGTAGCCAGGATGAAACGACGCCTGCGGCGACAGCGAGTCACAACCAAAGATCAGGATAATACACCGCAACGCCGACCAAGAAAGGCCTTCCCTGCCGGGCTCAAACTGCTATACAGCCCAGATGATGGGACAATAGAGTATGTACACAGCTAGATTGGGAAGCAGTCCTAATTTTTCTCACACAGCATCATCTTTCTCCACGGCCTGACCGGCGATCGTGATGCGACATGGACCGCCCGTGGAGCGACCGAACCCTGGCCCAAAACCCTCCTCCCAACCATGCTTCCGACAGCCCGCGTCCTTACTTTTGGATACGACGCGTATGTGGCTGACTGGCGAGGTGTAGTGTCGCAAAGTCTTATCGCCAACCATGCGTGGAATCTGCTTACATCTCTTTCATCGTACCGAGAGAACGACGGCACGGTAGGGTGGACAACTCTACTAATCTCACAATGTATTGACACACTCAGAATGAACGACCGATCATATTTGTCTGCCATAGCTTAGGGGGACTGGTCTGCGAGGATGTACGGTACCGCCTTAGGTTAGGGGCTGCGCTAATTCCTGTAACAGGCCTTGTTCACGTCGAGACAACGACCGGAACCACATCTCTACAATATTCTTCGTTCCACCCTCGGTATTATATTTCTCGGCACACCGCACCACGGAGCGGGTCTTGCTAAATGGGCCGAGGTCGTGTCCCGATCAATTGGCCTCGTCAAGCAGACGAATCCCGATATCGTCGATGTCCTCAGACGCGATTCCGAGGTGCTTGCGCGGATTCAAGACGGCTTTCACACAATGGTCAAGTCGCGAAGCTTGGTAGAACCGCCGCCGATTGAGGTCACTTGCTTCTACGAGGAGCTGCCCGTGCTTGGGTTTGGTTTAGTAGGTCAAGCAAAGCCAGGCTCTTCCCCAGATACTGATTCCCAGGCAATAGGTTGTGCCACAACATTCGGCCATCCTGCCGGGCTACATCCCCATCGGAATCCACAGCAACCATATGGATATGACGAAGTTCACCAATATCGATGACCCTGGGTTTGTGGCTGTTTGTGGAGAGCTGCGTCGGTGGATTAGAGACACAGATGCAAACAAGAAACGCTACACGAATCCGTCACGTGTTGAGCAGCCTGGTCTTGCCAACCAGTACGGTGATAATAATCGCCAGTATAACCAGCTCGGTGAAGGGACGCAGAAAATCGTCGACGGCCATTATTTTGAAGCGCAGGGGAATCAGAATTTCGGTATGGTGCCGCCCAAGGATTCTGCAGAGAGGAAGGTGGCATAAGAGACCTCCTTGGCCTGGGAGGAGATTGATGTTGAGAGTGATACTTCTACCCCTTCAAGGGTAGAGGAAATTGCTACTTAGAAGATCCCATTCTCAACCAATCGGCTATTTCTACATCCGGTTGGCCTCGCATATCATATGGGATCGTTAGAATGTGAAAGCTACTTTGCAAAACCAGCCAGTGGAGAATCATGTAGATTAGCAGGATGGGGATGCCATATCGATAAGGCACGCCAAGCTGGCGGACTAGGACTCTAGGATGCAACTCCTAGATGGACCAACATTATGGTTATAGAGGCGTTCTACGCCCCTCCACACTCTTTTGTTTATTTCCTATTTTGGTAATCATTCGGGGTGCTGAACGAAGGGGAGTGATAGAGAAACTGGAATTCGGGATCCGGTAACTCCTAGCGCCTTGGCGAGCGCTCAGCGTCATCCCCCTGAATCGCTTCCATTCCTTTAGATAGTAGCTAAGAAGAAGAGAGAGAGAGCGCGTTGATGAGCGCGTTGGTTGCGCAGTCAATACAGTTATTATTTTACTCTCCCTAGTAGGGCACCGGCATGTAGCTGGTATAACTAGGGCTATAAAGCACATTAAAGGAAACCATTGTAGAGAAAAAGAGGTGAGTCTACTGGTTACCGTGAGAATGTCAAGTGAATGCCTTAGCTACAGGGTGATAAAACCAGGGAAGAATGGCAGGGAGCGGCTACGGACGACTACCTATTGACTCCACCGCAATGTTAATTTTGGCTGAGTTGCATAAAAATGGAGCATATTATAAGTAATTAATAGTGCTATTCTAGCCAATAACAGAATGATGTATACTGTCTTAAAGAGCTTTAAGTCACATGAAGCTCATCAGGAGAAGCCGTTATCTCCAAGGTCGGCGAGGGACGCGACAGACAGGCATAATTAATGTGCTAGGGCAGCCAATCCTGAAAAGGCACTATTAATTCGACTTGTCACCAATTACAGAGCCAGGATCTAGTTAGTCAGTCTATCTAATGGACTTGTTATATTAGAAATTAACTCTCCGAGGTCTCCGAAGGGGCCATGATATACCTACTAAGCCTACTCACACCACTTTCAGCACACCGGCTACACCGGCTTTCGGCGGTGTGGGTAGATGTGCTACAGCTAACTAATCTAAATGAATAATTTGTCATCGACACATCGTCAGTATAATTAATTTGTCATCGCCACATCGTCAGTATACTCCGTAAAGATCTAGATAGACCCCAATAACACATCCATTGCCAATCCCATCATGTCTCAGAAAGCTGTCGTGATCACCTCTCCCAAACACGCCGACCTCGTCAGTGACCGTCCTCTCCCCATCCTTCGCAATGACTATATCCTCGTAAAGACCGTCGGGGTGGCCCTGAACCCCACCGACTGGAAACATGTTGAAGACACCGCGCCCCCAGGCGTGCTTGTCGGATGTGACTATGCCGGCATCGTTGAAGCCGTCGGCAAAGACGTCAAGAAACCCTTCCGGAAATCGCCCGCGAGAATGTCGGCGATCGTTGGACAATAGCGTATTCCATTTCGGTGAGGAATTCAAGTTCGGTAACTCATTGTTTCCGGCCAAGCTGGAGGATAAAGCCTTCGCGGAGAAATTCTGGGCCATGGCGCAGAAGTTGCTCGCAGAGGGCAAGGTCAAGCCACATCCGGTTTCTGTGCGGGAGGGAGGATTGCGAGGCGTGTTGGAGGGCATGCAGGCAATGAAGGAGGACAAGGTGAGTGGAGAGAAGCTGGTGTATCATGTGGGGAGATTTGATTCGAAAATTATCCTGTTCGTCTTCGTTCGTGGGCCAAGGTCAACCTTTACGACCTCGACTTCAACCTTGGGCTTGGGAAGCCGGATGTTGTGCGTCGACCGCGGTTTGTTCCAGTTGAGAGTCTCATTTATTATGCCAAAGTCACCGAATGGTGATCTGGCAGTTGCACTTTGCCTTAGAGATGAAGATTGGGAACGGCTGAATGTTGATAAAGACTGGAAAAAGTACGCGGTGTATATAGGATGATGAGCTGGAGCAGCGCAATGATTTAGTTAAAACATCGGAATTATTTAAAATACAACTTTTGGAAAAAGGACCGGACGAAGGGCTTTCCCTCCCCCAAAACACAAATACAGCTATCTGACAAGCAGTGCGACGAGCCACAACGCTGGGTTCTTATTGTCCCATATCCCTACTCCAATTTGAATAAAGTGGAATGGTCTCAAATTGATACTGTTGTGTGGTTCTGCACTTAAGGGAGAGGTTACTATATTAAGCTTCACCTGTACTGAAGTGAATTTTTGCTGGCGGAGCCTGATTCACTGGTGCTGCTGCCTGGTGATATCAAGCCTTTCAGATCTCTTTCCTCTCCTATTTCTTAATCTCTTCCCCTTTTATCTCTCACCTCTTAACTTTGCCGGCTTGTCCATTCCTTCTGCTTTTTACCGCATGCTGTTGCTAGTCTGTTCTTTCAGTAATTATAAACTCTCGTCTATCTTTCCTTTGGGGTTCTCTAGCTCTTCGGGGCTGAAGCTGCTCTGCATATGAGGCTTTCTGATCCCCTCAGAGCTAGAGCTGCTGTAAAGCTTTAGACTTTTCGGACCAGTGTAGCGAACTACAGTCCCTATAGTCGCACCTGCTTGTTTCTTCGCGAAAAAAATGTCCGCTCGTCGTGGCTTAGGCGCTTCTGCTGCTGCTGGTGCCTCTGGCCCAGCCTTCTCGCCTGGCTGCCTTGTATCTCGTGAGTCTCTACAGAGCCTGTATATGTTTTGCTCTGAAAACTAACGTACTTTCTGCTCAGGCGAGATCGAAACCCCCCTTACTGAAGCCGGTGCTCAACTTTGTTATGCTGCGTCCCGTTTAGATGATACTGCTTCCGTCCTGCGCTTGCCCGGTGCTCATGCCGTGTCGCCTGCATTTTCTGTCCATGAGGATTTGTCTACTGGCCATTTAGCCTTGGAAGATACTATTTCTGCTGTGGAAATTGCGCTTGCCCACCTCCGCCAGGCGGAGGGCCGGATGACCGGGACCTGACCAGCGGTTTTTGGGTTCCATTTCCTGTGTCCTCTTCCTAGGAAGAGAGTTCCCCGTGTGCTCTTAATATGACCAATGGAATCTCTGTTTTCCTGTTGCTGATCCACTGTCCCCCCAGCATTGTAGCATCTATAGCATCAGTAAGGTTGCATTTCCTAGACTGCGGCATGATCCGTAAAATATCCAAATTATACATATCCATCATGGATTGGTACGAAATATTTCAGTCAACCTTGTTTTAATTTCCAAATTGATCATCAAAATACGGTATCTACTATAAAGGGTTATACCTTCCCAAATAACGTAACCGGACACCGAATGACAAAGGACACCACCTGTAGGGATGTCGTATTATCCGGATCCCGCAAATAAATCTCTTCTGCGGGAGTGGTGATGGCTCCAGGGTGTTCCGGAAAATCCGCGATAAGCCTAATAACACCAAATTGCTTATCGCTCGTTCCCTCATTTTCAGCGTCCACCGGCATCTCATCATCATTCAAACATGTGTACTAGTCAAGGTGCCTCAGGCATATCCACCTCTATCCCTGAGAGTGACCCAATTAGGTCAGAGAATAATGCCCTAAACAGAGCTAAGATAAAGGAAATTCAGGCTTATGAGCGACCAGAGCCTGCCTTCTGCAAGGAGGGGTCCCCATGGGACAAGTACCACCGATTTGCCAAATTTGGGAGAGCCGGAACCACCTCCCTGGCTACTGACTCCAGTGGACAAGCGCCGAGAAATATCGTTCAACTACGAGATGCATGGTTCTGTATCGACACGGTGTATTTGATCTACGAACGAATGGACATCATGCTCGATCGACTTCAATCGTTTTTTGGATTCACGGAAGAGCACATTTCGATTGTCTGTCGAGAGGCTAGTAAATACGGATCACAATTAGTTGCGCTCGACTTGCTGACGTATGATAGGTCCTGAATGCTCTGAGATTTGTTCATTACGAACTTGATATCGACTATATTGGATCTATCTACGAGAATTTATACTTTTCAGATGATGGAGCAATCAAGCTCGGTATGAGCAATCAAATATTTAATGAGGAAATCACTGACAACACGAATAGGAAATATTGGGGCCTCTCTGATCTGCACACCCTGCGCTTGCGTCATGCTTTGTTTTAGCTGCCAATTTGATAGGCCAACTGCTCTCCCCACAAGCGCTTCAAAAGTAGCATGAACACCTATGTACACTCTGACTTAATCTAGAGTATATAAACAAGCCTATCGCGGCTCAAACAACCAGATGCCAATCCAGCAGAAGTTTTCCGTTTTCGCACGAATAAATCCGGCGGTTTGCCTGGTTTAGGAGGTCGTTCCTCAATATCGAAGTGAGGGGAATCAGAGATTAGGTCGCTGAGCTTAGGATATCCATGTGTGGAGAGGTTGAAGTCTGGGTGTCGTGTTATGAAATGCTCGCCGACCTCAGATAGCCTAGCCCACCCACCGTTATCGAGAGTCGTCTCTGCCGTGCTCTGCAGCTGACTATCTGAAATATGGGCCAGGCTTCAAATCTAAGCTCTTCCCCTACCTTAGGTCAGTCACGGCTAGTTATCGGCCGAGGAGAATATTTTAAATCCGTCATTGAGGGCGTTTTTCGTTTTCACTTATTCTCTACCCATGCTACTTTGAATTATCAATATTGCCGTGAGCCAAAAAAAATGGGTTGCAGCTCTCTGTGTACATGTATCTGAATGCTGGTCCTTCTGGACCGGTCTAGGCGTCGACTGTTCACCAAACCTCCGTCCCCAGAGTATCTAAAACTGCAGGTACCAGGCACCCTCTCCTGTCCCAGCCAAGTCAGATAATGTGCTCTCGGCTGATCCGGTTACCAGCGGCGTCGTAGTAATCGACGGTACAGTGCCGCCGTCTGTCGCTTCTGCTGGTGTGCCAGCCGTTCCTAAAAACTCTCGTCAGCGGCTTGGTTGCGATGAGGGATGCGACTAACTTACACGACTGTGGCACTCGCAGCCCCGGCAGGTGCTTGGCTAATGACCAAGTTGATAATACTCGTCTTCTCCTGGGGATTGTTCGAGTACATGTTGGACGGGTCGAAAGTAACATTGCTGGCATCCATGATGAACCAAGAGTTGCGCTACCTTTGAGAAACCAAGATGGAAAATGAGCTTAGAAGAAAGAAGGCTGTTGGCACAGGCAGGTGGTGTTTGAATAATGCGGTTAGGTACGTCCGGAAATTGAGCCATGCCGAACTCACGTCAATTTATATTCCTTGCTCACATCAGAGCCCAGCTGGACAATGACCGTCTAGTCATTCATCTCGATCTTCCATTCATCGACTTTGTTTTGGTGATTGAGGTGCATAAGCGCTGGAATCATGGCCTCTGTTGAAACTTGTTGTGGCCGGCCACGACTAACTGTCCACTTAACGTGCTTGCTCCTTCGGTAAGTACATTATCGAACAACCACTTAGGATCATTCCAAGGGCAGGGCGGCTATTGTAATGCACTAGCTATCCGTGATCAGGTTTCAGTAAGGCGCAAAAGGATCAGTTCTGCGCTCGTACTCGGTCCCCATTGGTTGCCAATTCTGTAGCTTGGGTCACACGCCATTTAGGCCAATAAGAACAGCTCAAGTTTCTTAGTCATATCACACTACGATGAATAAAAATAGTACGCGCCATGACGCGTGTTCCGTAACAAGTTCCGAGACTCGTCCATGTCGAGGGACCATAAATGTACCCCGAAGGCCTTGCTCCACGCTCTTTGGGAACGTCTATCCAGTTTCTCCCGAAGTTTTGGACTTCCCCATCACAATCCTGCATCTCTTACAAAAAATTCCGCTCGGTAACTCTTGGACAACGCAGCCCCATCGCAGCCATGGGTACCTCGTCTCCTCCCACTCCGCCATCAAGGGCCTTAATAGATGGCGAACGGCGATTCAAGCCTATTACATTACCCTGTGAGTGGGTGGAGGATTACCGCCCAGGTGGTTATCATCCAGTCGTTCTCGGCGACGTCTTCAACCGCCAGTACAAGGTCATCCGGAAGCTTGGCGAGGGCTCCTACTCAACGGTTTGGCTCGCCCGTGACCTGAAGTAAGTTCATCTTTTGCATTTTCTACCCGCAACGCTATAGATTATCGTTACTCATTTCCTTTAAGAAACAGTGGATATGTCGCCCTGAAGATACTTGTGTCGGAAATCTCGGGATCGACAACCGAGCTACGAACCTTACGCCACATCATCGAAGTCGCACCAGTAGAAGGGACCCGATATATCACGCGACTGCTAGGCGAGTTCGAACACCGCGGGCCCAATGGCATCCACAAGTGCCTGGTATTTGAGCCCATGGGTCCGAGTGTGAATACTATGGTCGAGGAGCTGCCGCAGTTCAAACCTCGCAGGCGAGGAATGAAGATCCGCTATCCACTTCGGATGGCAAAGAGCATCCTCAAACAATCCTTGCAGGCTCTTGCATTTCTCCACGAAAATGGTATCGCCCATGGAGACTTCCAGCCGGGAAACATACTCTTCGCTCTTGACGATGTCGACTCGATGCCCGAGGACTTGCTCCGGCAAGAGGAAGATGTGCAAGCCCGGTCGATCTCGCCCCCGGTACAGAGGCTAGACGGTAAACAAGATAAATGGGCTCCTCGATATCTTTGCGTTGCGCAGCCACTGGTGCCCTTTACCTGCTACGCTGAAGGGTTCAAGGTCAAATTATCCGATATGGGCGGTGGTCAGTCCCTCCCGTCTCGATTATCTGTTCCTTTTTCTTGACGAATATCTATACTCATACCTGACTGCCCTGGATAGCATATTTCTTTACCGACCCGCCAACAAAGCCCGTTACTCCACTCGGTCTTCGAGCTCCCGAGCTGATTCTTACCGGAGCCGTCAACAATACCGTTGATGTCTGGAGTTTCGGTTGCCTTGTCTTTGAGCTTATCACCGGACAGCCACTCTTCTGTATACCATGCTCCGAGATGGAAGATGACGATCATCTTCTCTCCCTCACCGCCAAGCTCGGCGCCCTCCCCGACGAGTTCTTCAAGCATTGGACGACCTCGTCGCTCTACTTTACGCCCGAGAGGAAGCTCTTTAATTGTCAGCTTGGAGGAGTCGCTCCGGGGGAGGAACCGCTTATGGTGGAGCAGACAACCATGGAAGAGTCGTTCGATCGGGCAGGCCCGGATCTTGATGAGGAGGAAGCCCACAAAGTGAAGGCGCTCATTCGATGGATTTTGCAATATGATCCTGCGAAGAGACCTTCGCCTGCGAAAATTTTATCTGATCCATGGTTCTGCGAGATTGACGTTGAGAACGACTCGTCCAAGGTATCTATAGTCTAGTATCTTGCGTGGTCGTTGTCATCCTCCAGACATTGGTACTCATGGTAGAGCTTTTGACGAAACTGTTGTGGAAAAAGTAACGTACTCTACTACTAAGCGGCGCAGTCAAGAATACTATAGTAAATCTGATAAATTACAACTTAATATCTCAAAAAACGGTATAGGGACTTTTTCTTCTTACAGAGTTCAGAGAATTTTTATAACTTACTGATTAAGATATTTCTGGCTCACGGCTATAAACTACTATCCACTGAAAGCGGACCATCTAGCTAGCCAATGATATCTCCCATTTGCCACCCCTGTTTTGGCTGGAAAAAGTACAATGGGCGAACTGAAAGCTGTTGATTCAGAATCTTCTGCGCCCATTCCCAGTAAATAATGCCTGTTACTGTAAGCTGGACGTAAGTCCACATTCGAGACGGAGACTGAGGTTTCAAGATGCGATCTAGATCTACATCGGGCAAATGAATGGTAATGTTACATTCCCAACACTGATGGCAGCGTCAATGCAGTTTCTTTTCTTAATATTGAATACAGGGGCTCGAAAGAAGCAAGAATGTCTGTCTGGTAGACTACTTATTTTCTTCTTTCCTCATGTTATCGATACTTCTATAGAGCAAGATCACGTGTTTTGCTAATCTCTGCATTGGAGAGTTGTATTGAAGGCGAGTGTGTTTGTTCAGTTTTCGAAGTTCTCAGCTAACCGGCGAAGGCTACCAATCGTTACATACAAAGGCTGGAGTTTTACAGGGTGACATTTCGACAGGGAACCTTATTCTAAATGATGATACAGAAAATCCGTCGTGGTCAGCATTCTTAATCGATTTGGACCTTGCTATCAAGGAGCAACGAGAACATCCCTCTGGAGCTAAGGGGAAGACAGGAACAAGAGTATTCATGGCAATAGGTCTGCTCTTGGGTGAGCAACATTCTTTTAGACATGACCTTGAATTCTTCTTTTGGTACTATTCTGGATATGCATTCATTACGACGGCCCAGACAAAGAAATTGGGCCGACTGATTTCGACAGTTGGAATAAATACGTAATAATTCGAATATTCTCCACAATATTTGAACACTTCTGAATCTATTGCTGTTGTGTAAAGTTTAACCGTGTGGGAGCCATCGCTTCATCGCCCTTTGATATCCATAAAAGACGGGCTTTTGGTTTGATTCAACCATTTTGGAATGAAAAATGAAGAACTAGGACATGGCCCAAGTATCTTGTTCACTTCTGCTGGGGCAAGATTCACGAAGATTATACACGACGGGCGACAGACAAACAGAACGTCTAATTCTCGACAATCTTATAAGATGTGCCTCGTGTGTTGCTGGCAGAGCCACGACTTGCCGGAAAACTCACCAAGGCCATGAAACAAAATCCGCGCCTTTATTAGGGTTTAATGGCAATTTCCAGAGCAAGAAGAAGAAGAAGAAGGCAAACTTTTGCAAGAAGCAATAGAGAAAAATGTGGTCAATGTAGCCAGGTGTTACTACCATGAAACAGGTGAGCAGGAAAACCGATTATATTCGTGATAATGTTGGTACAGTAATTGGAATGGCCATCTATGATAAGTGTCAGGGCCTAGGTCGAACCCTGCCTGAGGCACCGAGACTGCTTTATTCACTGTTGATCCCACAATGTAGAGATTTCCCACATTTCCTGTGCGATAGAATTTCTTCTTCCTTCCTTCCTTCTCTACGTTTGATGTTTCGTTAGATCGCCACCTTAGATAGAATCCATCCATTTCACCAAGGTGTATAGGATCATCACAATAAGAAGATGCGTGTGACCCCGGCCGATTGGACTGTTGCCGGATAGAAAATGGTCCTCAGCTACTCAAACCCAAGTTCAAGGTCAGTGTATCCATTCGGACTGGTCGCAAATGCAGTCCCATTCATGGTCTTGGCGCATTGTGAGGGGAGTCCAACTATTCCAATGGGTTTGAGCTTTCCGGATCACGAATGGCAGAATGGTCACTCCAGTCCTGTTAATACACTCAATGAACGTGACTGATCCTCCGTCGCCCGCTTGTTTTATGAACCTTACACGAGAATATTCCTAGAATACATCCCTTTTTATCCATGTCGTAGACGTTGCTGTCAAGGACTAGTATTCCTCTTTCACCGTCTTGAACCATCCATGGATTCTCGAGTAGCACTGTTCCATCGCTCCTTATATAGCCTTGCACCCATTACACTTTCGATTTCTGTGCGTCGATTTGTAAACTTCGTCATCCAATTCTTTCCTAGCGGAGGCATCAACGCCCGTTCTTCTTCGGTGGATGCGTTCGGCCATTCCTCGGACTCGTGACGGTTGAGCAGGAATTCCAAGACGATCGAGCTGTGTCGAGATCAGCATATTGCAACGTAACTTTTGTAGATACCCAGAATGGAAGCCCGTGAGGCTCATCATGGTAGAGAACTGGATTAAAGAGCCCCATAGCTTTTCTTGGTTTCCGTTTTCTATATTGTAATTTGATTGTTTCCTGGAGACCCTGATTTTCATGCTTTATGATCTCGTCTTCTGTGGCCAACTTCCCGGACGTACGGGACATTGCTGTAAATTTCGGATGAACTGGCCTTAAGGAACTCACACACCAGTCGCCGGATGGCCCGAAGGTCAGCTGGAGTCTTCACCAGCCTATCGCATGATGCTGTTTGCGGAGGTATGGTATCGTTGGGGTGACCAATCTTAGATAATATTTTAATCGGGTCGAGAGGGGGTGACATTGTGGGGATGCCCCGAATTCCTACGCGGACGCCAGAAAAGTAAATAGTATATCGCTCGTGTGAGATTCCAGCAACGAGTAAGACTCAAAAATCAAGAAAGAAAAAGCCTTTAACTTTTTCTCCCTGGGATGGATCTTTCCCTTTCTGTTGTAAGGGACGTCTGCTCATACTTCACTGCGCTGTCAAAGTCCATCGAGAAGATATCTACATCTCCTCTATTGGACTTTATCCAAACATTCTCAAAGAGCTCGTTGAAGAGTGTCGAGGAAAATATCTTAATAACATTGACAAAAAGATCGCTGTCTTTGAGGACCGCGAAGGGGACTGGAAGAAAACCAGGTTAAAACCAATTCGACCCGTCTCTACAGTCATCATGGACAAGGAGGTACATGATGACATTTTAGGAGATGTGAAGGACTTTCTGAATGAAGATACGCAGAAGTGGTACGCCGATCGTGGAATCCCCTACCAACGAGGCTACCTTCTACTTGGAGTTCTGTCTGCCCAAAGCTAACGTGCGTCGAGTAATAGCATTATGGAAGATATTCTAGGAAACCGGCTCAACGTACATAGTGCTAGTTGCAGGAACGCTTCATTTCATGAATTATGCGATCGCTAAACCAATGCCGTAAAGCTAAGCAACCTCTCACAGAACGCGTAAACGTTTAACATCTCCTGGCTCTACCCGACATAGCCGTCTCTTTGCTGTTCGCTGCTGCTGTAAAATTGGCTGAGATTTCAAAGCAGAGCGGTGAAAGTCGATGATCAATGCCCGTCCAAGCTCTTCATTCCAAAGGATATTATCACGCCGAATATCTTCGTGGACGATACCCAGGGCTTTGATTTCCTTATTCGATCTGTGAATCTCCTGGCGAAGCCACGGCGCCAGCTCCATCGTTGCTGTGCTTTCGCCACCCCAGGCCATGACGAGCATATGACGAATTTCTCCAGCCCCATGAAGAAAGTAAATTTTCGCCAAGTCGATCGTACCCAGGAATACCGGCACAGCAGACCCTTGAGCCTTCCGCAGAAGTTGGTATACTTGCGCTTCGCGAGAGACTTCTTTCCACAGTCCCGATGTGGTTCCTTTTCCGATGACAGTATAGCCATATGTAGCACAAGTAAGTTTGAACGGCGCACCGTACGCCCCGCAACCTCCAAGGGGTGTGCATCGGTCAATGTTTTCGTCCAATTGTGCTTTTAGTAAATGCACCAAATCTTCTGAGGTAATCGGATGTTTGAGATCATCTTTGCTTCGACGATGGAGCATCACGTTTGGGCAACAGTTGTCTAGGACACCGCCAGACTGCAGTCCGAGTAAACATCGCTGAGTGCAAAATTGCGCATCGCGATATCGAGACAGGTTGCTTTGGTTATTCCCCGTGTCCCGTTGACGAGCCGCTCGTTGGGCAGATGGGGAGGATGTAACTTGGCTGAAGCCCCGTTTGCGCCCTGTTGCTTGGCTCGAATCGGAGCCTGATGAGTCTGGCGACTGCGAGCGATTCTGTGCACTCTCGGGTGCACAGCTGGCCTGAGACCTTGTAGGCACTCGGCGAGCTGCTGCTATTGGAGAATCTGGAGGAGATGACGTCGGTTCATAGGCAGAACCGGATTCCGGACTCGGATACTCCGGGTTGGTACTGTCGGACTGGAGAAGGGTCTGCTGCAGTTCTGCTTTAGGAATCTGAGAACGAGTGTGATCAAAATTGGTCTTCCAAAGAGGAAGCTCTGGTCGTGCGGAATTTCTCCATTCCTGACCACGCGGAGGTGAGCGGAATGCCATCAAACACAGACACAGTACCCTTGCAACAGAAGTCTTTAGTAGTTGAAAACTGTCTTCAACTTCTGGATTCACTTCGCTGTTAGGATCACAGAAAAAGTAGTAAAGCGTGTTAGGATCGTCACGTGGCACACGAAGGAGGATCCGGGAAATCCCATTTGTCACATAGGAATACTCGAGTCCCTCCTGGATCATTACGTGATACTCCTGGACAATAGCGGAGCAGACAAGTCGTTCTGCATTATATCTTAACTTCGCTTCTTGGTTTGTCGGTATTTTGTTTGATCTGACCATATCCTTCCATAAGTCCATTGGTCGGAGCCCCATACGAATGGTTGCGACAGAAAGCTTGTGAGGCGGCTTATACTCGACAGTCGTGAGGAGAGTGGTAATGTTGCCGTCGACACGATGGATGCAGAACTGATCAGGTCTGGGGCGGTGTACGCTTGACGGTTGGCTTGCATCCGCTTCAATAGCTTCGTTCTCGTTCAAGGAATTCATATGATTGCTGAACTGGATTCCATCGCCGAGGCCGAACTCGTCGCGAGCAGGGGGGAGTTTGCACAGCTCGGTAATTATATCGTGGACATGCTCTTCCACGGCAAACCGCTCGTAAAACTCGAGTTCTTGCTCGCTGCTGAGTGGCTTGCGAACAAGTCGTCGGCCTAATCCTTCCAACTCAAGCAGAGATGGGAACAGACGTGGCGCCTCCCCTGGTTCCAACTGAAGGTAGCTGTAAACGGACCTGTAGAGTTCTGACAGTTGTGTTGGGCAGTCAGTCCAAGGTTCCAATCGAGTCGGGCAGTATTTTCCGGTGGGAAGGGGTATTTTCCCTGTGGTCGATCTTGATGGTGTTTCAACTCTCACCGGTCGGGAAAGAAAGTTGTGGCAATGGCGCATGAGTTCCATGAAAGTTGTCCGTCGGTTGCGCTCTTCAGCTTGCTCCCGTCTCTCTTTCTCTCGTCTTCCTTCATCTTCAGCTTGCTCCCGTCTCTCTTTCTCTCGTCTTCCTTCATCTTCTGCTTGCTTCCGCCTCTGCTCTGCCTGCAGAAAAAGACTTTTGTAATCCGGGGAGCTGTTGTCGGCCATCGGCTAGTTGGAAAGGGGAAGCAGGACAACCGTGATAGGTCCCGACCGGTGTTCAGTCCAGCAGGCTTCAGCGGATCACGGCTTCCGGAAGAGATATTTTTCCGGCCGTAGCTCTACACGATGGTGCTGGGTTAATTTTCGCAAAATGGAAGCAGGATCCAATAACCTCTTGGAAGATTAGGGAATATAAGCCGCAGCACTCGTTATTACCCCGGCAGCTTATGTCCGAAAATCAAAAATAAATCTCCAGAGATCCGCCTGTGCCCCAAGTTTCTCCGCAAAGTAATATGGGTTCCCAGAATCCGTCCCCGGCCCGAAGGCTAATAGCCATAATCTTCAACGAGCAGCGAAGCCTTTCTCGTGGGCGATAACTCATCCAGGCAGAGAGACCTGATTCTGCATACACCAATTTCCAGCCAGATTTGGTTCTATCAACCACACTGGGAAGCTGCACCTTAGCGGGAAACGATTCGGATATTTACGTACTATAAATCTCTTTTATTTTTTGTAATAGAACTCCCCGGTTTTATTATCTGTATGTCTGTCGCTGTGGTATGCAAAATTATCTCAAGGCTGGTCGGCGAAGATCCGCGGGTTTGACCATTTTAGGAAGCCGATAGACAAATTCCCAATCCAGCAAGGCCGTTCGGGTCAGATTGGAGAACTCGATGGGAGGAGGTCACTTACTTACCCCACTTGTCAATGCCCGGTGTTTACGGACAAATGGGGACAACCCCAGTTTCACGCCCATGGGGAACCAACTTCAACTAACACACCATCTCTTGCAGGCCAACCTTGGATTATTTGAATGCTCTTGTACAACAACAATGGAATCGCTCGTTTATCCCTGCTCAACATGGGCAGCCGATATGCAAAATGGCAGGCCAAGCCTGTGTGATTTTCGGCATGTGAAACTCGACCGTACTTACCGGCTTTTGTTTACCGGCTTTTGTTATCCACGACGTTCGAGGGAAGATGAAACCCTCAGGTACCAAACCAAGTCGATTACGAGCTAATGAAGCTCGACATCGTATTTCACAGACAAAAAAGATTGACTTCCTCCCTTCCCCTGCGCTGCTCTCATCCATCACCAAATTTACGAGGTCTCTTTCCGACTTCTGGACCGCAGGATTGTCAGTCAATACTGGTTTGGAAACCGTCAATATTTTGCGTCGTATGTACTGGGGGGCCGGAAGGACAGCATTGATGGAGCTGAAGCCGTGGCTCCGCCAGGAGATTCACAGATCGAATAAGGAAATAAAAGCTTTGGGGATCATCCACGAAGATCTTCGGCGTGACAATATCCTTTGGATATGAAGAGCTCGGACGGGCATTGATTATCGACTTTCACCGCTCTACATTGAAATATCGGCCAACTTCAGAACGTTCACGAACAGCAAAGAGACAACTGTGTCGGACAGAGTCAGGGGATGTAAAACGTTTACGCGTTTTGTGAGAGAGGAAGCGTGTTTAATTTTTATTAGTTTAGCGATTGCACTGCAATATCGCTCATCACACGGCCATCTGGGTAGGTGAGGTCGCAGGACGTTAGAGGCTGTAGTGACCGTCGAGTTTAGGAAGGAAGCCCCAGGGGCCGCCCTGATGGCGGACCCTGGGGGGAACTGAGAGGAATAGGAGGTGCTTCAGGAACTAGGAGAGGAGTGCTCAATTCTCTAGTAGTCTGATGGTTATCGATGATTGTCTGCTGCCCTGGGTACCAGACCGCTATTTAACCTAGAGTCTACCAAGGCTATTTGTTAGCCGCGAGAGATCCCATGTCGTGCGATGTGAGCTCTCATGTTCTTGGGGTGTTTACGAATGTTGGTGGCCATATTCGTAAGGCACTGCACCCCTTAGTCATTGCTCTTGATGACAGCATTGATAAAGAAGCGTTCCTGCCACTAGCACTGCACCTGAACTCAACTTCGACAAACCTAAATGGAGAAATAATCTTCAAGAGCCATGAGAATACTCTGAAGAGTCCAAAGTAGTCGCTTATATGAGCTCTTTGAGCCTATCGCAAAGAGCAACCTCGACGCTCTGCTCGGCTAGCCAACAAACATTCGCAGCGCACTCAAACGGGCTTCACAATCAAGGTCTGTTCGTCTTCCATTGGACCAGTTCTATGTATACAGTAAGGACCGCGAGGAAAAGATGCCAGCTTTTATTACCGAATACAAGGTACAGGTGCAAATGTATACCAGATTCGACGAAAGTTATCAAGGAGTCTCCTTTTTATTCGAGAACTACCGTGGGTCATTCTCAAATTGTCATTGATCATCGCCCTCATCTTCCTCGTCGCCTTGGCTCCAGGGCGTAGGGGTTACTTTGCACTGGCTACTGGACGTTGAGTTTTGTTGTTGGAACGAGCTCCTCCGTTTTTACGTCGGTATTATGACGCTTTCTGCCCTTGCAGTAAATCAGGAACCGACTTTTCAAGTTCACACATAATCAGAGTCACACGGAGTTGCATTACATCACATGTAGCCGCAATAGATTACACGGATGGCATGAGCGACAGCCCATATTCATTGAATAATTGTTTCTTATATCATAAAATCAAAGGAATGAAGCAAAGAACTCTGATGAAACGGCTGTCATTTGATTGAAAAACCTAACTGATACATAGGCCCTCGTACTCTGCCTCTCAATACGCATGCCGTACGCACACAGGCACACCAAGACATACCTCAAAACAGACACAAGGCCAAAGAGAGAAAAAGCCGAAGAAAATACAAGACCATACTCTCAATAATCGCCAACGTAATCGCGAATGAGAACCTTTGCTTTGATTATATACAAACAAGCAACATGCAGCATTTATACAACAGCTGTGCGGCAAATATCATGTGTCGTGTCCTACTATGTGATGTCTATATTGTGTACCTTCCATAAAGTAGGATTTCTGTCTTAGAAAGGTAACACATAGAACCGTTATGAATAACGGTAATAATAATTCCATGCATGAATGAGCTTGCCATGTTTCATGTCTTTCGCCTAAATATGCGTCAGCTGGCTAGGGCAAGAAGCCAGGTTCCTTACAAGGAGATCTAGTAGCTCAGAGGCCATTAATGTATCATCTTCCATCCAGTTCCGTTGTCTACTGGTAATAGAGTCATCAGGAAAAGTTTGAGCGCGGTCAAAATCTATCCAGAGCACTCTGCCTGTTTCTGGCTGAACCACCATATTCCGGGGATATGGGTCGCCATGGTAAACTCCAGCGTCATGGATTTTATGAATGATTTCCCGAAGAGTAGCTGCACGGTCTTCTGTATATGTCGTAAGATCTATCTGCTTTATATTTGGAATAAATTCTAGCAGAATAGCGTTTGGACGAAATTTATCCTTCAGAAAACGATTTAAATGAGGACGCCATTGAATGGGGTCTATTTGTTCGATCACCCCATAGAAATCCGGAACAACCCCTTGTTGGCATAATCCTCGCTCTTTGAAACGAACATATGCAGTGCTCTCACAAATGAATGGATCAACCTCTCTGTAGGTAGGATGCCATGGCTGCTTCTCAATGGTATGGTACTGAATTTGTCAAGGACAAGTTCGACAAAAAATGCGGCGCGTCTTTGTAGTATACATACCACCTTCATGAGACATGTCCGTCCTTGTAGCGATACTTGGAAAACGCTAGATGTTTCTGATTCCTTTTCGCAGCTTATGAAAGCAATTTCATTCGCATTCAGCCTCATTGTGACGATAGTGATGGTGATGATAATGTGCGTCAAGTTCGAGAAGGAGGATCAATGGAGTAGGAAGAGTTCTGGCCATGAGTGGTGGTTGCGAAGAGTAACTTTGCCTGAATTATGTAAGACGGAAGCTTTGTCCACCAGCCAATAGTTAATAGAATAACTAACTAGTTAAGTTATATGTTAACTAACTACGGCTGTTTATTAGTAAGCTTCCAGGCAAATCATTAACTAACCGACTTTGGCATTTGAAAGGACATTCTGGGAAACAAACGGGAAGCTGTATATTATTACCTCAAAGTGGTCATAGGGGATGGAAATTGCACTGTCACAACTTGTCCCACAGCCTCGCCCAATTACACCTTGCCGCAAGCTCTCTACGATAATTATCTCGGTTTATCTGAATTGGACATGGTTATTAAGGCAAGTAGGGATGACGTCGGAGGTAGCTGGGTCTAATGCATGTAGCTACGCGGTATCACGTAGGGTTGCCTCTAATTCGTTGTACAGCCGCCTGCTTCAGCCATGAAGTCTTTTTTCGTCGAGATGGATCGCTGACGTGGAGCTCGCCGTGACCAACCATTACATCTGTACTTTCTGTTTTGAAAATCATTTGAAATCATAGCGTCTACAGTAAAGGGGGCGCAGTAGGTGTATAAGAATACGTCCCAGTGCTACATTTCAACCATAATCCACTTTCTAATCTCTTAGTTTCCTGGTCTTGAGGCAGGTGAAGGTCTATCTTTTCTCTCACAAATTTACTGTGCTGTACGGGAATCATAGTCATGGCTAACACCATAAGCCTGCTGGAATACTTGCAGTGGGCGCCTCCTGCGCTTCCAATTGGTGCTATTGGGACCTCGCGGGAAAACACAACAAACACAAATTATAGTCCTGCGGATATCAATGAAGTTGGTCGTTGGACCGACTTCAATTTGAACACTATCATGAATGAGTTTCGGCCATTTTTGATGGAGGTGAGGATAGAAAGTGAAGTAATGCCGACTCCACCTCGTGAGGTGCGCAACGAGGAACAAGTTAGGACACAATTTAAATGCTATTTGGATGCAAGAGTTCGGCGTGCGCTTCGCGTTTCTTTTCCGGAACTGATAAAGCGAGATGAGCTTGGAAACCGAGCCATCATATCATTTGATGAAGGTACCCGCGCTAAAATCCAGATCAATTCATACCCGATACCGCGTACTTTGAACCCCGTCTTCCAGAACCAACTCGACCAAATCGCGCGCCTGGGGATATCAAGACATCTTGGAAATGGAAATATACTCTCGGTTCAAGCTCAAATCGTAAAGACCAAACCGAGTTCAAGAAGGTCCTGGCGCAAGTCAATTACTACATGAAACAGCATAAATCTCGCTACGGATTCATACTTACCAACACTGAGCTCGTCGCCGTTCGCAGGCGCGATAGCAATGGAAATTTGGAACTCTCCATGCCCATACCCTGGACCACTCGTGGTAATACCACACAGCCACAGTTAACCGTCTTGCTTGGTTTATGGTATCTCGGAATGCTTGCTTCCAACAATATGACCTGGGAGTTGATCTAGTCGGATCCAGGAGTCACTGGCCTACTTCCCAGCAAGTGTGTGTCGGAATTGTTAGTTGTCTTTGTACAACGAGCATTTCTTCCTTTGTATCACCTTCAACACATGGTGGGATGAAGCTCGGCCTGCCCTTCTGACATATATGTAAATAGCATATAAGCCTGCTTCAACAGCAGTACAACAGTTAACGACCCCCGGGTCAATGGGTAGCGATTCTTGTTACAATCAGATCTCTTGCGTGCCTAAGAAAAATAAGATTTGATTTACCTTCTACAGCGCTTTCAGGGTGATGTTTAGTCATGGCCAACTCAGTTGATTCCTTTGCGTTAAGACCTCTTGCGGAGTGTAAACCTGTAGATGATCTGTTGGCAAGCCTCCTGCTATTCTAGAATCCCACAGGCTGTCGGTTGCGCCGGATAATTGTCTTTCCACCTGGACGCTCTTGATGGAAAATGTATTGCAGTCGCTAACAATTGACATCGCTCGCGTATTAGCAATGTGACCACGACTTCTTAGCAGTATCCTGGTCCAGTTTGGCATTATAGTATAATATAAATTGAGACGAATTAAGTGACTCGTTCAAGTTAGGATAGCTGGCAAGACAATTCTCCTGCTTTCTGTTAGAGTAGTGATCAATGAGTTTCGTGAAGACCACAGTTCACGTGATATGAGGGGTGCCTGCCACCCCACTTTCACTTAAAATATTTATCTTGACCTCACAGGAAATGTCGCTTTCTGATAAAGGCCCAAGGCGAGGGAAATATTCGCTACCGATGGGCCGGAGTGCGAATCGCCGCTCAAGTCCTTATAGCTCAATAAGAGGTGCGTATAAACACGGTGCATCCTTCCTGGTGGCCGTAGGGAGCGACAGACCCAAGTTGTAAATTTCTTGTTGTCTAGTTGCGCAGTCGGTCCAGGGTAGCAGTAAAGACAGTATTTCCCGGCAAGAAGGGGTATTTTGCCGGTTGTGGAGCGGAGAGAGGGGGTTTCAACTCCCAACGGTCGCGAGAGAAGGTCGTGACTGTGCTGGATGAACTCTTCGAAGGTCGTTTGTCGGTTGCGCTCCCTCTGTTGTCTCTCTCCTTCTACCCACTAAATGCAGCGGGCAAGAAATCAACTTCCCCAACCTGCTCAGACTTATTATGGACTACTATAGGTCTTTCCATGTATTCATATTATTTAATCTCATATCAAGCAAGGACTATCATTGACCATGAGTCAATATAACCACCACTGGTATATTACTCTGTTGAAAAATCCAGTTGGAATTGATCCACGCCTATTAGTTCTGGATCCCAAGCCGATTCGGCCTCGTGGAGGGCATCAGCTACAACCAATCGAGTCAATAAGGAGTAAAGATCTATAAACAGTAATCTCAGAGCCTTTGAGCGTGTTGATCAGGGGTCAGCCAGGTGGTGGTATGGAAGGTAGTGGACGGGATTAGACAACAAATCGAGAGATTAATAAACAACACCTTATGATTATAGACTAGTAGAAATGGAGCCTGATCATTTTTCATTGCACCAAATTGGCCTGTAGGGAGGTGGCAGGTAAGTGGTATAGGGAGTAGCAGTGATGGAGGTTGGTAAAAAACACTGGCAGAATTATACGCGACAGAATTTTCAACCGCTTTCCTATATAGGTTTAGTAGGTAGTGGGATTGGAAGTGCGACAAAAATTAAATTATTGCCCAATATCTCTACATTTATCATACTGGCCCGACTTCGATGCCCCACGGGTGGGATTGATGTCACGTGTAATAGTTGCTAGTGGGGCAGGAATAATAAGGGACAGTAATTCCTCTACTTTCAGTGAATCCACAGGCACTAGAATCCTTCTTTTTTCACGGACGGCTTCGAAGCAAAGCAATCAGAGCTGTATGTGACAGTTCCTTTAAGCGTTAGCTCATTTGCATTGTGACTTACTTGTGTTGAAAAGCTCTATGAGTTTCCGAGAATGTCGCTCCAAATCCAAACGATACAGGGATCCGGAAAGGTGCCTCTGGATCTTTCTCTCGAAATCAGCCGCAAAGAGATACTAGAAGTACTTGAACACGACGGATGGGTTATTATTGAAAATGCTACGGATATCAACTCAAGTGAACGAGCCAAACTTAACAAGGTAGCCCCCAGAGCTCATGGACGCCAAATTTTACTGACTGAATGAAGTATGTAGCTACAATTCTTCAATCAGCGAGAGACGGCAAATTTGAGCCTAGCCGACCACGTCACTGGCCGTACCCTTCTTTAATTAGCGCACCAATCTTACGTATTCCGAACTGGGAAGCACTATCTAAGGAAAAGGAACTTCTTGCTATTACATGCTACCATCTTGGTGGAGCAGAAACTGTCAAATGGCTCTGGGAATTTGACAAGGGGCTTTCGGGTCCGGAAACGAATACTACACACATCATCGAAGCGCGTGGAAGAGATATGTATGTTTCAGTAACGACCCTGGTGATTGGTTTGGAGATGATGGTTAATCTTCTTAGAATAATATGTAATGGTTGGCTTGCACAACGATTTCCAAAGCCTAATGAGGAGATGGACATGATTATGGTACAATATAGATGGAAAGGTTTTAACTGGGGCTAGTACAGGCGGCAGTACACATCGGTTGTGTTGGGTGACAAGACAGGAGCATAGCATAGCAAGTATGGTAGATACTTCCTCGTATTTTTTCCTCCACCCCTCTCACCCTCCCCATTGTTTTTTGCTACTTGGTATTATACTAAACTCTACCCTTCATCTAAAATTACTGCTAAAATCATAATACCAGCCGCTCCAGTCAGGTGTTGCTGGAAGGAAATTATCGAAATCATATGTGTATGTGTCATCAGGATGCTGAGCGATTTGGAGGGTATCGTAGCCATTGTTGACAATAGGGCTTGGATGATGATGTTCTTCCGCTTGATGCTGATCAGGAATATTAAATTGCCGCGCCCTAGCATTCGTTGCTCTGAATGATGCACCTTGGACGACCGATGCGTCTTCCTCTTGGTTGCAGGAAGCAAAATAACACTCTTGCAAATCTGCCTCTCCTTGGAGACGATCAGTCTCCGGTTGCGCATCCACATGATTATCACCATGGTTGGAACAACGAACCCGGTTATTTTCCAGTACATATGGGCGTTGTACCTCTGTAATTTCAAAACTCGCGGGATTTGCATTGGGAATGTGCGATTGGTATGGGGTTCCAAGGCCTGCAGGATTCGTGCCAAAAATTCCTGAGTTGTAAGATATTCCCAGAGTGGCGAAATTTCTATTGGATGAGGTCAGCTGGTAGTCTGGACTGTTATCTGTAACATTCGTCGGTGCCTGAGGTTGTTGTGCAACTAAGAATTCGGGTAATTCTTCTTGAGGATCAGACACAGGCGCCTCATCAACCGTTTCGTTTAAGGGAATTGTTGGAGCTGTTGGGGCTGAAACCATTGTTCTATCCTGGTGCTGGGGAGGCTGTTGACGGTTTTGAGAGCAAAAAGTGGATATACTTCGAGATATAATAGAACCCGGGTGTTCAGATAGCTGACGATCATCCTGAGATTCATTCCTTCCTCGCATCTGTGATGAGACCTTAGCCGTCTGGAGACCGGTAAATGACTGTTCCATATGGCCACCCCGTATAATAGTAGCTTGGTGGTTTTGAATCATATCGCAGTCAGTCCCTGACTTGTCTCTTGTTGATTTACGACTCTGTTTATTGCAATGCGGTTTATTCACATTATTCCGTTTCCTCTTTGATACGTTCTCGCCGTGCCTAGAATCTGACGGTCTAATGCTGTAGGTGGTGGAATTTGGGAATTCATCAGCGTAAAACTGTTGAAAGAACTCTGACGTAGAGTCCGCTCCGTAACCAAGGATATCAGATATAACAGACACCCTAGAAAAGGTTAGTGGAAGTAATTGAGAGACTTGGATTATTTATGTATCTGAAGGGCATGTACTCAAGCGCATCACCGACCAACAACTTGATTATACAAGGGATAGAGAGGGGGATCCAGTCCGGTGAATCTGGATTCGGAGACTTTCTCGCTTGCTTCCCCAGGCGATCGAGAAGATACGGCTCGCTTTCAAAGCCACAAGCAGCGTACCGAGCATAGAAATTCATTGTTTGTCCACCTACTTAATTAGTACCAGACAGGTCGTATCTCCTTACGAGTTTGACTTACTTAAAACAAAAATCTCTGGACTCCTTGACCCCCAGTCTGTGTTAGAGAGGTTTATAATGCATCTATTAACCCATCGAGCACCAGAAATAATTTTATCAAGGTTTTGCCCCTCAGATTCCGAGATATAGTTCCTCATAGCCTTATGGACTGTCTCTTTTTTTTCGCCAGCCCCTAGGACGACGTCGCAAAAGGACACGAAAACAAGATCCCGGAAGCATCCTAAGTATGAAAGAGTAGATTTAGACTTCTTCATGAGATGCGCATATTCAGAAAGTGTGAGGAGAAGCTCAGAACCAGAAACTGCAGCAGACAACATATTGGAGCCCTTCCTAGTAAATGAGAATCCTTCAATTAGGCTGCTTATAACAGTGCGATTATCCTGGAGCCCCAATTCTTCTAATTTTGATTCAAAGTCATCGATACTCGGAATACGTTGGATAAGGCCATCCAGCTCTTTCCGCCATCTTTGTGTATTTGGCCGAACTCGACTTTCTTTTTTCTTTTTGGTCGGATCATAGTGGATAACTTGGAATTTTTGGGATACTGTACTTTTTTCATTCTCAGAAGTGGAGGAAATGTGGGTTTTCCGAGATTCGTGGAGCTGCTGTGGTCGGTGCTTTGCAGTCGGAGTAACAAGTTGCGGTGACGATGGGATCAGCCCCAACCCCTGAATAATATTTTCCAGAAATCTGATATATTCAGCATCACTGCCCTCGAAGTGAAATCGCCTCTCAGCCATTGTTGTGTGGTAGGAGACACGATGAAGTCCAGCCTGCAGCCTTGAAAGTCTTAAATTGGAACAGCTCAGTGGGCTGTACCTAAGACAGTTAGGTCCAAGCATCAGGTGATGGTACATTTGCGGCCTATGTGTGGGCTTGTGGGCTGTTCTCTTGGTTACATTAAAGGAAAATAGTATTTTCCTGAATAGGAACAACCCGATGGGTTGTTCTTATTTTACGAGCTTTAAACGTTGCTATAAAACTTTACTATCTGTGATCTCATTTCATTTACTCATTGTGCCTTATGACATGTATCATTCCCACAAAAGTACCTGCAAGTGAAGATGTGCCAGCACTACAGATGCCTCTTCCCAAGGATCGCCGTGCGGGGTATACCATCCAAGTTGTTCTCTTACCGGCTTTGTGGCCTTGAGGGGATTTGAACACAGACCTCTGTCCCAAGCCGTGCGCTCCACCAAAAATAGTCTGGACAGTCCTTCTGTGCGAGTGAACCACAGTCTATTTCTCACTTTCTCTGGCCGCAGTTGGAACAGCACTGTATAAGACATCCAGCTACTTCCACGTATCCACCGCATCTTCGCACTGGCCAACTTGAAGCTATGGCTCGTAACCGCTGGGTGTCCTATTGGCTCCTCGTACTATAGATTTATTGCCGTCTTTGACGCGTCTTCTATCTGATTGACATGTAGGTTATGCTATCAGGATTGTTGTCTCACCAGCAATAGTATGATAGGGGGCTTAGCATAGCCCTCTCCTGCCTAGTTGATTTTAAGGTCCATGTAGCTGCATTTAGCGGCGAGCTACCTGCTACATCCTCTAAGATTCACACACGGAGCGAGACCTCCTGAAAAGAGTATCGGCATCTAATTGTGTGGACAAGGACTAGTGGCTTGATCTTGATCTATTCCTGGTAAAAGAAGGTATCCCACTTATGAACTGCTGTAGCGCAGGCAATAAAAATGGCTTGGTCTGGTTCGGTTACAGCTTGTAGGCTGCCGAAAAATAACTTATCACACGCTAGAAGAGTGGGAGCTTGGAAACAATAGCATTTTCTCAGCTCATTAATCAATGACCACACATTTAATAGAAGGGATACGCTGGCTTGATGAAAGCCAAATACTCCAGGACACTTGCGGTGAACCGAACCACGGCCATCGAAGTTGCAAACGAAGTATGGATAAATTGGTCTCTTTCTTATGCCGCTTTGTCGGGCACTTTTGCTCTTCTCGAGTGGCTGTCCTATCATCGCTCAGCGAAGGAATTGCCAGCAGCCAAGACGATATTGATTCTTGGGTGACGTATTTCGACTTTCCAATGAAGATTCTTTCTTCAAGTGACTTGGATAGACTTCTGGTAAATTTATTGGTTTATACTTTCCAAACTACCTATTTTGTTTCTCACAGCATTTGCACATTAGGAACAAGATCCTGTTTCCAGCTCCCGGTCATGCAGCCCACGCATAGCTAGCCAACATACGCAAACTGAAACGGAGGGTATTGAAATATACTATCACATCCAGTTGGAAACATCTGTCACTAGGAAAATCAACGGTGACAATTATGGGATTAACACAGAGTGGCTCAGCAACTATGTAATCTCACGAACAGCAATTACTAGCTCATCGACTGGACTAGGGCTTCTGGAGAGTTGGTTACAGTTGGATACGCACCTCCCAATTAAGGAGAGGAGGGCAAAACTTATCGAGGCACTTCGTAAAGAATATTTCTCTGAATATTCCTTCCTTTGCCAAGCACTGAAGGGGCAAGGTTTAGACACCCATACTCATGAGTTGTACTTAGACAGGACACGCCAGCTGGAAAATATCTGTCTTGGGCACAGGGGTCTTCTGGAGATAAATTCACCTTTGTAAATATTCTCTTGTTCTTAAGTAGTATGATTGTTTCTGATTTATCAGGTAGCCTAGGCCGCTGTGTACATAAAGGTGCTGATTTTGTCGAGGAACTGTGTGTACATTCAAGATCGGATTTACTTTCTTCCCTCTCTTAGTCATATTGCTTGTGGGTTAGGTAACTAGATGGAGGAGGACACTACCGAAATCGATATTATCGAGGATTTTGTCCGTAAATCCGGACACGAGGATATGGAGCGGGATGGTTATACCCGGTTCCCCCTCAGTAACCCACGGGAGTTATGAAATGGAACAAGACTGCGAAAAGTCGAAAAAATAACCCGCCATCCTTCCATTACTGTAATTGCCGGTGCGGATTTCTGACTCGGACCAGAGGTACGCTCCACCAGAATTCTCGGATCTAGCTAAGTAAAAGGTCAGGCGTCACCTCGAAACCCGATTCGGGAAAAAAGTCGAGGAGCTTATAATGCAGGGGCCCAGTATGTGGAGTGCGTGCGTTCGAGTCTGACCAGAAGTGCCACTTGATTCATGACAGCACACCCATTCACACCCGTGATGCGATTTCCTTTATTCCGCTAACAGGAAATGCGACTGGGATAACGGGTTGTTTGCGATTTGTACTGGCTCCATCATCAGAGTTCGAGCAATTTTACGCCAGCCTGAACGAGATATTCACCGGATTGTGGTCGAGCAATACTGGGTCCTTCCAGTTGAAGGGGCGACCTTTGTTCAACCGTCGCCGAAGGGAGGTACGAAGATGATTTGGGTGGGATTTTCTTCCCACCCAATGGGGGCCTACATCCAATCGCCTTATGCATTTCCGTTTATGAGAGTTTGACTAGTTATAAGTGGATCTTATGGCTCGAGCATGTATTCTTTGCGTAAGATAAGCCGCCCATATATTGGTAACCTTGCTCTGTCTGTATCCACTGGTGGTTGAAAAGTGCATGTGGAGTATGTATGCAAACTAACCCAAATTGGTAAAGTACATACTGTTCCTCACCTCGAGATTCTATGATCTCCAATGGACTCTTTCAGCTTGCAGGCTTCTGGAACTAATTCTATCCGTCATGGCGGGAAGGAAGCCCCAACATATTATCCAGGCGAGGGATATCCTTGATTGCGTGCTGCGCCAATTGAATGACGTCTCAAAATATTTTGAAAAGGACCAACCAGTTAGTCTTGAGGATCGATCCCAAACCAGACCAAGACATCCGATTAGCTGCTCTGTTCATGAGTGGAGAAGACCCTGGGATAGGAGTTTTTATCGACTACTGGGTTCAAGGTCTTTGGCATTGGAAAGGGAGCAATGGCCCACAACAGACCGTCGATAGGGGTATGATCATCCCAAAGACCTACGGGATGTCAGCAAATTTCTCCGCAGTCAAGGGCTAGAGGCCTCTACGTTTGTTAGAGAGGCATTACGGTCTGGTCAGATCCTTCTCCGTATTGAGGAGGGTGTTGGTGTTCCGGGAATCTCCTTGTGTCTCCTCCCGGCATTCCCGAAACTCCAGCACTTGCACGGGACGAAGAAGCAAAGCATACATTATTAAAGGTAGTCGATGTTCTAGATTGGCTGCACGCCTATCCCCTCTGCTTGCTGGGCGTCATGGATACCAAGCATGGTACAACTATCACATCGGTTAGTGTGCT